ACATTGGGGGAGGGGGCTGCAAGCTCACCGCCACCCACCCCGTACACCCCCTCCCCCAATACCAAACCGATACTAATTAAGAAAGGACTGGGAATAAGGGTCAGTCCATCTCAATCACGCCCTCCTCACCACCTAAGCAAAAAAATTAGGTAAGGGCTCAGACCTTTTTAGGAAACCCCCCCCCCTCCCCCTTTTCCAACATTGTGGGGGGGGGGGGGGGGGACAAACAATATCTTCCTCATCACCTTACACATTTTACAGAAGAATTTTTTCATTATATATAAAAAAAAATTTTAGAATGTTTTAGCATTTTTAGGGACAGACACAGATGTATCTTTCGTTCAGCACGTGAGAAGCTTGTAGACATTTACGGCTGGGTTGAAGAGAAAACGGCAGGAAACCTCTGGTGCATTTGTCTTTAGTACACATATTCTGACTGTGGAAGTCATGGCAGTAACTAAAGCAATAACCTAACTAGAGACATGGATCTTCGCCTGGGCATGCTTGCTCAGTCATGGAATGAGTGTGCTTATGAAGACGAGTGGCGTGCGCTTATTGACAGTTATTGTAGTCTCTTTTCCATGCTCAGTCTACGAAGGCTCAAGTGGATGGGTCACACCAGGAGAATGGAGGATGGCAGAGTCCCTAAGGACATTATTTATGGTGAATTAAAGACAGGAAGAAGGTGTCGAGGCCGACCTCTATAACGATATAAAGATGTGTGCAAGCGGGACATGAATGATACAGGTATTGAGGCGGACTCATGGGAACAAAATGCAATGGACCGTGTTGTGTGGAAAGGGCATATCGGGAAGGAAATGAGACTGAATGGAAGAAATGATTGCAGAAAGGATGAGAGCTGAGCGTCTGAAACGAAACGGATTAAACACAAATGTTGACAACAATGGTCCTGAAATCCCATGCTATCATTTTAGAAGACTTTTCTTGAGACGGGCGGGTCTTGCCAGTCACACTCGCCATCGCCATGGGCTGTGAGTCTCATGCCTCCTCATCGCGCAAAATAACACTATCGTCTGGAAAGACGGTAAGGTGCCAATGATGAATGATGATGTAGTCTCTTAGACTGTCACAGTTGAGTAAGATCAGTTCATTTTCATGCCAGGATATGCAGATGTAAAAGGAAATGAACCAGCTGACAGGCTTGCAGGAAAAGCTAAAGTGGAGTGTAGAAAAACAATGGACTAGGCCAGTGGTTTTCAACATGGGGAGGACGTAATAGTTTCAGGGATCCGTCACGATTTGAGCCCGAGTGCATTTATACTTGTAATAATCTTCTGTTACACTAACAGCTCTTGTATCTTTTTGTGCTTTGTCCGACATCAGATCAAAATAGCAGATATGATCCAGAAAAAATAGAGTTAATCATCACATTAATAAGAACACTAAATTACTATCTCTTGATGACTATTTCTTTTATGTTTTTTTGACACTTTGATTTTTGTGGATGTTTTGATACAACTTCTTGTTAATATTGTTTGGCAATTTTCGTTCTGTCCTTTTTTAATCACTTTTTTTAAAGTGGGGGAGGGGGGATGGGAGGTGCTGGGGTATATATTCAAGGAGGCGCCACCGGAAATGGATTGAAAACCGCTGGACAAGGCTGATATAAATGCTCGAGGAAAAGTCAGATATTTTCGAGAACCAAGTTATCACTGAGACCATAATCAGGCTACAAACAACAGCAAGCAAAAATGATGAGGTTGGACACGAACACTACAGAGAAAGCCAAAGAAGAAGAATAAATCAATACAGAACTGAGGTGGAAAGCTGCTACATGCTATGAAATTTACTGACGAGGGGATCCAATGGCTTATGGATTGAATAGTTTGATGCGCAGTGACAATCATCTATCGACTATCTTAGTTTCTTGGCATAAAGGAGCTATGGCAGCGCTTTCATGCAGCATCAGTGGTCTTGTGTATGAATCCTCTTCAAGGACAGGGATTTGAAAAAAAATGACCCTAGATACCAGATGGTAAACGTTAAAGACTACTTTTCACAACACGGTATCCCATTTGTCTTAGACCTGTGGCCATCGTATGAGTGATGTGAAATATTTCTGTGGTTACTGGATACTACCTGTTGAAAGTTTGATTATTATGTTGCACAAACAACCCTTCATTGTGCTAAGTGAATAAACTACATAAAGCCAGTCCGTTTGTATGGAATCCAGTCATCCACAGTCAGTAAGTTAGCCAGAATTTTTTTTTTTTAAATGTACAAATGTAGCCTTTTTAAAAAATTGATGAAAATGCCAAGGGAACCAAATAATAAGGTTGTCTTGAGAGGAATTAACTTAAACAGATAAGTGATTACCTTCATCAGAGGAGAGACCTTTGTGCACTTTATAAGAAAGAGATAAGTGGTGTACCATATGTCAAAGGTAAAGTTAGAGAGGAAGAGAGCCAGGGAAAAACCAAGAGAAAGTATGCTGGACAGTTTGGGGTCATGGCCAGAATGAGCGCAGGCATCAGTGGTCTAGTGGTAGAAAACTCGCCTGCCACGCGGGTGACCGGGGTTCGATTCCCGGTCGATGCAACTATTGCGGCGTCCGGGGCTTAGGCGTTGCGAGTCCGACTCGTAATTCCAACGTACAGCTATCAAAACCTATTGCCGGCTACGTGGATTTTTATCGTGGTATGGGGCGTCGCAGGTCGACACAGCCTTAAATGGGTACCAGGATGGCTGTCCTGGGGAAGTAAAGACTGCCGGCATGATGTTGACCACAATTACCCCTCTAGTGCCGAATGGTCTGTAAAAATATGGGTGCTCTTCCCATATGCCCGACTCGCCTGAAGGCGTGAAAAGCGATCTTTACTTACCAGAATGAACATCGGTATCAGAAATGACTGGCGGTACCACCAGGCTGCGGACAAATATGACTGTCAACCCTTCGATGTGTAGACTACCAGAATTGTCACATAAATACATTTTCTAACATTTATAAACTCTTACAATACTCTCAGCACGTCAGTACAATGTTAATTATCTGTTTACTTCTTCTAGGTTTTCAAACCCTGGGTCAGCTGATGTATATGGTTGAGAACAAGGTAGAATTGACTTAGTTTCTGTCCTATTTTACTGAATACTATTGTCATCCTAACCAACACAGCAAGTGAATGTTTGTATGATCATTGCAGTTACTATCTTAAATGCATATAAATTGTTTATGTCGGTAAATTGTAGTCACAGGGCTTCATTTAATCTTCAAATCCTTTAGCATGGCTGCAAGTAGCTGACTGCCCAATCGTCGTCCGGAAATACCTTAAGTAATCAGGGGAAGAGGGGCTGACCGTTGATCTGACAGTCAAACTGTTAATTTCTCATCATTAATGTAACCAAAATCAAACATATTGTGTTACCCTTGCTGCAGGTTAATTGAAGAACACTCAAATGAATGTGAATTTTGCTAATCCATCTGGTCTCAGATCAGTAGCCACCGAATGGGTGATGTCAAATATTATTACGGTTATTGGATACTGCCTACATACGAATCTTGCTACTTCATCTGCAGAATTAAGATGTTCCGCAATGTAGTTCAGTATTTTTTTTTTAATACTGAGATACGGAGAGATTCTGAAAAATATATTCTACAGGCAATACAATTTGCGGGAAATGTGTGGCGGAAAAAAAAGGGGGGAGAGGGGGGGGGGGGGTAGTTACCGTAATACTATCTATTGCTCACAAGTCATTAAAAAACAAAGTCGTTATAGCTTTTTTTTTTTTCAAGTGTATATTTATACAAAGGGAATTAATAACACAGAGATTTAGGATTACGTGAATAGAATCGCTTAATGTAATGTGCAATTTAACGAGTGGTGTATCACTAAGTAACAACGTTGAAGACCGAAGATGAATCATGACGTCACAATGACTAAAATTAATTTGCTTTTCCCTATTAAAAGAATTCTTAAATTATATTTCTAGCAGATGTAATCATATCCGACCCGTCTAAAAAAGGCACACTGGCAATAGTCCTAACCTCCCAATTTTTAATTATTTTGAAGCCACACCCTGGCTTTTGCCAGGGGCTCTAAATATAGCCGGGCCTGAAATATTGCCTAACGGCTGAAAGGGGTTTCTGGGACCCTTCCATGGGTGATCCTCATCCGCATGGTGGCACTTTGTGTCACTGGGTGTTTATCGCATGTGTTGTGTCCTACTGGGGCACAACTTACATACATGCATACATAGTCCTAAACATACCGTAAGTTGCGACATACACGCTGACTTCAAGATTTGTAGCTCTATATTCTGCGCTACTCCTATATTTACCCAATCTCCTTTATACCAGTCATATATGTCATGTCAACCCGAATAAAGGTTAGTTGCGTATCCTTTAGAGAACGTTGCAGAACCAACCCCAGCAGCCCCTGGCTGTTGTGTGCTTTTTCTAGGCAAATTTAATCCAGTAGTTTGCCATTGCCCCTGGACGGTTGGCCCCCTGATAGCAATGTCGAAACCAACGCGAGGCGCATGACCAGCAGCTGGGATCGAACCCGGCACTCCGGCATTATGCAGCGTTCGCATCGACTTAGCCACAGAGCCCACAACTCGTACTGTGAGAAGATTTTTAGGTTTGAAAACTAGATGAGTCTAACACAACAGATTATACATTCTTTGCTAGCGGCTGACCAGTGCAATGATGTTGGTCTCTCTGGGATTTGGACGATGATACAGATTTGGTGGTTTCTCGGGGGAAAGGGGTGAAAAGGTTTAAAACAACGGCTGTGTGGTCACCTTCTTCTTCTTCTTCTTTCGTTCCCCTGAAATAAGTTGTCTATATCAGCAGTTTTGTCTCTTGTATAAATGTCACTGTCGTTGTTAGTTCATTCAGTGGTCCATAGAGTTTACGTTCCACTGTTGTTCTTTCTGGCCAAAAGGTTTGCCTTAATGTGTCAAAATCGGTGCAGTCCTGGAGTACATGCTCTGCTGTCTGCGGCACATTTCCACAGGTGCCCATGGCTGATACACCTATCTTGAATTTTGTGTACATGTGGTCACCTAAATGATCAGTCTGTAATTACCCTCATGAAATGCTATCAATGATATGTGTGTGTGACTGCGTTTTTGTTTCTTTCTGCATTCAGTGGATGGTCAACAAAACCTTTATTCGTGATGAACCCCGCTTCGGACACAGAGGCTTTCACCTGGACACCGCCCGTCACTACTACAGCGTGAACATCCTAAAGCAAAATCTGGTAGGGAAACTGGTGTCTTGGTCAATTATCATCATCATCATGTAGCAGGTCCTTTGCAGAACGTCGCTCTCATCATAGTCTGCCTGAAAGAAACTCGGTCTCTCGCCAGTTCTCCGTTTTCTTCCCCAGTTCGCGTTTGTGATCTGCCTGGCCTGGGGCCCTCACTATCAGATCTTTGAGTTTCATTTTAAGCTTACATGGTCAGTTATAGATAACATTAATTGTACACATGGGTGAAGAATACTTCCCAGAAAGCAGAGAAGTAGGTCGGCGTAAGGATGATCATATTATTCAAGAGAAACTAGTCTCTAAAAAGGCATACAGAGCCAGAACCATGTACCAGAACTCATCTTATAGCATGTAAACTATCAGTTACCTTGTATACTTACTCACAACGCTAATACTTTAGCATGGTTCTTGTTTTAAAGAACTGATGCCAGTGAACTCCATGCAAACTTAAGCTATACTTCATCACTCTCAATAAATGTTAAGTGTAAAAGCTAAGCATGCCATTTAAACACTTTGGATTTATTTGTACACACTCTCCTCCAAATGTAAACACGCTGAAATCTGTTATCAAAGAAGTTAATCACCATGACCAAACTATGTATGGAAATCACAGGTAATATAGTAATATATAAAGACAGAAAGTCAGACCTTTTTCAAAACAAATCTGGTTTAAAGCAAGGTGATGCTCTGTCCCCACTTCTTGTCAACTTGGCCCTGGAGGAAATTATAAGGAAATTGAAACAAGAGGGTACTAAAGGAGAAATTACAAGAATACTTGGATATGCTGATGACATTGATATCGTTGGAGAAAATGAACTAGAGACTGGTAAAACACTGGCTCTCTCAAAAGAATCAGCTAAGAAAGTGGGACTAGTTATTAATCAAGATAGGACATTGTACATAGTAATAACTAGACAGGGAAATGAAAACTCTAGCCACATACAAGTCGATAACATGAAAATTAAACGAACGGAAACATGTAAGTACTTGGGTGCAAACTTCAACTGCTCCAACATGCTGAGAGAAGAAATACATCTTCAACATCTGCTAAAGTCAAAGTGTCTGTTTCGCAACATCAAGATTAAAACATATAAAACGTTGATAAAAACAGTCGTTTTATATGGCTCTGAAACGTGGAGCGCAGCTAAAAGAGATGAAAGCATATTACAGGTTTCCGCAAATAGCCCTACCATGAATCTTTAGACTCATCAAAGATGCAAACAGCGGGTAATGGAGAGTGAGAAGCAATAACGAAATTAATAATCTGTTTAAATCGCCACTGACCACTGGCATCATGGTTGGGGCATATTGAAAGAATGTCAGATGACAGAGAAGTAAAAACTGTATACATCAGGGAGATGAATGGTCGTAGACCACGAGGGAGACCAAGAAGACGATGGAGAGATAATATCCAGACAGACCTGCAAACACTTGGTGACACCAACTGGAAAGAGAAGGCTAACCAGAGAGATGAATGCAGGCCGGTGATATCTGCAGCAATGAACCTCAAGGGATCGGAATGCTGAAGATGAAGAAGATTTAGTTCCTTCTATTCTCGGTAGTCATGTTAATGGATGTTCGTAGTATGTTAATTAGTGTGTTTGTAGTTTTCTGTGCATCTACACGTGAACTATATTGATTAAACGTTAGAGGTGGAAAAGAAATTATAATTGTGAAACTGAGTTCAATTTTTGTTAGCTTAAACAGATTTCATAATGCTCAGAAAACTTCTCTTGCCCTTTTTATTTTTATTTTACAGTCTGATGAACGTCTTCCACTGGCACATCGTGGATACGCAGGCATTTCCTTACAAAAGTGTTACATTTCCCGAGCTGGCGCAGAAGGTTGGTCTATTACTTCATTTCTGGGCTAATCAGAGATCGGTGGAGGAGTGCAGACTAGAAGAGAGTTGGTGAGGGTGAGAGAAAGGGAAGAAGAGAGGAGGTCAGAGGTTATATCGTCTGCCTGGTTTGTGCAAATCTAGTTTAGTTTACTACATGGACTGCTGATTATTCAGAAATAAAACTCGGGAATACTTGATCTGATCCTGAGGACAATGGATCCGGTAACTAGTTCTTTGCAATGGTATTCAAATTCAGGGGACCCTTCTGCACTTTCAAAAACAATTGGCGGTTGAAAATTGCAGAGGAACTTCAGCTCACACAATGCATATAATATCAGGTCACACTTGTTTTGTCCAATAATACATAGGGAAATGTTTTACTGTTAAACTGAGACATTGAACAATAACATGCATCTTCGGGACACTATGTCCATCAACGAGTTGAACGTCTACCACTGGCACATCGTTGATACGCAGGCATTTCCTTAGAACGGTCGACCGTTTTAACAGACTTCTAGTCTACGGTTAAGGCTCTCAAAATACCAAGATGTATAGTACAAATGGGAGTCCCGTGGCAGAGCAGCTAGTCGCGCGCCGCAGATCTTAAGGTCGTGGGTTCGCTCCCTGGCGGAGCCGGACTTTTCTTAAAAAATTACCTTGGCTCCCAGGTCGACCCAGCCTTGAGTAGGTACCGGGTGTAGTCCAGGGATGTAGAGGCGGCCAGCGTAATGCTGACCACATCACCCATCTTGCGCCGTTGGTCTATAAAATATAGGTCTAGCCCTATATGCCCTATACGCCTAAAGGCGTGGAAAAGGGTCCTTCACATTTTATAGTAGAAATAACATCATCGAGGAGATCTTCTTGGCTACAACTTATCTAAAAATGAGAGGAGCTCAGTACTAATTATGTGGGTAGCAACACATGTGGGAACTAAAAGACATGAAATGTTAGACAGAGGAGAACAAATAATCATGAAAAATAAATATGACTATTAGTTAAGATGATTTTTAAAAAAAAAAACAATTTAAAAAAGAAAAACAGAAGGATGGACATTGACACAGAATGGAAGCTTGAATGAAAGATATACCTACAGATAGTTAAAAGCTCCAACTAGAAACCGTCAAAAAACAATATATCCATACCTACCTAGCAATAGGTGTTTCATCCTTTTTAGGACGATATTTTGTTATTTGAAGCACCACCCTGGCTTTTTCCAGGGGCCGCAATATAGGCAGGCCATAAGTATGGCCAATTGTCTGAACGCGGTTTCTGGGACCTCTCCACGGCGGTCCTCATTTACATGGTGGCACTTTGTGTCATCGGGTGTTTGTCGCTTGTGTGATGGCCTGGTGGGGTAGAAAGTCAGTCAGTCAGACTTTCAAAAAACTAGTGAAATAAAAATTCCTTGCAACAAGAAATGACGCACACTGCAAGACGGCGGAGCTATTTCATTATAGCAAAGATACCTGTTCTGTGTGTCAGATCAAAAACAATATTGAACATTATTATAATGTAAGAAATATGAACAACAAAGGACCACTCTTAATTCGTATTTGATCCACCGCAAAAAGCTTTGACAATAAAAAACGGGCTCTAGAGAACTACAGAAAAGGATTAAAAAGTACATCACAAGAACAGGGATTAGCATATTTCTTCTTCTTCTGCGTTCAACATCAGTCATGCTACATATTGAGTCCAGTCTGGGTCACAAATAGGATTGTGCGTTTAAGGTCGCCACCGGTCCCCCATAGCTTCTCTCGCAATGTGGATCCCCTGGGCCAGATCCACAGTCTTTGCTGGGAGAGGTAAGGGCAGTACTGCAATATGTGCTCAGGGGTCTGTCTTTCTGCTCCACAATCACAGGCAGCAGATTGGATTAGCATATGAGGTGTTAATATGTCTTAAGGGTATCCTAGATCCCTTTAATTATCTGCAAAAATAGACTAAACAATATAGTTACTAAAATTTTTTGAAAGATTAGCGGTAAATATTCCTGAAATCTTATACAGTTATTACATAAGCTAAGCAATATTGAATAACCAAACATAAACAATAAGCATACATATTCATGACTGAAATTGAAAACCTCATGTATATGGCAGTTATAACCCGGCTTATTTTTTAACACGTTAATTGCTTAAAAACATGGTTTACAATATTTCATATACATTTACAAAATCAAAAATAATAAAATTGTAAAAACATTGTGACGTGGTACCTATATTCCGCCAACATTTGAAAGAGAGTAGAACAAAGCAGAAGACATAAAATGACAGGGGGTAAGGAAAGGAGGGGCCATTCATGATTATTTGTTGGTGATGGTACCCTGTTATAATGGTGGTGATGATGATATGGGTTAAGCAGAATATTGTTTGTATTATTTACTACCACTCGGCGGCTGGCCTAACTTGACCCTTGGGATTACAAAATAGCAGAAGACAAAAATATATTTTCGCACATAGAAAAAAAACTAATTTTCAATATCCCTTTAAGAAAATGATTTGATTGATTGATTCGATTTGATTCAAGAGCCAATTTCACAGCACTCGGGGCATTCCTATAAGCGCCCCGTCCCCATCTTCAGCAGCCAGCGAAGAGTTCCTATACTAATGGTGCCAGTAGCATTCTGATTAAATGTCCGTCTTGCCTTTCCTTTGAGCCTCAAGCATTTGCCAGAACCTCTCGTCACTCCCAACTGCATCAATCTCACCAGACTGGTGATCCATCTGCTCCTCCGAACTGTACACGCTCTCCCACAAGGCACTAACCACATCTGCCTTATCATGAATCAGTATTCCACTAAGTTGTGCAGAGCCAGATAGTCTGTCCGCCTGTTCATTTCCCAACACACCGGCGTGCCCAGGTGAAAAATTTCAGACAATACTCCTCACCCGTGTCCTTTGACTAAAATGTGATAAGTTAACAATAGTTGCCAGAAACTGATGCCAGTCAGTCTTTGATCTTGCCAGCGAAACACGTGTTGTCGAGAAACTCGGACAATAGGAGTCAGTGTCAAGGAAATCTGGGTTAATGTTTATAATGGATTTTATTTTTCTACATGGCCCGCGACCAGGTTGAAATTCTAAACATGGAGGTCAAAAGCACGATGGTCCGCCCCTAAGTTAGAGACTAGAAAGCTTGGAACTACTCACGTGGCGGTAACATCGTGTAGTATGGAACGCGGGATATCGCTGATGATAGTGTAGGAGACTATGCATCCTGACACCCCTGTAAGAGAAAGTCTCGCCTGTGATAAGTTAGGACGTACAAATAGACGGCCAATCATGGTGTCCCTGGACCCGAAAACGTTAGCTGTGCCGTAAGCTAACACCCCCACTTCTTTTTTCTTTATTTTTAAGTATCCAGAAACCATGAGTTGTAAATCATTTGGCTCGGTACTATGGATATCGCAACCCTTCGACCTTGATTCCATTATAGGTACCGTAAATCTGGGAGAAATGTGGCTTTTCTGCCTACCCCCGGGAGTGAACCCGGACCACAAGGAATTCGTCACCCGGCCACCGCGAAATTCAGGTTTAACCAACTACGCTAGAGAGCCGGGCCCACTTCTTAAAAAAAATACGGTTCTTTTTTTTTAAGCGCCCGCATTAAACGAGATTTAGGGAAATCCTATAGTATAATGGGGTAGGGTTAGCGCTAGTGTTAAATGAATAGCGACTACTACTAACCCTAACCCTAAACCCCCTATACTGTGAGATTTCACTAAATCTCGCGTGATGTGATCGCTGGAAAAAAAAAAAAGAACCACAAATACTTGTAAAATGTATTACTAGTCATGCTAATTGCTAGTATCACACAAATAACATCTTTTGCAGGCATGAAAGTACCAAAATCATTATCAATACCTAATACTTCACTTAGCATCACATATTGTCACCATGGAAACTGATGCAGCCTGAGAATAATTTAAAAAAAAAAACATACAGCTTGTATGTGACCACAAAGAAGTCTACAAAACATGTATCTAGTTAATTGTATTTTAGATCTACAATTATTGTTTGTAAAAACAGAAAAATGAAAACCTGAAGACATGATTTCAGTGGTCATGTATTTTTCATAATACGGCTGTTTTTGTTGACACTCTTCTGTCTTTCAAGGAAACAGTTCACACTGTACTAAAGGCTTCTAGTACAACCTATGGCGACGGCCAGTGAGTCCAGTAAGAGCAGCTCGCGTTAAGAAAGCAGTACTACAGGGACCATGTGTTGCCCGTGTAGCATGATTCCTCCTTCAGTTTGCTTTGTTAACTTGAAAGGACCTATAGTTTTTTGCGTATCCTTTACATAAAGCTGTAGAACCAACCTCAGCATTGTGTTGTGCTTTTTCTAGGCATATTTTACGCTCAGTGGTTTGTCATTGCTTTCTGTGCGGTCAGCTCTCGGTAACTTTGTCGAGACCAGCGCAAGATGTTTTGCTGCTAAATCGCCTGCAGCAGGTATCGAACCCGGCACCTCAGCACTACGAAGCGCGTTCGCAATGCCTGAGCCACTGACACTGACGAAAGGAAAATTTAAAATATATTTTATGATACCACTATTGTATCTGGAGCAAAGCATGCTGCAGAAGATGCTTGATCAGAAGAGCAGTTTTATCTGCCTGTAGGAACTCTTCTCCTAGACCAGTTGTCAACCAAGCCTAGGGTCTGCCCTGTTAAAACATTTGGTTTTCTTGTTGCATTTCTTCGTCTTAGGAAAAGGCTCAAATTTGCTCCTCCGCCTGATTCCATTGGTACAAACGGGAACATAGATTTGCTGTACGCCGTCCAAAAAAGTCCAAACATATACTACACATATCCATGTTTATTTGTTTATATTTGCGGGAACTTTTTGCAGTGTAATCCAAGCCATTTCATTGCAACTAATTATGTTTCAATCATATGTCCAACAGGGTGCTTTCGCAGCTCACGAAACATACTCACAGCAAGACATCATGGACATCATTCTGATTAAATGTCCGTCTTGCCTTTCCTTTGAGCCTCAAGCATTTGCCAGAACCTCTCGTCACTCCCAACTGCATCAATCTCACCAGACTGGTGATCCATCTGCTCCTCCGAACTGTACACGCTCTCCCACAAGGCACTAACCACATCTGCCTTATCATGAATCAGTATTCCACCAAGTTGTGCAGAGCCAGATAGTCTGTCCGCCTGTTCATTTCCCAACACACCGGCGTGTCCAGGTGAAAAAATTCAGACAATACTCCTCACCCGTGTCCTTTGACTAAAATGTGATAAGTTAACAATAGTTGCCAGAAACTGATGCCAGTCAGTCTTTGATCTTGCCAGCGAAACACGTGTTGTCGAGAAACTCGGACAATAGGAGTCAGTGTCAAGGAAATCTGGGTTAATGTTTATAATGGATTTTATTTTTCTACATGGCCCGCGACCAGGTTGAAATTCTAAACATGGAGGTCAAAAGCACGATGGTCCGCCCCTAAGTTAGAGACTAGAAAGCTTGGAACTACTCACGTGGCGGTAACATCGTGTAGTATGGAACGCGGGATATCGCTGATGATAGTGTAGGAGACTATGCATCCTGACACCCCTGTAAGAGAAAGTCGCGCCTGTGATAAGTTAGGATGTACAAATAGACGGCCAATCACGGTGTCCTGGACCCGAAAACGTTAGCTGTGCCGAAAGCTGACACCCCCACTTCTTTTTTCTTTATTTTCAAGTATCCAGAAACCATGAGTTGTAAACCATTTGGCTCGGTACTATGGATATTGCAACCCTTCGGCCTTGATTCCATTATAGGTACCGTAAATCTGGAAGAAATGTGGCTTTTCTGCCTACCCCCGGGAGTGAACCCGGACCACAAGGAATTCGTCACCCGGCCACCGCGAAAGTCAGGTTTAACCAACTACGCTAGAGAGCCGGGCCCACTTCTTTAAAAAAAAAAAATACGGTTCTTTTTTTTTAAGCGCCCGCATTAAACGAGATTTAGGGAAATCCTATAGTATAGTGGTGTAGGGTTAGCGCTAGTGTTAAATGAATAGCGACTACTACTAACCCTAACCCTAAACCCCCTATACTGTGAGATTTCACTAAATCTCGCGTGACGTGATCGCTGGAAAAAAAAAAAAGAACCAAAAATACTTGTAAAATGTATTACTAGTCATGCTAATTGCTAGTATCACACAAAAAAACATCTTTTGCAGGCATGAAAGTGCCAAAATAATTATCAATACCTAATACTTCACTTAGCATCACATATTGTCACCATGGAAACTGATGCAGCCTGAGAATAATTTAAAAAAAAACATACAGCTTGTATGTGACCACAAAGAAGTCTACAAAACATTTATCTAGTTAATTGTATTTTAGATCTACAATTATTGTTTGTAAAAACAGAAAAATGAAAACCTGAAGACATGATTTCAGTGGTCATGTATTTTTCATAATACGGCTGTTTTTGTTGACACTCTTCTGTCTTTCAAGGAAACAGTTCACACTGTACTAAAGGCTTCTAATACAACCTATGGCGACGGCCAGTGAGTCCAGTAAGAGCAGCTCGCGTTAAGGGGGCAGTTCTAGCAGGGAATCAGTGGCGTTGGAAAAAAAATCATAACAAATTCAATTTTAAAGATGGGACTCTCAAATTTTCAGACATAATGACCATTTGGTAAGGCTTTCATATAAAACAAACATCTTTGTAATTGAATATATACATGTGAGATAATAATTTTTTTAAGTGAAAAATTTATTTTTTAAATATGCAAAATATAGATGTTACTTTGGAAATAGTTTTTGGGAAATGGTGCAGCCAAATTCCTTCCAAATTAAACTGCACATACAAAAATGGTGTGAGTATGGCCCGGACTATGGAAAACAGTACACATTTAAAAGATTTTATGTAATGCTACCTGAAATTTTCCTCTTTTTGTGTGTAAAAAATTACAAATTTGAAATTACATAAAAATGAACACAATCATGATATTAAAATTCCCTTAGAATAGGCTACAGCCAGTTATAATGTGAACAAGCATGCAAAATTTAATGCAGATTAGTTAAAATCTGAGAAAGTTATACCAGGATAAGTGAAAAAAAATGTAAACGGCGTTAATTTTTTTGTTAACATTTTCTGAATTTTTACCTCAGTGACTCCCTGTCAAATAAGGGTAGCCTTCGGATTGATCTTGTACCTCCTTTATTCCAAGTAGCTCCCCCCTCCTTGCACTTCTCGCTTCCAATGATGCTTCTGTTGCTTTCTTCTGAGAGTTTTTCAGCCGTAACGTGTCAGTAGAGATGAACAATTCTGACGTGAAACATCCACATAATAGTTGCATTGCCACAACGGGGCACTTCTAGGGTTTTTGCTCCATCATTGAAAATGAGTACTGAAATGCCAACTGCAATATTAACAGCTACTTATCCATGGTATTTGTGTTTGGGGCAATGTTGCCAAACTGTGCTGTTGATTAATTCGTTAGCGTTCTGGGTGTAGCCATCTAGAAATTTTCTCAACAGGTAGGGTTTGAGAGATCTATGAAAACTGGCTTGATAACATCCATAACTGCTGCAGGCAGGGAATTTTTTATGTTTATAATCCTGTTCTGTGTTGGTAGCAATAGCGATGTTATTTGGGCACCAAATAATTTAGCAGAGATTGTGAACAGGCTTTTGATCCGTGGAGAGTTTGTGAAAATATATTGTCCAAACAGCTTCTCGCATTTCTTTCAAGTCATTTTTAGTACCTCTGATTGCATTCCCATAATATTTCTGAATAGGGTCACTTTGTGTGTCCGTAAGCCTTTCATTTCCACCAATATTCTTCCTATCGGACAGGTTCTTTCCCTTCCCCACAAAATTATTTATATTGCGTAGTCGGGTACCTATTCTTTTTTGCACGTGCCCGACACATTCTATCTTCATAACAGGCGTGTCACTGTATGGCTTTGAATCAGAAACTGTTTCGAAGCTGTCTGTGTCACCATCTCCAAGCACTTTATATCCTTCATTTATTAGTTCATGTGTGTACTTCAGGACAGGCGGCAGAAAATTCATTATTCCCCGAAATGTTTGCAAGTCCGAACAGTCACTTCGTGCACAGCACATAGCGAAAACAGCTTGCTTGTTGACTGAGTGTACTTGTAAGCTGCTGCTGTAGTTGACACTTATTTGACAGTTGGAATGATAAATGGTCTGTCTTTTACAATTGTGGTTGCTGCATACAAATTCAAAGTGACTACCAAGTCCTTGTCTTTCATTGTCAGTAAGTCTGACTTGGTTGTAACAAAAGACACAAACCAGCTGTGATGAAATCTGGTGACATAGAATTTCCAGGTCAGCAATCCTGTACCCTTCCCTGTCAGTACTGTCACATTTAGGATAAGTATTTGCCTTATCACATTCTTCTAAATCTGTATCCTGGATCATCATCAATGCCATACAGGTCGTTGATTTTTATTGATGACCGACTGTGAGTGGGCGTGGCACTTTGGTACTGGTTCTACTATTATTATTACTACAACATTACAATTAACATATCCACAGATTACTTGTAGGAATGTCAATGTTATTGTTTATGTTTACATGTTTGTCGTTCTCAATAGTATGATATAAAACTAATTCTCTGCATCTCTTTGTAGCCCTTATAAATCTATTCCAAAGAAACTTTAACTTCATTGAATGTTTACAATACTTTTTTATCACTTGACATTGCTTAGAATATCACTTGTACAAATTATTTTCAGACCAAACAAAATGTAAACACGCTTCTACAAAGGCAGCCATTTTGATTGTTCCGTACAAGGATCGTTCATTGTAAGAAAACTGTTAGGGAGGCTTGCATTGTCGCTAAATACATGTGTATGTGTGAAAACACAAAATTTCTGATTTTTTTTCTTCCAAAACCAGAAAGACCTGACCATCTTTGAGCCATCATAACTCGGATACTACTTATCCGATTCTAAAAATGTATACAGAAACGTGTAGGACATTGATTAATCTTTAATTTGATACCAAATTTGTTTCGAAATTCAAAAATCACATTTTTTCGAGATTCTCTGCTAGAACTACCCCCTTAAGAAAGCAGTACTACAGGGACCATGTGTTGCCCGTGTAGCATGATTCCTCCTTCCGTTTGCTTTGTTAACTTGAAAGGACCGATAGTTTTTTGCGTATCCTTTACATAAAGCTGTAGAACCAACCTCAGCATTGTGTTGTGCTTTTTCTAGGCATATTTTACTCTCAGTAGTTTGTCATTGCTTTCTGTGCGGTCAGCTCTCGGTAACTTTGTCGAGACCAGCGCAAGATGTTTTGCTGCTAAATCGCCTGCAGCAGGTATCGAACCCGGCACCTCAGCACTACGAAGCGCGTTCGCAATGCCTGAGCCACTGACACTGACGAAAGGAAAATTTAAAATATATTTTATGATACCACTATTGTATCTGGAGCAAAGCATGCTGCAGAAGATGCTTGATCAGAAGAGCAGTTTTATCTGCCTGAAGGAACTCTTCTCCTAGACCAGTTGTCAACCAAGCCTAGGGTCTGCCCTGTTAAAACATTTGGTTTTCTTGTTGCATTTCTTCGTCTTAGGAAAAGGCTCAAATTTGCTCCTCCGCCTGATTCCATTGGTACAAACGGGAACATAGATTTGCTGTACGCCGTCCAAATAAGTCCAAACATATACTACACATATCCATGTTTATTTGTATATATTTGCGGGGACTTTTTAGCAGTGTAATCCAAGCCATTTCATTGCAACTAATTATGTTTCAATCATATGTCCAACAGGGTGCTTTCGCAGCTCACGAAACATACTCACAGCAAGACATCCTGGACATCATTCAGTATGCACGTCTGCGAGCAATCAGAGTGTTGCCAGAGTTCGATTCTCCTGCTCATGTTTACGCATGGGGGAAAGGTATACCAGGTACGCAGACACAAATATTTGCATTGATCTCAATCGTCTTAGATATAATTCTTCTATTTGCTGCCTTCAAGGGTAGTGCAATATTCCTTTGTTTATGTCTTTGGCTGTTGTCTAAAAGTGTGCTCTACTAGATGTTATAATCAACCATGCACCGATGTTATAAGCACAGGAAACATCTGCATGTTTAAGAATGTTTATTCACAATAATACACTCACGAATATGTCCAGTCCTTGTCCCTGTTACTTTACCAAGTGCAACATTCCAATCAGACCCGTATTCAGACGTCAACACAGAGCATTTATATACAAGAACGTGGAGGTTGTCCATCTGCCACGCCACATCTCCGGACAGATACTTCAGCCGTTTCCCTAGGAGTCTGTCGTCGCTAATTCTGAGTAGTAGCTGTTGATTTTCTGCGTAGCTGCCTCGTTGCTGAAAACGATGTTCGAACTGTCGACTGGAAGTATTCTTTGTCGTCGTCAGGTATTCTTCACATTCATACGGAATCACAAACACGTCCTCTCACTCCAACTGGCAAACACATCATGTCTAATCAGAACGTGGTCTGATTTTATAGCCAAGAGTTGGGCTTCACGGGGCAACACGTGGTAGTTCCCCTTGGGTTTCCCGTGGCAACACGTGGTCGTTCTTCTTGGGCTCCCCGTGGCAACACGTTGTCGTTCTCCTTGGGCTCCCCGTGGCAACACGTGGTTGTTCTCCTTGGGTTCCCCGTGGCAACACGTGGTCGTTCTCCTTGGGCTCCCCGTGGCAACACGTGGTCGTTCTCCTTGGGCTCCCCGTGGCAACACGTGGTAGTTCCCTTGGGCTCCCCATGGCAACACGTGGTCGTTCTCCTTGGGCTTCCCTTGGCAACACATGGTCGTTCTCCTTGGGTTCCCCGTGGCAACACATGGTCGTTCCCCTCCTTGAGAACCTCGTTTTCTCCTAGTGTCTGACTTCTCTCGGTTTCTAGTGACCCTCGAGACACCCCCCTCCCCCCCCCCCCCAAACCTTCTTAATCAGGGAATCCCCGTGTGAAAACATCCCACATTGCAGGTAGTGACGAGGCCACTGGTACGTTGTGTTCTGACTGATATCTAAGCTGCGATATCCGTGCCTTTAGACCAAACACATGCGTTTTCAGAAAACTTCGCTTCCTCCCCCTTCTTAGCATTTACGAGGTGTACACTGATTGTTTGTAACTCAAGCCTGAGTCTGAAGAATTTCATCGCATTGCACAAACCCCACTGAACCGGCGGAGATCCTAAAATACTTTGGGTAGATTTTTAACTCCAAATTTTGCCCGGGCAGCTCCGTTAGGCTACTCGTTATCGATTTCCAGCTGCCAATGGATTTTTTACGTGCGCAACATTACACATGGGCGTCCGGTCTTACTGCCCAGAGATCAGGGGGAAACTACTAGAAGTCCTCCCCGTGTAGGTTCCGGGGCCCTGTTATAGGGAAAACAAGAATAGACCCACTGTCTACCCAAATGCAAGTCGTAAGAGTCGACAAATTGGGAGCTTCCTTTAAAGTCGGAGTGCATCTGCCGGAGAGGCAAGGAACCAGCAGTCTGCAAAACAAATTAGTCAGATCTGTAAAACGGATGCAGACGCAACACTCTGGTTCTGGAACAGGACTGCAGTCAGAAGTGGATGAACAACCAGAACTTTCCGCCAGAGTTTACAGCTGGTGAACGCGAAGATAAAGAAGAACTGGGTGATAAAATCCCAGCCTTCGCCCGGGGTTGAAACCGGGACCTCCAGCACTTGAGGCGGATGCCTCGAGAAAGTTATGGCTGTTTGTCCATTTCTGGATATAAGTCTTGATCGAGAACTGAGGATCTGGCTTACTTAGGGCAAACTGTTGTTTCCCCGCCTTTCAGGAAGAAATACCGCTATTTAGTCTCCTTTTGATCTGAGGCAGTAGGTCTATACTTCTTTTCGACCGCTCGCCCCACAAGTGAGGCCCATGAACCCAAACGAGGAGATCTAATTTTGTCACCATGTATTCTTCATTGGGTCGGCTCTGTGGCTAAGTCGATGCGAACGCTTCATAATGCCGGGTTTGATCCCAACTGCAGGTCATGCGCCTTGCGTTGGTTTCGACAGTAGTATCAAGAAAACCGACCGTCCAGAAACAATGGCAAACTACTGGACGTAAATTTGCCTAGAAAAACCACACAACAGCTAGGGGCTGTTGGGATTGGTTCTGCAACGTCCTGTAAAGGATACGCAACTAACCTTTCAAATCATTTCAGATATTTAGGATTTTAATTGATATAGGACCCAGACCATAAATTGTGTCTATGATTGCCCAGGCAACATCAGTCCTTGCCAGACAGCACACAGACAATAACAGGGATCCACAAATATTTTATGTAAAACTAAACTACGACTGTTCAGTTATTAGTACGTTTGTTTATGGCTGTTTAATGTGAACCTTTTACTGAGCTGGAAAAGTAGATACATCACTGGAAATAAGATCGTCCAATTCTTGACAAGCTATATAGAGACTACGTCATAAATGACGATGTTCGCTGTATAAATATCCAGCACACTGGTAACTATAAACCGCTTTTGACTTCACTGAAAAGACAGAAAATGCAATGGTACGCACGTGTAATGAGATCAAACGAGAAAACAATACTACAGATCGGAAAAGAGGCAGACCAAGAAAGCGCTGGATTTAGAACTTGACAAACTAGACAGGCTTAGGCGTGCAGCTATGAAGTCCGCTGTAACTGACCCGTCAAATGTGAAGCGAGCTGATCAGACAATCAACAGCATCTGTTGACCCGACGACACCCAGTGTAACGGGAGGTTGATGATGTTTAGCTACACAATTGACTCAGTTTTGATTGATACGATGAAAAGCAGACATTTTCCACATCCTTGTGTTCATTTCTTTTGTAACTGTTTATATTACTATTACCACTAATATTGTCTTAAGTCTGTGCTGTAGTCGGTGTCAAACATCACAACCCTACACTGCACAGTGGACTAATCTTTACCATTGTCTCTGTCCAATCAAAGAGCTCCTAACATCTTGTTGGTCAGATGGAAAACCAAACCAGTTTGTGCCAAATCTGCATGCTGACATGGAAAACATGGACCCATCCAGTAATTACACATTTGAATTTCTGGCTGAATTCTTTCAGGAAATCAAAGATTTATTTGTTGATAACTATCTTCACCTGGGAATGGACGAAGCTCTGTACCAGTGCTGGTATGGTTACCTTTGTTAATTAAGTTTCAGCCAAGCAATACCTTTACAGTTTACAATTTGCGTTATATATATGCATCCGGGTAGAGAGATCACTATAAATAATCCAGTTTCGTCCTTTTCAGGACGAAATTTTTTGTCATTTGAAGCCCCACTCTGGCTTTTGCCAGGGGCCGCAATATAGGCAGGCCATTTTATATGGCCAAATGTCTGAACACGGTTTCTGGGACCTCTCCACGGCGATCCTCATCCACATGGTGGCACTTTGTGTCATCGGGTGTTTATCGCTTGTGTGATGTCCTGGTGGGGTAGAAAGTCAGTCAGTCAGAGAGATCACAGTAACTAAACTCTCACTCAGTCATACAGAGTGCAAGGTGCTAGACCCTGTTTTAAAGACCACTGGGCACTATTGGTGATTTGGTCAACACCATACCGGTCATAAGGTCGCCTTTACTTCCCAGGACTTTACTGATTGCCTATTTTAGACTGGATCGTTCAGGGACTGATTTGTGGGGGGGGGGGGGGGGGGGAACTGATGCAGATTTGAACCACGTGTGGGTTCAGGGGCTTTTTTGTGGGGGGGGGGGGGGGGGGGGGGGGGGGGTGACGAGAAAAGACCCACTGCCTACCCAAAAGCATGTCAGAAGAGTCGACAAACTGGAAGCTTCCTTCGAAGTCGGAGTGCATCTGCTTGAGAGGCAAGGGAATAACAGTCTGCAAACAAATAAGTCTGATCTGTAAAATGGATGCACACACAACACTCAGGGTGTGGAAGAGGACAGCAGTCCAGAAGTGGACGAACAAACAGAACTTCCGCCAGAATTTACAGCTGGTGAACGCAAAGAAGAAGAAGTTGAACCCGCTATCTTCGAGAGACAGGCAAGCGACTTGATACTACACCACGGCACTCCCGCAACACCCTCCTTCTCCCCAACTTCCCCCCGCCTCAATATAAAGTTTCGTTAAATGTTTCTCGGTTTATACAACACTTTCTGTTACTAAAAAAAAAAAAAAAAAGACATAGAAAGTTAGCAAATGTGTTGGTAGATGATGGCTCACTTTCTTAAACACATACAAGACGACTGGTCTAGTCTTTTTCTTGATGATCAAGTCATCATTTATTGTTATTCTCATTCACCTGTTGGTTATCTTGTTGTTGTTAGTTTTTTTTTTTTTTTTTTTTTTGTTTTTTTGTTCTTTCTTATCAACACTGTAAAACTTCTTCTTCTTCTTCTTCTTCTTCTTCTTCTTCTTCTTCTTCTTCTTCTTCTTCTTCTTCTTCTTCTTCTTCTTCTTCTTCTTCGTGCTCACTGATTGTAAACTCCAGAGAAAAGTGCTGGCTGTTCGTCCACTTCTAGACATTGATCTTGTTCCAAAACTTGTATTTTGCTTGCATATGCATTTTTCAGCTTCTGGCTTATTTCAGGCAGAATGTTAGTTCTTTGCTTTTCAGGCAGATGTACTCTGACTACAAATGAACGACCCCTAATTAGTCGACTTTCACGACACGCTTGCAGCATGACGGTGGGGGAGAGGGATCTATTCTGTCTTTCCCCAAAATGGGGCCTGGAGCCTACACAGTGAACTGGGTATTAAACGGCCGTTGCTGTTAATATCACATCATAGAAATAGCCTTTACTTCCTAGAGCAATTTCAGACGCCTGTTTCAAACTTGGTCGACCTAGGAGACTGGGTCCATTAAAAAAAGGTTCACATTTGAAGAGAGTTTGTGCACACTATGACTATGTGTATATGCTAATGCACTACCAAAACTCCCTAAGACCAGAGGGGAACAGCCACAACTCCCTAAGACCAGAGGGGAACAACCACAACTCCCTAAGACCAGAGGGGAACAAAATAAATATTTTTTTTTAACTTGTTATTTCTTCAAGACTCATGGTGTCCCTCCCCCCTCTGCCGCCCTTTTCTCTTCTCCGATCCATGTGTCCGCATATGTGGCTTATGTGTTGTCTGTGCGCTTAGTAAAAACAAAGTCCCCGGTTCGATTCTAACTGCAAGCAATTTGGCAGCAAGCCGCTTGCGTTGATTTCGATACCTGTATCGAGAGAAGACCGTTCAGGGAGCAGTGGCAAACTACTGAGCGTGAAACTGCATAGGAAAACCAAACAGCCAAAGAATGCTGGGCTTTGTTCTGCAAAGTCCTGTAACGGATGCATTACTAACTAACTAATCCATGTAAGTAGTAAGCATCCAAATGTCTGATAAAGGTGATTTCCCAGTGGTACATGGTTTCAGGCAGTCAAATCCAGACATCGCCAGTTTCATGAAACATCTTGGTCTGGCAGCAGGCGACTATGTTGGCTTGGAACAATACTACGATGAAAGACTGCTCACTATTGTCAAAAACATGGATAGGAAGTCGGTTATCTGGGAAGATCCCATCAACAATGGAGCAAATGTATGTATGTATGTATGTCTTTATGTTTAGTTACGGATCTTAAGCTCGTTGTTGGTGTGCTGGTTTTATATTCTTCCGTGTCTCTTCACTGTTTATTTGTTTGTCTACGTTCTCCAACTGTAAGCTCCAGTCAGAAAGTTCTGGCTGGCTGTCAGTTTTTAGACTCTGGCTTTGTCTCAAGATTATGTTTCACATGTGCCTCTGTTTGGCATGTGTGTGTATTCTGTTTCTTTTTGCCAGACACCGACTTCAAAGGAACTTCCTTGTTGTCCAATACCTTTATTTGCTTTCTTTGTGATTTGTATAGTCGAATGTCTGTTTTCATGTTCCCTGTTACCTCACTGCGGCGTCCATGTCTTCGGCTTAGTCCGACTAGTAATTCCAACGTGCCGCGATCGAAACCCACTGCTGGCTGCGTGGATTTGTATCAAGCAGCCACTCTTTCCGAAATTTTCGCTCATACTTTACTTTTGGCATGTTGAAAGGTTTTTCAAAGTCAAAGCCACATATGAAGGTGAACAATTATTTTTTTTTTTAATCACATGAAAACGAAACACAAAGTCAGTACAGTGAGGATACGGTTGAAACAAAGTTAGTATGATTTACGCGTGCTTTTAATTAATCAGTACCGGGGCTGCCAGATATTTTAGCGTTGACCCCAGTGAGAGTTCAAAGTTTAAGTAATCGCAGTTGTCACAATATACGTGCCAGACCAAAAAAAAATATATTGTAGGAAATATTTTACACAGTAATTATTAAACTGACACTGAAAGAAAAAAAATCTATAAAATATTTAACTCCAAATGAAAAACATAGAAAAACATCTACCATCTAAACGTCAAAAACACCATCTAAATCCAAGGGAAGACATCTAAATCTGGATGTAAAACATCCAAAATGGCAACACTGCGTCGGACCTCCACAATTTGTGATGTAATGTAGTTCCATTAGGTCAGATCACCAACTTCTGACAGGAGTAGTTGATCAATCCTTCAGTAAATGCTCAGAAGTCTGTTTGCTCTGCATGAACTGTCTCAACAAGTATGTACTTTTTACTTCTGTTTATATTGATGGTTATGTTTCATGTGTTGTTCGTCCATCACGAGTGATGAAGACCACTTTCCTTCAGAGTAGAAATAATCAATGATTATGAGTACGAGGGTGGCTGATTAGTCCAATATGAGCCTGGGAAGTTCTTGAGCAGTGCGGACGACAGATGGAAGCCGCAGTAAGTGTGGGATTAGCAGTACGTATCTTTCTAGTCTGCCTCCGTTTCTCTGCCTGTGCAATCTCTGCTGCCTGGCAGGCCGATGCACCATGTCTGAGGGACGTACGCCATCCAGAATGCAGCAGTCTCTCACTTCGCAGTGTTGATGCCAAAATAATTGAGAGCAGTCTTCAGAGTGTCCTTATAGCGCTTTTTCTGTCCTCCTGTGACCTTTTCCCTTGCTGGAGCTCGCCATATAATGCTCTCTTTGGGAGGCGATATTGTGGCTAGCGGGTTAGGTGACCAGCCCAACGCAGCTGATAATTCTTATAATTCATGTACCGCGTTCTTAATTTTACAAGCATGTATGGTGAAGGTAATCCTAAAACTACTGTCATCCCGGTCTGAAGCATTAGGCTTTCACACATTCTAGGCTATGACATACAAGCGGTGGCCAGTTCTCTGCAGACATTTCCCAGAAAGTGCATTGTAAATAGGATAAGGTTTCTAAATACTGTTGCATTATTGTTTTGGTTAGGATATCCAACTTCAGTGATCATTATTTGCGGTTTCTGTTTTTCTTAGTCTTTGACTTTTCATTGTTGGTTTAATAAACACGAAACTATTAAGTTTTTTGGTGTAGAATATTTGTGATATTTGACATTGTTAGCTCCTAAGTTTTGAATAACATTCAACAGATGTATAATTCTATGACGTTTCCTTCCATAAACACATTGAAGATTAGCAGAAGCACCTTGATCCAGCTGTGGAAGGACTACAACCTGGCACCCGCACTGTTTGAGCCCTGGCCAACATACATGAAGTCTGCACTTACTGCTGGGTATCACGTGATCTTCTCTTCCTGCTGGTATCTGAACAAAATCAATTATGGACAGGACTGGAAGAATCTCTACACTTGTGACCCAGCAAGCATCAATGGTATGCATTGTCTAATGAAGTCAGCATCTTCTAGACTTATTGGTTTATGTTGATGATGCTAAGTTGGTAGGTAGGTAACTTGTACCCCATCAGGACATAAAACAAGCGACAAACACCATGCGGATGAGGATCACAGTGGGGAGGCCCCTGACACCCCGTTCAGCCGTTGGGCCATATTAAGGCCAGGTTATATTGAGGGCCCCGGCAAAATAACTCAAAATTGCATCTCACATGGGGATAACGATTACAGATTTGTCTTTGTCGTGGTTTTCTCTATCTGTCTTGCTCTTCTTGGGCGGCCTAAGTGATGAATTTGTTTATGTTGTTGTAGGATTCAGCAACACTATTCATCCATCCCTTTCTTGGTCTTCCCCTCACCAACTTTCTCTCTAATGCTGGTATTCGTATGTCCTATAATTTATTCTTTCTGGTGTAGTACGCCCCATATGTCCTCCACTTTTCTTTCCAATATAGTTTACTGCAAGGTATTATGTCACTTTGTTCTTCTCATCCATAATTTTTGTCCCCGATTTCTCCTTGTGTTGTTTACATTGATTACATTCATTCATTCATTTTCCTATTGTGCCATTATATGTCACATAAGGCTCACAGTCTACTTCTCCATTCTGTTTTATTATGTGCAATCAGTTCAGTATCATGGACGGAACCCAGTCCACCAGCTTTGACCTCTCTCATCAACGTTCGTCTTAGGGTTTCTTTTTTTTTTCGTCCCCGCATCCTTTATCCCTTTATTTCACATTGTAATGTTTGTTTGGTCTTTCTCTGCTGATTTCTTCTCAATATGTATCAAATGTAGCACTATCTTTTTTCTACACTACTTTTGAATACATCTTTTTTTTATTTTCGTTTTTTTCCTCTGACATTTGTTATCGAATGCATCTAACTTTCGTTCCATGCATAGATTTATATCAACCCGCCCCCTTTTTTCCCAAGAGTATGTCTATATTCAATAAACATGTTTTTGTCTGCTCACCGTATCTGCCGAACCATGACAGTTCAACATATTTAAGGATACAGAACTATATTCTAACTCCATTTACCTGTAGTGCAACAGCAGAGCACCATATTGACTCACACAGGAACTGAATGCTTGTTAAACATGTCTCCCAGCCACCGAGGAAGAGCTGTCACACATTCTAGGAGGCGAGGCTTGCACCTGGACCGAATACATTGATGAAAATAACTTACTACAGACTGCATGGTAGGTTCATCCAGTGATGTCTTACTAACAACAAAAACATACGGCAGAATTAGTAATTTATTTTTTTTAATGTAACGGTCTCAATGAGTTTGTTATACATTGATATCCAATATTAAATATTTTTCTTATCAACACTGTAAATCTTCTTCTTCTTCTTCTTCTTCTTCTTCTTCTTCTTCTTCTTCTTCTTCTTCTTCTTCTTCTTCTTCTTCTTCTTCTTCTTCTTCTTCTTCTTCTTCTTCTTCTTCTTCTTCTTCATCTTCTTCTTCTTCTTCTTCTTTTTCTTCTTCTTCTCTGCGTTCACTGGCTTAAACTCCGGCATAACGCTTTGGTTGTTCGTCCACTTTTGGACTTAGTTTTATTCCAGGACGAGTTTAGCATGCACATCCGTTTTAAAGCTCTAACTTATTTGTATGCAGACTGTTAGTTCCTTCCTATAGGGCAGATACAGTCGTACTTTGAACGACACCGCTAGTTAGTCGACTCTTACGACATGAGGTATGAGTTATGAGTTGGATTATCTTCACAGCACTCCGGACGCATCCATATTTGCTCAGATTCCCCTTTTAACATATTTATCAGCGTTCTATGGTTAATAGTGCCAATCCTATGCTGATTAACAAGACTTCGTGTATGTGTCCGGTTTGCTTCTCATACTTGGCTGTGCCGAACGTTACTCCAAATTGTGGCATTCTTAGCAGTGATGTGGACACGTTACTTCCAAAATTCTCGGAACGTCCTATCTCTATTAGGGCATTGAAAATGTCTGCGTGATCCATGGGCCGGCCATCTTCAATTAATGCGACACCTGCGAGCCTAGTAGCTCTTTCATTACCAACAACACATGCATGCCCTGGTGTAAAGATGAAGGTAACTGCACACACACCGGAGAGTTTTTGCAATGACTCAATGCACTTTCTGCTAACTAGCCTGTATCATGCTCAAAGAATCACTGAGCACACACACGCGGAAATAGTCCTGTGATTCAAGCCACACGAAAGTTTGTGTTACCGCCATCACCATGCTGCTGACAGTCATGGAAAAGACACCGCTAGCTTCTTGAACTGTTCTGCCTGAAGAGCAAGCTGTAAATGCCCATGAACTCTTATGCCCTCGTAAAACTGACCCTTGTTTGGGACGCATTGGGTCTTCTTTCTAGCCCCCCCCCCTCCCACACACACACACACATACACACAAAGATCAAAGAACTCTCATGGGGAAAAACTGAAAATAATTGCATGTCATCATCTCAGTTATTTTTTCCCCACAACATATTTGTGTTCAGGCCAAGAACACAGACGTGATCCCTTATTCTCGAGGTTGCATGAGATGGCAAGCAAGAACCCCCACCCCCTCTCCTGTTTACGCTTATCGGCATTATCATTATCATCCTGTGTGTGCCGCTAGACGTCACATGGGGCTCGTATTCGATTTCTCCACTACACTCTACTATTTCGTGCAGCTCTCGATTTCTGACATGCAGTTCAGCCCAGCATTGTTAGCCTCTCGTCAATATGTTCTCCCTAATCTTTCTCTGGGACGTCCTCATTTTCTCATAATGTTTGTTACCCAGTTCAGTGCCTGTTTTGTAATTCTTTGCTCTTTTCATCTCAGAGTGTGCCCAATATAGCCTATCTCCACCTTTTTTTTTTATCTTATTGCATAGGGGCTGCGTGGTCTCGAGGCATGGAATCCGCCTAGAGGGCTAGAGGTTCCGGGTTCATTCCCCGGTAAGGGCAGGTACTTTTTTCACGTGTACTTCCCTCTGGTCTATGGGTAGTGAGATCGGAGGCCCGTGCGCATCGTTGCGCACGTAAAAGTCACCCACAAGTTACCAAGTTCTACTTCTATGGGCTGGTTGTTTGAGGCGGGAAGGAGGTGTCTTAAAGGTTTCCACTCATGTTCATTTGATTGTTTGATGAGTGTGGAAACTTTCGCAAGAACATTTTGGCTTTATCAGTTAGCTTGGTTACAATATTGATCTTGTAATTCTTTAAAGTGTACATGCTTCAAAGGGTTTCTTTTCCTGATAACTTCTGCCTCTCCTGCTAGGCCTTCTAAAGATTGTTTCCAAACTTCATCCTTAGTTTTCATGTATTTTTCACAAGCTGTAATTTTCACAGACCTGATTTTGTTGTTGTTTAAATCTGATTAAAAATGATTTCGTCCCGTAAAAGTATTTCAAACTGACCTTTTTTTCTCAATTTCTTCAACAAGAAACGCATTATTATTATTCGCTAACTCTATTCCACAAGAAACTACAGACAGAGAAAAAGAAGCAGAAGAAATTAGGAGTCCTTGGCAGTTTGTGAAAAATCTACACTAAATCGTGGCAAATCAAATCATAATAATTACAGTGTATTATTATTATAATAACTTTTGTGAAGAAAAATAAATTAATCCCGGTTCACCTTAATCACTAAATACAAACGGAGCCAAGAATTAACTGCTTTTTATCCATTTTACCATGATAAATGTGGTTTCGTTGACTTGACCACGACTTTAAACATTGTATTCATGCGCAACAACAGGCCCAGGGCAGCGGCTGTAGCTGAACGGTTGTGGAGTCCTGCCAATATTACAAGCACAGATGATGCTGCATTCCGGCTTGATCAGCACCGATGTCGCCTCATCAGGTGATTATCTAGCGGTTAATGTTTGTCAACTTGTAACATCGCCTTATATGACAACATACATTCAACCTTTTTACTGATTGTTACTAGAGACAAATCCGACGATCTAAACCAATGCTCCTTTGTGCACTCAACCCACAAAACGAGTCGACGTTCCCATTTGGGATGCAATTTTTCGTTATTTAAAGCCCCACCCTGGCTTTTGCCGGGGGCTCTGAATATAGCCGGGCCTGAAATATGGCCTACCGGCTGAACGGGACAGTCGTGACTGGACCTTGGTTTAAAAAAAAAAAAAAGTAAAAGACTTAGAGGTTACAGAAGAGATGGTTTTATACGTGCGTGGTGGACAGAGGTGTGCGATAATTAGGTATGCCTTAGCAGCCTTAGCATAAAGTGTTATAGCGACATTTTCTCAGATAATTTTTTTTACCCAGTAGCGGTTACTTTGTGATAGTGGCCAGTGTGTGAATATATTTGTGCTTCTGCTAGACTGATAGTCTTCTGTACACCTTAATGACTCGATACATTATACGTGTTACTTCATTGTCAAATGCTGTCGTTCAGGGACCATCGCTGCAGGTGAGGTATCACTCCTGAGGGACAGTCAGCATCATACACAATGCACTTTAGAGCCTCCTGGTGGGTCTCAGCAGCAACATTGTAGTTGGAGTAGGAGCAACAACATGGCATTTGAAACTGGATGCTGGATAAAACTGTGAGGGCGGCATTTTAAACTGGATGCTGGATGAAAGTGTGAAGGCAGCATATGAAACCTGGATGCTGGATGAAACTGTGAAGGCGGCAATTGAAACTGGATGCTGGATAAAACTGTGAAGGCGGCATATGAGACCTGGATGCTGGATGAAACTGTGAAAGTGGCATATGAGACCTAGATGCTGGATGAGACTGTGAAAGTGGCATTTGAAACCTGGATGCTAGATGAAACTGTGAAAGTGGCATTTGAGACCTCGATGCTGGATGAAACTGTGGATAACAGAAAACAAGATCGCAGCTATACAGGAGCCTCAAGGTGGTTTGAACTTTGGTCAAGAGGGTAGGCAATCCCATTTATACTGTGGCACTGGTTATACATAAAGCCATACTAAATCTCAGCACGCTGTCAGCATGATTTGTGTAGAAGCTATGATCCTGCCAAGAGTTTTGTGTCAGACAAGTCAAGATTAATGTAAGCTTACAGTGACAGAAAGAACTTTGACAATTTAATGTTGTTATAAAGTTAATGGTGCTTAAATTATTATTTTCTGCTTACATTTTATTTTTCTTCAATGTTGTATTATTTATCTTTTTACAGAACTTACGCCCTTAGTTTACTCATACAAAGCGTTCCTCTCTTTCCATGTCACTGCAGATCTATGTATGTCATCCCAATATTGTCATTCTAAAAATCTAAGTGCTTTCCCTTATCCGGTAATCCTAGTTTCAGCTTCATAGCAAAGGGATCACCCCATAGTTGCTCTGCTCCTGTGCCAACAAAAAACACACGTAGCACACAGTGTAGCTTCCCCTCATGTTTTATGTTGGACATAAAATGGGATTAATCAAGTTGGGTGAAGAAATAAGAGAAAGTTCCGGGCAACCTGTGATATTAACAGTTATAAGACCAAGAAGATGGTGCTACAGTGGACACATCCTGGGGAGAAATGTGCAGAAAATAATCAAACAGGAACTCAGATAGGAAATAAAGATTTGATGAAGCAAGGACATCAACATGAAAACCTAAAACAAATATTGATGAGAGAACGAACGAACTAAATTTATTTTCAAAGAGTTACAAATTGGGCACACAGGCCCGTCTGACATTTGGCCCTTCTAAGCACTCATTTTTCAGAGTACCAATGCCTGTTATCAATAATGCATGTTATGGATGTAATAAAGAAATATACATTATGAAATAATGCATACACACATCATATGTACACAGTCTTACACACTCAACCACACACACACACACGTATACATACTCTTACATTCTCATACATGCACACTCATACACAGATAATACATACATACACGCATCTACATACATGTACAACATAAAACACACACACATACATACATAGACATACCTGCACACACACATTCCATACATACACACCTACAAAGGCCAAAGTTGCTGGACTGTATTCCATCATCTATGATACTGAAGGGATTGATTGGGATAGAATGAACTGGAGCAATAGATTGTGAGCCCTATGTAATACATAATGGGATAACAGGACAGTGATGATGATCATGATTTAATTCCTCTTTATCTTTCTTCCCTGTGGATTCTAGTGAAAAGACTTTCTTGTTATTTTTAAAATTGATATTTGTCTCAATGTTTAGCCTATCCTGCATCTTTTCAACACCTTTTCATTTGGTGAAATTTGTTTCATTCTCTCTACTAAACACCAATCGTCAATAATGACTCTGTCATTTTGTTTTATTGTCTCTATTCTGCATAAGCAATAGCTGATGAATGTTTGTAGTTTGTTAGAGTAACTTTCAACTGACATACATATATAAACTACTCACAAGTAAATGGCTTTGTTTAGTCACAATACACATCCAGGAAAACTAATTTTGTTGATAATACTTGGTCTCTAATTCTAATCAGACTATGTGAACTGAAAGTAAAACCTGACAAGGCAGGTTTATCACATCTGTCAGGTCAAGATATGAGATATTATAACCAACTTCATATAGGAACAGTCAGCAGATGTATATCTGGATGGCTGCTGTGTCAAAGGAAATCATCATGCATGGAAATGCTGAAGGTGAAATAATGTTGATCATAATAAAATTGAAAATATCAGAAATAAAGATCGGAGGACAGGAAAATAAGAAAATCAAGTAAAAATTTACTTTACATGGAATGCGAGAACATTAATGGCTCATACATATTCAGAGACAAAAAGAACCTATGAAAACAGGTACTAGAAGAGTTATATAATCAGGTGACTTTAGCTCCAAGTTTGACACTAACATGAGGATCTGCTGACCGCATGGTTAGAATGCTCTCAAGCGAATGACCCCAGTTTGAATCTTCAGTAAGGTTGGGGATTTTTTTTCTGTCGGGGACAAAGATAAATTATGAACCTGCACAGTCTGTGGCGACAGCACCAGCCATGCAGCCCTAAATCATGAGGTTCAAAGAGCCCGCTGCCGACATCGCAACAAGTGATAAATACAGGCAGTCATGAATGTGGCAGTTGACACTAATGTAATTCTGTCTCATGAGAGTTTGTGATACACGAACAAGGAGAACAATATCTACACTGAAAAGAACTAGAGTTGATTATATATTACTTTGTTTAGTGAACCACATACTGTGCTATGTGTTGAAATATCTAGTCAGCAGACCTCTTTATTATGTTCGAACCCAACATAATAGAAGTATAATACACTTCAGCTTAATGGACAGTTATTGATCACATATTGTGTGTTACTCATGGCAGAGAGAGTTAATGATGATGATAATACTTTATTAACAAGGAGATTTGTTGCACTGGACAAACCTGCAGGAGATAACTTAGTCACAGTGGTAGCTAGGGTACATACTTGATCTGTTCCTGATGTTTGGACGTATACTTAACAGTATGTATATCAAACAAATTTTCCCATAAGAAATAAAGGGGAAACGATTAATCTGATCCCATGAACAGAAAATCCTTTTGTTATTGGTATGTTATAAATCAATGGGGGTTTTATTTAATAATGTACGTACAGGGCACCACAGAGAGCAGTGATATACATATACAGTGGTAACAAAGCCAGAGGTCGACCACGCAGAATATGGACCACACAAAAATCAGAGACACTGAAAAATATTTTTTATGAGGCAAACAAAAAGGCCCATTCCAGAGATCTCTTCCTGCCCTGACACCATGAGACATTCCAGAGATCTCTTCCTGCCCTGACACCATGAGACATTCCAGAGATCTCTTCCTGCCCTGACACCATGAGACATTCCAGAGATCTCTTCGTGCCCTGACACCATGAGACATTCCAGAGATCTCTTCATGCCCTGACACCATGAGACATTCCAGAGATCTCTTCCTGCCCTGACACCATGAGACATTCCAGAGATCTCTTCGTGCCCTGACACCATGAGACATTCCAAAGATCTCTTCCTGCCCTGACACCATGAGACATTCCAGAGATCTCTTCCTGCCCTGACACCATGAGACATTCCAGAGATCTCTTCGTGCCCTGACACCATGATGCATTCCAGAGATCTCTCCCTGCCCTGACACCATGAGGCATTCCAGAGGTCTCTTCCTGCCCTGACACCATGAGACATTCCAGAGATCTCTTCCTGCCCTGACACCATGAGGTATCCAGAGGTCTCTCCCTGCCCTGACACCATGAGGCATTCCAGAGGTCTCTTCCTGCCCTGACACCATGAGGCATTCCAGAGGTCTCTTCCTGCCCTGACACCATGAGGCATTCCAGAGGTCTCTTCCTGCCCTGACACCATGAGGCATTCCAGAAGTCTCTTTCTGCCCTGACACCGTGAGGCACTCCAGGAAGAAAAAGAAGAAGACAGCCTAATTCTAAAACAAAAGCTATTGGAAAAGAACTTCGCTTCTGCCTTCTTCTCGTGATGTCTCAGAAATATGACACTGCCATGGCCAACATTCCAGACAATATATAACGGCTTGTTTGGGCTCTGTTAGGGTGATACTTCCTTGCAAAGTAGTTGACATCTATTTATTTGACACATATTTCCATGATTAATGAGAGAGATAAAGGAGGATAGTGCACCGTGTTGTGATTCATTAAGACTCATACAAGTTTTAGCATGCTGGACATATTCCAAACAAATGTTGTATACAAAACAAAAGTTTTTATAACTTAACAGAACATAACCAAATTGAACATACACCAGAAAGAACTTATACCAAGGTACCACTGTAATAGAACTGTTACCATCAATGCATATTCAGTAGCTAATGTATGTTTACTCATATGCGCTGTTTTTCTAATTGCCAAACTGACATCTGTACACCAGACAAGGTATCCCTGCTGCTCCCATCTCCCCTGGCTTCTGCCATGATGACTACAACACAGACAACTCTGGAGTTCACCAACTACAACTTCTGCAAGATCCACAAGATGGATTATCTCTCCCAACAGCTGAATCAGGGTCTGTGAGGGACAGCCAAAAGCCCATCGTTGGATAATTGTATCACTAATTTTATATTTGTTATTATTTGAACAAATTTAAGTGGAATTTACTACAAAGATTTAGGGTATGATACATGACCAACTGCCACCTGTTATCACAAGATGTCTATATGTACTGGAGAAATTAATAACCATTGTGACAACCATAGATACATATACTGGAAAACATTATCCCCAGTTGTAATATCACTGAGTGCATATATGTACTTGACAAATTCTTCTTCTTCTTCTTCTTCTCATTCACCGGCTGTAAACTTCGATGGAAAGTTCTGGGTGTTCGCCCAACTCCATCTTTAGTCTTGCTCCAGAACCTGAGTGTTGCATGCACATCCCTTTTACAGATCTGGCTTATTTGTCTGCAGACTATTGGTTCCTTGCCTCTCAGGCAGATGTACTCTGACTTCAAAGGATGTCCCCAATTAGTCGACTGCTACGACGTGCTTGTTGGAGAGGCAGTGGGTCTATTCTTGTTTTTTCCCCAAAATGGGGCCCCAGAACTCACATGACGAAATTGGTGAATTAAAACAGCATTCGTTGCATGCACTGACTTGACCTTTAGTGAATTAAAACAGCATTAGCTGCATACATTGACTTGACCTTTGGCAAATTAATAAAACAGCATTAGTTGCATACATTTACTTGACCTTTGGTGAATTAAAAAACAGCATTAGTTGCATACATTTACTTGACCTTTGGTGAATAAAAAAACAGCATTAGTTGCATACATTTACTTGACCTTTGGTGAATTCAAACAGCATTAGTTGCACATATTTACTTGACCTTTGGTGAATTAAAACAGCATTAGTTGCATACATTTACTTGACCTTTGGTGAATTCAAACAGCATTAGTTGCACATATTTACTTGACCTTTGGTGAATTAAAACAGCATTAGATGCATACATTTAGTTGACCTTTGTTGAATTAAAACAGCATTAGTTGCAATCATTGACTTGATCTTTTGTCAAAACTACCAAAGACAGTTTTAGTGAGTGACCAGGGAGATCTGACTGACACTAAACAATCAGAGGAAGGCAAGATGGACATACAGTCAGACTGCTACCAGTTCATCAACTGTGGAATTTTCTGCTGGCTGCTGAAGATGGGAAGTGAGGGTTTATAGGAATGTAATGCCAATTCTTACATGCAGATATGCACTGGATAAATGTTTGCCTATTCATTCTAAAAAATATATATATATTATTTAATAATTTGTGGATAAGTATCAATTTTTATTTATTGTTTCCCCCATTGTAGGCTACTGTGTTATGATGTGTAGTAGGCTACTGTGTTATGATGTGTAGTAGGCTACTGTGTTATGATGTGTAGTAGGCTACTGTGTTACGATGTGTAGTAGGCTACTGTGTTACGATGTGTAGTAGGCTACTGTGTTACGATGTGTAGTAGGCTACTGTATTACGATGTGTAGTAGGCTACTGTGTTACGATGTGTAGTAGGCTACTGTGTTACAATGTGTAGTAGGCTGTGTTACAATGTGTAGTAGGCTACTGATTTACAATGTGTAGTAGGCTACTGTGTTACAATGTGTAGTAGGCTACTGTGTTACAATGTGTAGAAGGTATTGTGATACAATGTGTAGTAGGCTACTGTGTTACAATGTGTAGTAGGCTACTGTGTTACGATGTGTAGTAGGCTACTGTGTTACAATGTGTAGTAGGCTACTGTGTTACGATGTGTAGTAGACTACTGTGTTACATTGTGTAGTAGGCTACTGTGTTACAATGTGTAGTGGGCTACTGTGTTACAATGTGTAGTAGGCTACTGATTTACAATGTGTAGTAGGCTACTGTGTTACAATGTGTAGTAGGCTACTGTGTTACAATGTGTAGTAGGCTACTGTGTTACGATGTGTAGTAGGCTACTGTGTTACAATGTGTAGTAGGCTACTGATTTACAATGTGTAGTAGGCTACTGTGTTACAATGTGTAGTAGGCTACTGTGTTACAATGTGTAGAAGGTATTGTGATACAATGTGTAGTAGGCTACTGTGTTACGATGTGTAGTAGGCTACTGTGTTACAATGTGTAGTAGGCTACTGATTTACAATGTGTAGTAGGCTACTGTGTTACGATGTGTAGTAGGCTACTGTGTTACAATGTGTAGTAGGCTACTGTGTTACAATGTGTAGTAGGCTACTGTGTTACAATGTGTAGTAGGCTACTGATTTACAATGTGTAGTAGGCTACTGTGTTACGATGTGTAGTAGGCTACTGTGTTACAATGTGTAGTAGGCTACTGATTTACAATGTGTAGTAGGCTACTGTGTTACAATGTGTAGTGGGCTACTGTGTTACAATGTGTAGTAGGCTACTGTGTTACAATGTGTAGTAGGCTACTGTGTTACAATGTGTAGTAGGCTACTGTGTTACAATGTGTAGTGGGCTACTGTGTTACAATGTGTAGTAGGCTACTGATTTACAATGTGTAGTAGGCTACTGTGTTACAATGTGTAGTGGGCTACTGTGTTACAATGTGTAGTAGGCTACTGATTTACAATGTGTAGTGGGCTACTGTGTTACAATGTGTAGTGGGCTACTGTGTTACAATGTGTAGTAGGCTACTGTGTTACAATGTGTAGTAGGCTACTGTGTTACAATGTGTAGTGGGCTACTGTGTTACAATGTGTAGTAGGCTACTGATTTACAATGTGTAGTAGGCTACTGTGTTACAATGTGTAGTGGGCTACTGTGTTACAATGTGTAGTAGGCTACTGTGTTACAATGTGTAGTAGGCTACTGTGTTACAATGTGTAGTAGGCTACTGTGTTACAATGTGTAGTGGGCTACTGTGTTACAATGTGTAGTAGGCTACTGATTTACAATGTGTAGTAGGCTACTGTGTTACAATGTGTAGTGGGCTACTGTGTTACAATGTGTAGTAGGCTACTGATTTACAATGTGTAGTAGGCTACTGTGTTTCAATGTGTAATAGGCTTGTGTTTTACAATGTGTAGATGGTATTGTGTTACAATGTGTACTAGGCTACATGTGTTACGATGTGTAGTAGGCTACTGTGTTATGATGTGTAGTAGACTACTGTGTTGCAATATTACATTAAGAGGAAAAAATCCAACATTTTTTGAAAGCATGGAATGGAAGGGTTTCCAACCACAGTTTGATACATGCTGTTGGAGATTGAAAGATGCAGAGAAAAGGAATATGCTTGCCCATACCAATCAGCAAGGTATTTAATTATGACCATCTGTCTATTTATAGTCATTGTCTAAATTTATAGCCAATAAATCTGTTTTCATAAAATCAAACCAGGAAGCTTCACAAATGAAATGAAAATAAAGCTGAGTGCATTAACTAGTGCTTTTTTTTTTAACTGAAGAAAATCTATAGATATAATGACATGAGCATGAAAAATGTAACTTATGATTAAAAAATTGCAATCCTCAGCAAGAAAACACAGGTAACAAATAATCATCATTATCATCATCAATATAAAAAGGTTAGTTGCGTATCCTTTACAGAATGTTGCAGAACCAAGCCCAGCTGTTATGTGATTTCTCTAGGCAAATGTATGTCCAGTAGTTTGCCATTGCGTTCTGGAAGGTCGGCCCTTTGATACCAGTGTCGAAACCAATGCAAGGCACATGGCCCGCAGCTGGGATCGAACCTGGTACCCCGGCATTACGAAGCATTCACACAGACATAGCCACAGAGCCGACCTTCTCAATATGCAGGGGGAAATAATGCCTCTCCACAATCTGCTTTATTCAGCTGCATGTATCAGTTCATGTATGGATACTCCTCCATGCCGCGACACAAGGCCATCAGGAATCTTCTCATTTTGTCTTCCTCTGTCTCTCTTTCCACAGATCTTTCCAGTGGTCATAACATGTTCCAGCTTCTTTCTTGATTAAACAAATAGTGACTGTCTCTTTCTGTGTTTGTGATAAGTGGTCTTCACGCCCTCACCTCTTTCAAAACATCTGGGTTGCTCGTCTTGGCTGCCCAAAGAAATTCAAAGATTCTTCGATAAAAAACATCTGAAAAATATCGGTCTAGCCGTATATGCCCAACACACTTGAAGTCGTGGAAAGGGCCCTTTACTTTACTATTAGCTTGCTAGCACTCATTTCATAAGCCGTGTCCGTGACTTGAGCATTGCGAGTCCGACTCGTAATCCAGCATACCGCGATCGAAACCCACTGCTGGCTGTGTGGATTTTTATCATGGTATGTGGTTTCGCAGGTCCACCCAGCCTAAAGTGGATACCAGGATGGGTTGTCCTGGGGAAGTAAAGACGGCCAGCGTAATGTTGACCACATTACCCACCTAGTGCTGAATGGTCTGTAAAAATATGGGATGTTCCTCCCATATACCCAATGCACCTAAGGCTTCATATCCGTTGACAGCAGCAAATGATCTTGTGTGTAAAATCAACACTCATGCTTTCATTAATAATAATCCCAGTGTGCAAATATTGAAAATAATTACTTTTAATTTTATCACTGATCATTCTTACACACATAATACATTTTGCTTATACAAATTTAAAATTTTACATAATATACATGAATTATTTTTCATGAATTATTTGTTATCAAAACAGCAGAGAAAACTTAAAACAGAATTTGCAAAAAAATGACACAATGTTGCCACAGCTTACACTGAGAAACAAATATGACTTTCTTGATTAAATAATACTGATCTATACGGAAAACTCATTACATTAAACATATGGGGCATGGTTTTAACAAGAAAAAAGGTACACACACAAAAAGAAAACATTACATGTAGGTCGAAAATTTCAAGAGATGGACTAGATGAAGTAAATCAGTCTAACATAGGAGGACAGGTGCTGTCAAAGACTTATTATAGTAGACCTTCATGTGCAGATGGTACTTGTGCGAATGATGTATAAGTAACATGTGAGGAGACATAGGTTTAGTGAAAGATTTGGGAAATTCTATCCGATTCACAACAAGACATATGATAAGAAATTGTGACATAATATTATTTTTAAAATGACAACCCATTTTCTGAGAGCACAACTAAAGTGCTTTAGACATTATGAAATAGTCAAGCCTAATCAGCTATCACTGGAGACGCAAAAAAAACAAGAGGATTACCAAGAATCAGATGGACAGATATTATCAAATAGACAAATTTAAGCACAAATCCAAAGTCCAAATGGATGAACAACCAGGACAGTCCGCCAGAGCTTACAGCCAGTGAACAAAGAAGAAGACAAGGTGTATAATGTTAATACTGAGAATAAAATGTACGATGATAAATTAAGGTGCAAGAAAAATTAACTTGGAATTGCTGAAAAAATATAATGTCTGCAACAGGTGAAATCGTTCCTTTGTTTGGTCCTGTTTACAACAATCACTAACAAAACAGAACATGAAGTAAACAGCAAGCTGCAGTACATTACTTGTCAGACTGTTTGTAATCGTGTCATGTTTAGATAAAATACATTTATATTTGTCCTCTGGTACAACTTGGACCATGGTTTTTTTGTTTTGTTTTTCAACGCCTTTATATCTGTATGATAGTGCAGAACTTGGGAAACGAAAACTGATCACCTCACCTCATAAAAACTATGGTTTATGCGTCTGCGTGTATGTCTGTGTGCGTATGTGTGACTGTGTGCATGTCTGTGTGTTTATATCTGTGTATGTGTGCGTGTTGCGTGTGTCTATGTGTGTGTCTGTGTGAGTCTATGTGTGTGTCTGTGTGTTTCCCTACCTGCGTGTGTGCATGTGTTTGTGTGTGTGCCCGTGACTGCATGTGTGTGTGTCTGTGTAGGTTTATGTCTGTGTGCGTCGGTGTGTGTGTTTGTTTGGGTCTTTTTGTGCTGCTACATGTGTGAGTGTATAGCTGTGTATCTGGATGTGTCTGGGTTGTATGCGTGTGTGTTTTGGAGCATGTGTCTGTGTGGGTTACTGTGTGTATGAGTGTATGTATGTATGTATGTATGTATGTTTGTTTGTATGTGTGTGTGTGTGTGTATGTATGTATGTATGTATGTATGTATGTTTGTATGTGTGTATGTATGTTTGTATGTACGTATGTATGTATGGTCATATGTATGTATGTGTGTTTGCATGTTCGAATGTATGTGGATGTATGTGTGTACTGGGTGCCTATATGTTTGTGTGTAAGTGAGTAAATGGGTTTTTGTGTGTATGTAGGTGTGTGTGTTTGCGCGCGAGCGTTCACACATATTTTACCACACATGCTTTTGTTTTTGACTTCATACTATTACATGAATATAACATGCTTCATTGATGAAATACAACTGCTGTGTGAAAGATATGAGTTTGGAAGGGCTGAATGTAAGACAGGCCTGCATGCCTAATTTGTGACCCTTTGAAAATAAAGTTCATTCGTTCGTTCGTTATGATGTTCATGACCAGTAGAATCGACTGTTGATTTAGTTTCACGTGTGGCTATTGTTAAAGATACTGAGCCAGTGAGCTGACGTTCCAAAAACACGTGTTAGACGCCAGTTGATTAATATGCTAAAGTTTAGGCCTAATTAATCAAAAACATTTTATCAAGTTTTGACAAATATATTTTATGTTACACTGCTTCACAATGAATATTAACAGATTACACATACAATTTTGAAATTCTTAAAGATTCCAAATATAACAACAATGCCATGTTTAGATAATGAAATGAAATAATTTACACAGAATTATAAAGGTAATTCATTGAGCACATAATACCCTTAACATAAACAATTTATCTATAAAAAACAAGATTTTGTCATCAAATTAACTGTAGAATCATATTGTGAGACAGAAACTTGAATACTGTTGTCTTTTTTGTGTGTACTTGAATACTGTTGTCTTGTTTGTACATAAATACTGTTGTTGTGTTTGTACATGATCTCTTTTTCTCTAGCCAATTCTCCAGCCCTGTGTGCTTTCAGAGCCGATGATGCATCCGTCTTCAATGTCCTGTTTCCACCTTTACGGAGATTGACCTCTGTCTCATTTTCCAGAAACTACACCTTCCATCACCATTCTTCCAATATCACCATGATGCTCGCCATGTCTGTGTAGTTTAGGATGTTACTTTTGTCCCTCACAGATCAGATCCATCGCCTCACCAAGGATTCAAACATCGTTCTTCAGAATGAGAGCCCAGCATTCTGAATCTTCGTCTGGCCACTTCTCAACATTTTATACATAACCCCATATAATACTAACATAGTTATCTAAAAACTGATTGTCTTACTTTATCTACTTATAAAATATGTAAGCTAAGATCTTATGGCCTCATGACAGCTGTACAAATATGCAAGTTTCACAAAACAAAACAGCTATTCACTATACACAGAACACTCATCTTGAAATGCCCAGACTGTTGCAAGTTACCGATTACTAGTTTAAGAATCGACATCATAGCATACTGGGAATACCCATAGATGTCTCATCTCTTGCAGCCAATGTTTCAAAGTTTAATCCAGACTGTGAGCACACTGGTTGTACACATGTCGTACTTTTCCTCCCATATGCCCTTTACTGACAGATCCACACATAATTGGGGTGTCTCCATGGCGAAGTGGTCAAGCCATTTGCCTCGCGATCTTAAGGACATGAGTTAATTTAACGGCAGAACCCTTCAGTTCTTAAGTGTAATTTTAAAGAAGATCCCTGTGAATCGTCACCAGAGCTACGGATTTCATGCTCTGTGCGACACTCTCTGTAGGCGGCTAGGTGTTCTACAGAGAGAGACTGAGCCATTTTTGATAAAACCCGGTTCAATGAAGTCGATCATCTCAACTTTAACCTTTATCCACACATAATTCCAAATTCACACAACCTTATACACATTGTTTCATTTAGCATTGTATCCACAATAAGCATTCGTAAATGGTCTTCAGAATGTCAGTCTTATCCAATATGAGGGTCCCTACCAGTCTCTCCACTCCTGTAGCCACAATTCTGCTGGTTAATTCCCTCACACTCCTGCGTGTCCTGGACAGCATGACCCTGCAATGTCAGAGTCCTGACGCCTAATATCCACTCATGCCCATTTGAAAGCTTCTGTAATACTGACAGGGAATCAGACACTATGATTCCTCTGGTAAATCTATTCTCGGTTATCCATTTCAGAGTTGCAGTGATTACCTCCACCTGAATCCTCATACTTGAAGTTGTGCATAACTTAAATACAGGATGCATTTTGGCAGTTTACATGACGTATAGTTTCAAAGAAATTTTACACAATAGTCAATCACTGAAAATGTAAACAATGTAAAAGACATTATTGAAGAATAAGTACTGTTTTGAACTGTGAAAATTTGAGAAAACACATACACATCCTACAAAACCTCAGTAAAACTATCTAGACTGTGGAAAACTTCTGGCCAAAGTGGCTGACAGCCAGCTAGTTGAAGTTATTTTTTTCTAGCTAAGTTTTTCTGATGCAAATTACTTATTTCTGGATGAGAAATTCAAAGATTAAACCGCTTATAAGCTGGCAGCTTATGAGATGGATTTGTGGTGCAACACTATGAGCTGTGGATTTCATGTGGAATGTTTTTTATTCTGTTGTGCCCATGGTGTGTTGCTGACTGCACTAAAATGACAGGCGGGTGGCGTGCAATACCTACACAGTTGCCCGATGTTATTGTAGAATGAGCCTCTCCTTCCAAAAAGTAATCTTCCTCCTTCTTCTCTACCATTTAAACATGCCAACAACTATCAACCATAAAAGTAAGTATGTTACAAGGGTGGACAAGCAGAATAATTGGATTTGCAGTGAATAAATTGGAACATTTATTTTAGTTCATGAACATTTTAGGTCACGAACAGTGTCAAAGAACAAATTAAGTTTGTGACTTGAGGTAGCACTGTACTAACTATGGAAGAACATAAGACCGAAGGTAGTGAAGTTTATTAGCAATAATATAACTTAAGTCTGTATGTGGAGTTCTCCTCCTCCTTCTTGTTCTTTTACTCACCATCCTTCTTCTTGTTCTTTTTTGTGTGTGTTATGATTGTCTCTCAAACTGCTGCTACTACTTCTGCATATTCTTCTAATACAATTTACCTGCATTAGTCAATGCAGGCAGTGTTGTCTGTGATATTTCTAATGCTATTAGTACTGTCTCCCAGTGACTCCATCAGCATTATTTAAGATTTCCTTTAAGATGTGATGGAAACCCTCCCTTGCAAAGGTAGACAACATCATTATTTGACTCTGACGGCAGCTTTCATGGAAATATGTTATTTATCACCTATCAACTGACCCCCATGCAGATGTGCAGACACTTGAGTGATGATGATTGATATGTTTTGTCATATTTGTTCATGTCACTCTGAAATCTCCAATCTTGGGTAAAAATTTAACCTAGAAGCTTCAACTCCAGGGTATGTTCTATTATAATCCCAGAGTTCAAGTATCTACAGAACAGTTCTAGTATTTTAAAGGTTCAGCAATCACAGATCAAGAATAGCTTTGATTTGCCTTTCTGCCAGCTGGGCTCTCTCCCTCTCTGTTTGCATGTCTGCTGGTGGTGATGAGGCTCCGGCTGCTATGACGTGCCCATCTGGCGTGAATGCACAGTGATGTGCCAGGTAAGTACAGCCCTGTGAGAATCAGAATTAAATAAAATGCTGCAGCAGTGTTTCAGGTGTAGGATGGTCAACTTGACCACTTGACACAGAACAATGAAAATGTACAATGGTCAACTTGACACAGAACAATGAAAATGTACAATGGTCAACTTGACCACATGACACAGAACAATTAAAATTACAGTGAGATTACATCTGAAAACTAATACATAAAGGTTAAAATGGAGATGACTGACTTCACAAAACCTGGATATGTGGATTCAGCAATGGACAGGTCACCTCTGTTGGCAGTGCAGACAGAAAAAAGGACATCCTCTTCTTCTCTCATGCTGAAAATGGCATCTGGGAAGATTTGTGTGCGGGGGGAAAAAAAGATTCTTAGAGACACTTTCCAAAGTCAGTCAGGCATGACTGAAAGAGTTACAATCGATACCACGAGCACATACAGGAATAAATGCAAGTAATATTACAGCCTACGTGTGATGGGTGCATTGTTTCGGTCACTACCTACACAGAGATGGCTGCACTATGTCAGACACAACCCACAGAGAGATGTCTGCACTATGTCAGACACAACCCACAGAGAGATGGCTGCACTATGTCAGACACAACCCACAGAGAGATGGCTGCACTATGTCAGACACAACCCACAGAGAGATGGCTGCACTATGTCAGACACAACCCACAGAGAGATGGCTGCACAATGTCAGACACAACCCACAGAGAGATGTCTGCACTATGTCAGACACAACCCACAGAGAGATGGCTGCACTATTTCAGACACAACCCACAGAGAGATGTCTGCACTATGTCAGACACAACCCACAGAGAGATGTCTGCACTATGTCAGACACAACCCACAGAGAGATGGCTGCACTATGTCAGACACAACCCACAGAGAGATGGCTGCACAATGTCAGACACAACCCACAGAGAGATGGTCGCACTATGTCAGACACAACCCACAGAGAGATGGCTGCACTATGTCAGACACAACCCACAGAGAGATGTCTGCACTATGTCAGACACAACCCACAGAGAGATGGCTGCTCTATGTCAGACACAACCCACAGAGAGATGGCTGCACAATGTCAGACACAACCCACAGAGAGATGGTCACACTATGTCAGACACAACCCACAGAGAGATGTCTGCACTATGTCAGACACAACCCACAGAGAGATGTTTGCACTATGTCAGACACAACCCACAGAGAGATGGCTGCTCTATGTCAGACACAACCCACAGAGAGATGGCTGCACAATGTCAGACACAACCCACAGAGAGATGGTCACACTATGTCAGACACAACCCACAGAGAGATGTCTGCACTATGTCAGACACAACCCACAGAGAGATGTCTGCAACTATGTCAGACACAACCCACAGAGAGATGGCTGCACTATGTCAGACACAACCCACAGAGAGATGGCTGCACAATGTCAGACACAACCCACAGAGAGATGGCTGCACAATGTCAGACACAACCCACAGAGAGATGTCTGCACTATGTCAGACACAACCCACAGAGAGATGGCTGCTCTATGTCAGACACAACCCACAGAGAGATGGCTGCACAATGTCAGACACAACCCACAGAGAGATGGCTGCACAATGTCAGACACAACCCACAGACAGAGATCACTGCACTATGTCAGACACAACTCACAGAGATCACTGGCTGCACAATGTCAGACTACAACCCCTACACAGAGATCACTGCACTATGTCAGACACAACCTACACAGAGATCACTGCACTATGCACACATGTCAGACACAGATCACTGCACAGTCAGACAACCTACACAGAGATCACTGCATAATGTCAGACACAACAAACAGAGAGATCACTGCACTATGTCAGACACAACCTACAGAGAGATGCACTATGTCCCACTATATGTCAGACACAACACCAGAGATCACTGCACTAGAACAACCTAGACAGAGATCACTGCACTATATCAGACACAACCACACAGAGATCAGAGAGACACAACCTGAGATCACTGCACTATGTCAGACACAACCCACAGAGAGATGGTCCCACTATGTCAGACACAACCCACACAGAGATCACTGCACTATGTCAGACACAACCTACACAGAGATCACTGCACTATGTCAGACACAACCTAGAAAGAGATATGGTATGTCAGACACAACTATGTCACTGCACTATGTCAGACACAACCTAGAGAGAGATCTGCACTATGTCAGACACAAACAGAGATCACTGCACTGGGAGACACAGAGAGATGGTCTATGCACTATCACTGTCAGACACAACCCACAGAGAGATCACCCACTATGTCAGACACAACCTACACAGAAATCACTGCACTATGTCCACAACCTATACAGATCACTGCACTCACAACAGAGATCACTGCACTATGTCAGACACAGAGAGATCACTGCACTATGTCAGACACAACCCACAGAGAGATGGTGCCACTATGTCAGACACAACCCACAGAGAGATGTCTGCACTATGTCAGACACAACCTCACAGAGAGATCACTGCACTATGTCAGACACAACCCACACAGAGATCACTGCTCTATGTCAGACACAACCCACACAGAGATGGCTGCACTATGTCAGACACAACCTACACAGAGAGACTAGAGAGATGGTCGCACTGCATGTCAGACACAACCCACAGAGAGATGGCTGCCACTATGTGAGACACTGCCACAGAGAGATGGTCGCACTATGTCAGACACAACCTACAGAGAGATGGTCGCACTATGTCAGACACAACCCCCAGAGATCACTGCACTATGTCAGACACAACCTAGACAGAGATCACTGGTCGCACTACCTGAGATCACTGCACTATGTCAGACCAACAGAGACAGATGGCACTGCACTATGTCAGACACAACCCACAGAGATGGTTGCACTATGTCAGACACAACCCACAGAGAGATGGCTGCACTATGTCAGACACAACCCACAGAGAGATCACTGCACTATGTCAGACACAACCCACACAGAGATCACTGCACTATGTCAGACACAACCCACAGAGATCACTGGATGCACTATGTCAGACACAACCCACAGAGAGATCACTGCACTATGCAGACACAACAGACACAGAGATCACATGTCAGAGAACCTACACAGAGATCACTGCACTATGTCAGACATAACCTACACAGCGATCGCTAAACTATGTCAGACACAACCTATACAGAGATCACTGCACTATGTCAGACACAACCTACAGAGAGATGTCTGCATTATGTCAGACACAACCCCAGAGAGATGTCTGCACTATGTCAGACACAACCCCAGAGAGATGTCTGCACTATGTCAGACACAACCCCAGAGAGATGTCTGCACTATGTCAGACACAACCTACACAGAGATCACTGCACTATGTCAGACACAACCTACACAGAGATCACTGCACTATGTCAGACACAACCTACACAGAGATCACTGCACTATGTCAGACACAACCTACACAGAGATCACTGCACTATGTCAGACACAACATACACAGAGATCACTGCAATTTGTCAGACACAACATACACAGAGATCTCTGCACTATGTCAGACACAACATACACAGAGATCACTGCACTATGTCAGACACAACATACACAGAGATCACTGCACTATGTCAGACACAACATACACAGAGATCACTGCACTATGTCAGACACAACATACACAGAGATCACTGCACTATGTCAGACACAACATACACAGAGATCACTGCACTATGTCAGACACAACATACACAGAGATCACTGCACTATGTCAGACACAACAGAGATCACTGCACTATGTCAGACACAACATACACAGAGATCACTGCACTATGTCAGACACAACATACACAGAGATCACTGCACTATGTCAGACACAACATACACAGAGATCACTGCACTATGTCAGACACAACATACACAGAGATCACTGCACTATGTCAGACACACAGAGATCACTGCACTATGTCAGACACAACATGAGATCACTGCACTATGTCAGACACAACATACACAGAGATCTCTGCACTATGTCAGACACAACCTACACAGAGATCACTGCACTATGTCAGACACAACATACACAGAGATCACTGCACTATGTCATGTATGACTTACACAGGGATGGCTGCACTATACCAGATACAACTCACACAGAGATATCTGCATTATGGCAGAAATAACTCACCTATAGATGTCTGTTCTATGTCAGATTCAACTCACACAGAGATCACTGCACTATGGCAGAAATAACTCACCTAGAGATGTCTGTTCTATGTCAGATACAACTCACACAGAGATCACTGCACTATGGCAGAAATAACTCACCTAGAGATGTCTGTTCTATGTCAGATACAACTCACACAGAGATCACTGCACTATGGCAGAAATAACTCACCTAGAGATGTCTGTTCTATGTTAGATACAACTTACACAGAGATCACTGCACTATGGCAGAACAACCTAACAGAGATCACCACTAGAGAGACACAACTACACAGAGATCACTGCATGTCAGACACAACCTACACAGAGATCACTGCACTATGTCAGAAAACCTAACAGAGATCACTGCACTATGTCTAGAGATGTCTGTTCTATGTCAGATACAACTCACACAGAGATCACTGCACTATGGCAGAAATAACTCACCTAGAGACACAACATACACAGAGTCACTGCACTATGTTAGATACAACTTACACAGAGATCACTGCACTATGGCAGAAATAACTCACCTAGAGATGTCTGTTCTATGTCAGATACTATGTCAACACAACACACAGAGATCACTGCACTATGTCAGCAGAACAAACTACACAGAGATCACCTATGTCAGATGTCTGTTCTATGTCAGATACAACTCACACAGAGATATCACTATGTCACACAACCTACACAGAGATCACTGCACTATGTCAGACTCAACCTAGAGATGTCTGTTCTATGTCAGACACAACCTATCACAGAGATATCTGCACTATGGCAGAAACAACTCACCTATAGATCACTGTTCTATGTCAGACACAACTCACAGAGATCACTGCATATGTCTGCACTAACATACACAGGATCACTGCACTATGTAACAACCTAGAGATGTCACTGCACTATGTCAGATACAACTATCACAGAGATATCTGCACTATTATGGCAGAAATAACTCACCTAGAGATGTCTGTTCTATGTCAGATACAACTCACACAGAGATATCTGCACTATGGCAGAAATAACTCACCTAGAGATGTCTGTTCTATGTCAGATACAACTCACACAGAGATATCTGCATTATGGCAGAAATAGAGATCACTGCACTATGTCAGATGTATACAGTCACTGCACTATGTCAGACACAACTCACACAGAGATATCTGCATTATGGCAGACAAACCTACACAGAATCTCACCTAGACACAACCTACACAGAGATCACTGCACTATGTCAGACACTGTTCTATGTCAGATACAACTCACCCAGAGATTTCTGCACTATGTCAGACACAACTCACACAGAGATTTCTGCATTATGACAGACACACACAAATCGCACAGAGATGTCTACATTATGGCAGACACAACTCACCTCTAGAGTGTTCACACACTGCCCTATCACCACATCCCAGACTTTAACACATTCATCATCGGCAGCGCTGGCACAGTAACCACCATCAGGAGAGAAGCTGACTGCTTGAACCCAGCCTGTGTGGCCCAACAGAATGTGGATACAATTTCCTTTGAGTGGATTCCATATTCGAACAGATCTGTCCCAGGACCCAGAGGCCTGAGAGTTGCAAACAAAAAAGTTGTTTAAATGTGTCTTTGCTTATAGCACTATAAACATGTCACAGCATACATACTTAATCTTTGCAGGTCTTTAGTGAAGTGTGAGTGTTAGATGGATTAATGATTACTTAGAACAGAACAGCTCTATGCTGTAGGTTGTTAAAGGAACCTCTGGCAATGATCTGAAGCCTCCTGTTGTATACAGTACTACATGGAAATATATAGGTAAATACGGGGTCTTGTCTTGCACAGTTCCAAAACTGACTGTGTATGGGTGTGGGTGGGTGTGTGTCCTGTGTGGAGGGATTTCAGGTGCTGCTGCGCATGTATAATATATGCTCACCATGGCTGTGTGATACATGCTGGGTCTCCTGCACAACGGTGACTGTGTTATCAGGTCAGAGTATTACAAGTACAATCAATAAAATAAAATCTATCAGCTTCATAAAGCCTGATAATGTGACACAATATCAAACTAAGAAAGAGAATCATAGATTTTGAGGACAGCCTACTAAAGGAAAAATGACCAAATCTAGAGGGTAAACTCCACATGGATGAGTTAGTTTATGGCAGAGAATTTCAGTGAAATGTTAATAAAAAGTTTAACGAAAGAGGGAAGCAGAAAAACTTTCACTAAACAACGTTTCGGCTGGTGGCCTTTCTCTAACAAGTAATGAACTACACAACAGTATTAGCTTGACTGCAGTCACCCCCAAATTTTCACCACTTGTTAGTTTACAGCAGACAAGTTCTAAGACACTTCCATAATCTTCTACCTCCCTGGGGAGGAAGTGTGGACAGTGGTGTGGCTGAGGGTGTCTATGTCACTAGGCATTCATCGTCAGTTGAGTTGTCAAGAATTGACATCATAGCACTCAGGGCATTCTCATGCATGCTCCATCCTCATCTTCAGCAGCCAGCGCAGAGTTCCAATACTGATGGTACTGGTCATAATCTGGTTATATGTCTGTCTTGCCTTTACTCTGTGTGTAGTGAGCTGGCCAGACCTTCTGGTTACACCCAGGTGCCTCAGTCTCTCCAGGCTCATTCATCATCATTGTCCCATAACACAGCATGCCACTGAGTTACCAGCTGCTGTTGACTGTCTGATCAATGAGTAGCCTGCTGTTACCCTGCAATCGCACAAGCTAATCCCACCCCGCTGTGGTACTGGAAACTGTATTCGTAAGGAAACAAGCAAATTTGGAAATGGCCATCTGGAGTGGACTGGGCCCCACCAGGCTGAAGATGCACCATGATGACACTGGATTTTAAGAGTTTAAAAATGTTTTACATAGATCAAATTTCAAAATATGGCTATTAATCATGGACAAGCAGTAAGCAATAGAAACAAATCTTTTGAGGCTTCTAAATGTTAAAGTTAAGAGGATCGACTTCATTGCACTGGGTTTTATCCCATATGGCTCAGTCTCTCTCCACATAATGGCTAGCCGCCTGCTGAGAGTGTAGCACACTGAACGAATTTCATAGCCTCAGCTACAATCAGCAGGGATCTCAGTAAATATTACACTCATGAACTGAATGATGCAGCCGTGAATTGAACCCATGACTTTCAGAGCACGAGGCCTGACCACTTCGCCACGGAGACCCCCATTTTATGCCTCTGAGATGTGGTTTGACAAAAGCATGCTGAAAATTCCTTGGACGGTCAAAGTGAGCAATGTAAATGTTTTAAAGGAGGCTAACACATGAGGTAGTGTATGGAGGAATGTGGATGCACAAATTAGGAGGAACGTGGAGGTAACGGAGATATGGTTCCTCAGATGAATGTTAAAAATCCCTTGGGCTGCCAGAGTAACTAACAAGGATTGCTTGAAAAAAGCTAATGAAAAAGAAATATCAATTAATACAGCTATAAGGAAAAGACAAGCATTGTTCTTTTGTCATATGGTTAGAAGGGAGGCTTTGGAGAATGCTATGATGACTGGGAAGATCAACAGTAGAAGAGGGATAGGCAGCTGAGAGAGATGATGACGCATGGATAGTGATGGTGGCACAGGGAGTGGAACTGATCCAGAGAACAAGGGAACAAGATCTGTGGAAATTCGTGAATGCCTATGCCAGCTGGCAGGGCACATGATGATAATGATGACCACATGAGGATAAGTAACAATGAACATCATAGAGAGGCAGTCATTTTTCTTTTACCCACATTATGAGAGGAGACAAACTGGAACAGGCTGGAAGTGTTTGTGAGAAGTTCGATAAAGAAAGCATGAGAAGTTTCTTATCAGCTTTTATTTTATCACAAAATGATGTTAAAATATAAACTATAATATACAGTTTAGAATTTCAAGATGCAGCGCAGCATAATCACCCATGCATGTTAGAAGATACTTGATAATGATGATCAGACATAAATATTACAATAACATCATTGACAAAATGACTAACCAGCATTCCATACTGTGAAAATGCAACAGCATGGATGTTGCCTGTATGGCCTGTAAGAATTGTACAGCTGTCTGTGTCGTTGCCATCTGACTCACATTTCAATAATTCTCTCTTGTCTGTTCCCTTAGTTTTAGCCTGTTCATGTTCATCCTCTTCATTCATTACCTTGCTCTTGCTTTCATGTGATTGCTTGTTTCTCATGGCATCTTCTTCACTTATTGTATATTTCTCTAATGTGTCATCTAATTTATCTATGTTTCTTAATTTGTCCTCTTTCTGACACGCCTTTTTGTAGTCTACATAAATTCCCCTTGCAACGCATTTATCAGATTCTTTACTGTCACTGCTTTTGTTTTCCATTGCTGTCTGTCCATTATCTGTTTCAATAATCCCCCCATTATCTTTGGGATTTTTACATTCATCTTGTGGTACATTTGTCACATCTCCAGCCATGTCTTCTTTCACAGTGTCATCTTCATCTATTTCACCATGCATAAATGATTTCCTTTTTTTTAAGAAAGCATCTACAATTCTCATATTCTCAATGTGGTCCAAGGTCCATACTCTGACACTAAAGTCCCATGAACCAGAAGCCTGAAACAAGGAAAAAAATAACACCAGGCATTCAATATTATGTGAATAATAGTATTTTAAAAATATTGTAAAAAATAACTAAAATAATAACAAAGAAATATTGGTAATTAATCATGTCTGTTCACAGCCTTCTTTTATGCCAAGTTGCCCCACTGTTCAACATTTCTCTTGGTCTCTCTGCCTGTCTTCCCCTCCAACTTTCCCGCTGTCATAACATACTCACTCTCTCGCACATACACACACACACACAAGCATACATATGGAGATATGTACTGGTACTGATTGCAGCATAGCAGAGTTGTCTGCTCTTGACCCCCCCCCCCCCCCCCCCCCAGTGTCATTCAAATAATGTGCATGCCGTCTACAGCTGTTCCAACGACCTACAGTGTCAACTGTCAGAGATGGCTGTGCTAGCTCTCCCCTGATATTTGACAATGCAGGGCATTTCAAGTGAATCTTTCAGAAGTATTCAAATAACATCTAAATACTGTTACATTTGGGGGACTGATACAATTTTGTTGGCTGCTAACTCTAGCATGCTCTGCCATGTAATAACATACATTCCTACAGGACAGTACATCATCTCTCCGCCCTGTTCTATTCTCCCTCTCTCACATATACTGCATTGTTTATGCTTGACACCTGATCTTCTGGTCTTCTGCCCAGTACACCAAAGGCATGAAAAAGGTCCTTTACCCTTCAAAGTGTTTACATGGATCAAAACAATGGTTTACAAATGTTTATGAAGTAAATAATGATCTCATCTCTTTGTGAATGCCTTCACAATTAAGTATGCGAGTCATTTACTTCGAAAGCTATATACCCTTTCACATCATGAAATGGCTTGTATAAACAAATTCATAACATGTATATCTCAATTTATTCTGAATTGGGAATGGATAAAAAAAAGTAGGCAATAATTGGTTATTTCACTTCACAAAGTCATAAGTATTTCTATAAATTGCCATCACCATGGACTGTGAGGTCCATGCCTCCTCGAAGCACAATATAATACTAGTGACTACAAAGATATAAAGATGCCAACATAACATTTCTAGAAAATGATTGAAAATGAATCAAAGACCTTGGCGATTTATGTCTTTACAGCAGAACCTGACTCAGAACTACCTTTGACCTGCATGCACATAATGGAGCAGTAATAGGCGCTTGACTGTCAGCCCAAATCCACAGCAAGCCAGATATTTAACAAACTGTCAGCCCAAATCCACAGCAAGTCAGATATTTAATAAACTGACCTTGGCTCCGTGGTCAACCCACCCAAAAATGGGTACCAGGTAAAGTCCTGGAAAGTAAAGGTGGTCAGCATGATTTGACCACATCATCTATTGTGTGCTGGTTGTTCTAGAAAAATGTCTTAACACCATATGTCTGTTGGTCAATGGCTCCTTCCCTCACTTCCACACCTGAGGTGGTATACTAGCCAAAACAGTGGAAACACATGAACTCAGTCCAAACAGAACATGACAACTAATAGTAAAAACAAGCTAGGAAGAAGAGACTTTAGCATTACTAAAGAACACAGGCCAGATTTTTTTCAAAACATTACTTTGGTTACCAGGCTGACCAGGCCTGAAATGGGTACTAGCTACCATACAGAACACTACGGCCAGATAGGAGGCTGGCTATCAAATCCAGCTGCGACTCGCTGCAGCCCACGGTCGGTGTTCGAAACCGGGCAGCTACCGGGGTTCACTCAGCTTCTAGGTAATGGGTACCAGAGTTAACACTCTGGGGTAAATGGAGGAACGTCGCTGTAGCCACAGAGTTACGTGCGAACGGCGACACAGGTGGACAGTTTCTTATCAGCAGTCTGTACTGGTGGCAGAGCACTTATGGTTCATAACCGTGTGCAATGACACTGGTTCACATCTCCCGACTTCACCTTTACCTTTACACTACGGCCAAGCTTCTGGAGAAAATGCATGCACACAGGACCTTCTATTGTTGTGCCCTTAGTTCCAACTGTTAAGGGATCTTGAAAGTGTAAATACAGTAGTAAATACTGCAGTCTATACACGAGTGAATACAGTACTAATAGCCTCAGACTAAGAAGGCTAACCAATGATGCCTTATAAATAGGTCTGTTATGAATAAAAGTTACACCTTACCACAAGCTTATGTATCGGTGAGAATGCAACAGACTGCACAAGACTTCCATGGCCATCAAATGTTCGAATCTGGCATCCAGTCTGAAAGTTATTACAGTAAACAATAAATCAGATACCTTTATTTTTGTTCCGGGACACACAGGCGTTGATGGAAATAAAAGAGCTGATAGGTTGGCTGGATCCGCAATCACTACTGATGGTCAGCCTATGGATCACGCTGATATTAATATTGCCCATAGAGAAATGGAAAGGATAGAGGACTTGGGGGGCAGTGAATACACATCATTCGCCAGAATGGCAGACTTGGGAATTAAGATCAGCATAGCAAAAAACGAGACGCACACCAGACACACCAGAAGACTTGTTAATCAATATATAACTGGTACTATTAGCCATCGGACGTTGGGGTTCATACTGAGGGGAGGATCTGAGCACCTATGGACATGTCCGGAGTGCAGTGATGATAATCCAACTTACTAACTAACTAACTAAATAAATCAGATCATGTGACCTGTATGCTTTCAAATTAAAAAAGACAGCATATGGTGTATTACATTTATAGCCCCAGACAGAGACACTACAATACTTCTTCTGTAACATTGCAAGCCTTTGAGGTTCTGAAGAAGTATCACCCACCTCCATTCATCTTTGTGGTCTTCCCTGTCCACCTGGTAACTACAAGTGTTTGTAGGTCTGCCTGAATATTATCTTTCTGCAACTTTTTGGTCTGCCTCATGGTCGACTTCAACTGAACTCTATTGTTTATGTAGTTTTTATCTCTCTTTTATCTGTCATTCTCTCTATATGCTCCAACTATTGAAGTGTATTAGCCCTCATTGTGTCACTAATTAGTGGCGATCCAAAAAGATTATGAATTTCATTGTCCCTTCTCGCTCTCCAATCTCTGGTGTTTTCATCTTTAATGAGTCCATATATTCATAGACACTGTTCTCAACAGTTTGTAATAGGGATTCATTTTTTTTGTTTTTTAGTTCTACTCCAGGTTTTAGAATCATAAAGAATAACTGGTCTCATCAGTGTTTTAAATATTATGATCTTGATATTATGAGGTTGAGTCTTTGATTTTAGCAGTTGTTGATGTACATAGTACACAGTTTTTTTCAGACTACAGTCTAGACTGTATTTCTTCTTTTATTATACTAAAATAGTTGAAAGTTATACTCAAATATTGACATTGTAGTAGTATATTTTGTAAATCAGACTAAGACTTTGAGATCTTTAAGCTTTTTGTACAAGAACGCTATGCTTCCATTATTTCTTTAGCTGAGAGCATGCTTTCAAACAAATATACTGGTATGTAATAGATGACTGGTATGTAATACATGGAGTGGCTTGTATTACTTGATAGGACTTGGGTAAGAAGCACTGCATGCCTTTTCTATCTGGGACGTTAATGTGGGACAATGGGGCTATACTGGACTAATGTGGGACAATGGGACTATACTGGACTAATGTGGGACAATGGGGCTATACTGGACTAATGTGGGACAATGGGGTATACTGGACTAATGTGGGACAATGGACCTATACTGGACTAATGTGGGACAATGGGGTATACTGGACTAATGTGGGACAATGGCGCTATACTGGACTAATGTGGGACAATGGTGCTATACTGGACAAATGTGGGACAATGGGACTATACTGGTCTAATGTGGGACAATGGTGCTATACTGGACTAATGTGGGACAATGGGGATATACTGGACTAATGTGGGACAATGGTGCTATACTGGACTGATGTGAGACAATGGTGCTATACTGGACTAATGTGAGACAATGGTGCTATACTGGACTAATGTGAGACAATGGTGCTATACTGGACTAATGTGGGACAATGGCGCTATACTGGACTAATGTGGGACAATGGTGCTATACTGGACTAATGTGAGACAATGGTGCTATACTGGACTAATGTGGGACAATGGTGCTATACTGGACTAATGTGAGACAATGGGGATATACTGGACTAATGTGGGACAATGGGGCTATACTGGACTAATGTGGGACAATGGTGCTATACTGGACTAATGTGAGACAATGGTGCTATACTGGACTAATGTGAGACAATGGTGCTATACTGGACTAATGTGAGACAATGGTGCTATACTGGACTAATGTGGGACAATGGTGCTATACTGGACTAATGTGGGACAATGGTGCTATACTGGACTAGTGTGAGACAATGGTGCTATACTGGACTAATGTGAGACAATGGTGCTATACTGGACTAATGTGAGACAATGGTGCTATACTGCACTAATGTGAGACAATGGTGCTATACTGGACTAATGTGAGACAATGGGACTATACTGGACTAATGTGAGACAATGGGGCTATACTGGACTAATGTGAGACAATGGGGCTATACTGGACTAATGTGGGACAATGGTGCTATACTGGACTAATGTGAGACAATGGTGCTATACTGGACTAAGGTGAGACAATGGTGCTATACTGGACTAATGTGAGAGTGTGGTGCTATACTGGACTAATGTGGGACAATGGTGCTATACTGGACTAATGTGGGACAATGGTGCTATACTGGACTAATGTGGGACAATGGTGCTATACTGGACTAGTGTGAGACAATGGTGCTATACTGGACTAATGTGGGACAATGGTGCTATACTGGACTAATGTGAGACAATGGTGCTATACTGGACTAGTGTGAGACAATGGTGCTATACTGGACTAATGTGGGACAATGGTGCTATACTGGACTAATGTGGGACAATGGTGCTATACGGGACTAGTGTGAGACAATGGTGCTATACTGGACTAATGTGAGACAATGGTGCTATACTGGACTAGTGTGAGACAATGGTGCTATACTGGACTAGTGTGAGACAATGGTGCTATACTGGACTAATGTGGGACAATGGTGCTATACTGGACTAATGTGGGACAATGGTGCTATACTGGACTAATGTGAGACAATGGGGATATACTGGACTAATGTGGGACAATGGCGCTATACTGGACTAATGTGGGACAATGGTGCTATACTGGACTAATGTGGGACAATGGGACTATACTGGTCTAATGTGGGACAATGGTGCTATACTGGACTAATGTGGGACAATGGGGATATACTGGACTAATGTGGGACAATGGTGCTATACTGGACTAATGTGAGACAATGGTGCTATACTGGACTAATGTGAGACAATGGTGCTATACTGGACTAATGTGAGACAATGGTGCTATACTTGACTAATGTGGGACAATGGCGTTATACTGGACTAATGTGGGACAATGGTGCTATACTGGACTAATGTGAGACAATGGTGCTATAATGGACTAATGTGGGACAATGGTGCTATACTGGACTAATGTCAGACAATGGGGATATACTGGACTAATGTGGGACAATGGGGCTATACTGGACTAATGTGGGACAATGGTGCTATACTGGACTAGTGTGAGACAATGGTGCTATACTGGACTAATGTGAGACAATGGTGCTATACTGGACTAATGTGAGACAATGGTGCTATACTGGACTAATGTGAGACAATGGTGCTATACTGGACTAATGTGAGACAATGGTGCTATACTGGACTAATGTGAGACAATGGTGCTATACTGGACTAATGTTAGACAATGGTGCTATACTGGACTAATGTGAGACAATGGTGCTATACTGGACTAATGTGGGACAATGGTGCTATACTGGACTAATGTGAGACAATGGTGCTATACTGGACTAATGTGGGACAATGGTGCTATACTGGACTAATGTGAGACAATGGTGCTATACTGGACTAATGTGGGACAATGGTGCTATACTGGACTAATGTGAGACAATGGGGATATACTGGACTAATGTGGGACAATGGGGCTATACTGGACTAATGTGGGACAATGGTGCTATACTGGACTAGTGTGAGACAATGGTGCTATACTGGACTAATGTGAGACAATGGTGCTATACTGGACTAATGTGAGACAATGGTGCTATACTGGACTAATGTGAGACAATGGTGCTATACTGGACTAATTTGGGACAATGGTGCTATACTGGACTAATGTGGGACAATGGTGCTATACTGGACTAGTGTGAGACAATGGTGCTATACTGGACTAATGTGAGACAATGGTGCTATACTGGACTAATGTGAGACAATGGTGCTATACTGGACTAATGTGAGACAATGGTGCTATACTGGACTAATGTGAGACAATGGGACTATACTGGACTAATGTGAGACAATGGTGCTATACTGGACTAATGTGGGACAATGGTGCTATACTGGACTAATGTGAGACAATGGTGCTATACTGGACTAATGTGAGACAATGGTGCTATACTGGACTAATGTGAGACAATGGTGCTATACTGGACTAATGTGAGACAATGGTGCTATACTGGACTAATGTGGGACAATGGTGCTATACTGGACTAATGTGAGACAATGGTGCTATACTGGACTAATGTGGGACAATGGTGCTATACTGGACTAGTGTGAGACAATGGTGCTATACTGGACTAATGTGGGACAATGGTGCTATACTGGACTAATGTGAGACAATGGTGCTATACTGGACTAGTGTGAGACAATGGTGCTATACTGGACTAATGTGGGACAATGGTGCTATACTGGACTAATGTGGGACAATGGTGCTATACTGGACTAGTGTGAGACAATGGTGCTATACTGGACTAATGTGAGACAATGGTGCTATATTGGACTAGTGTGAGACAATGGTGCTATACTGGACTAGTGTGAGACAATGGTGCTATACTGGACTAATGTGGGACAATGGTGCTATACTGGACTAATGTGGGACAATGGTGCTATACTGGACTAATGTGGGACAATGGTGCTATACTGGACTAGTGTGGGACAATGGTGCTATACTGAACTAATGTGAGACAATGGTGCTATACTGGACTAATGTGAGACAATGGTGCTATACTGGACTAATGTGGGACAATGGGACTATACTGGTCTAATGTGGGACAATGGTGCTATACTGGACTAATGTGGGACAATGGGGATATACTAGACTAATGTGGGACAATGGTGCTATACTGGACTAATGTGAGACAATGGTGCTATACTGGACTAATGTGAGACAATGGTGCTATACTAGACTAATGTGAGACAATGGTGCTATACTGGACTAATGTGAGACAATTGTGCTATACTGGACTAATGTGGGACAATGGTGCTATACTGGACTAATGTGAGACAATGGGGATATACTGGACTAATGTGGGACAATGGGGCTATACTGGACTAATGTGGGACAATGGTGCTATACTGGACTAGTGTGAGACAATGGTGCTATACTGGACTAATGTGAGACAATGGTGCTATACTGGACTAATGTGGGACAATGGTGCTATACTGGACTAATGTGAGACAATGGTGCTATACTGGACTAATGTGGGACAATGGTGCTATACTTGACTAATGTGGGACAATGGTGCTATACTGGACTAGTGTGAGACAATGGTGCTATACTGGACTAATGTGAGACAATGGTGCTATACTGGACTAATGTGAGACAATAGTGCTATACTGGACTAATGTGAGACAATGGTGCTATACTGGACTAATGTGGGACAATGGTGCTATACTGGACTAATGTGAGACAATGGGACTATACTGGACTAATGTGAGACAATGGTGCTATACTGGACTAATGTGGGACAATGGTGCTATACTGGACTAGTGTGAGACAATGGTGCTATACTGGACTAATGTGGGACAATGGTGCTATACTGGACTAGTGTGAGACAATGGTGCTATACTGGACTAATGTGGGACAATGGTGCTATACTGGACTAATGTGAGACAATGGTGCTATACTGGACTAGTGTGAGACAATGGTGCTATACTGGACTAATGTGGGACAATGGTGCTATACTGGACTAATGTGGGACAATGGTGCTATACTGGACTAATGTGGGACAATGGTGCTATACTGGACTAGTGTGGGACAATGGTGCTATACTGGACTAATGTGGGACAATGGTGCTATACTGGACTAGTGTGGGACAATGGTGCTATACTGGACTAATGTGGGACAATGGTGCTATACTGGACTAATGTGGGACAATGGTGCTATACTGGACTAATGTGAGACAATGGTGCTATACTGGACTAATGTGGGACAATGGGACTATACTGGACTAATGTGGGACAATGGTGCTATACTGGACTAATGTGAGACAATGGTGCTATACTGGACTAATGTGGGACAATGGGACTATACTGGACTAATGTGGGACAATGGGACTATACTGGACTAATGTGAGACAATGGTGCTATACTGGACTAATGTGAGACAATGGTGCTATACTAGACTAGTGTGAGACAATGGTGCTATACTGGACTAATGTGAGACAATGGTGCTATACTGGACTAATGTGAGACAATGGTGCTATACTGGACTAATGTGGGACAATGGTGCTATACTTGACTAATGTGGGACAATGGTGCTATACTGGACTAGTGTGAGACAATGGTGCTATACTGGACTAATGTGAGACAATGGTGCTATACTGGACTAATGTGAGACAATAGTGCTATACTGGACTAATGTGAGACAATGGTGCTTTACTGGACTAATGTGGGACAATGGTGCTATACTGGACTAATGTGAGACAATGGGACTATACTGGACTAATGTGAGACAATGGTGCTATACTGGACTAATGTGGGACAATGGTGCTATACTGGACTAGTGTGAGACAATGGTGCTATACTGGACTAATGTGGGACAATGGTGCTATACTGGACTAGTGTGAGACAATGGTGCTATACTGGACTAATGTGGGACAATGGTGCTATACTGGACTAATGTGAGACAATGGTGCTATACTGGACTAGTGTGAGACAATGGTGCTATACTGGACTAATGTGGGACAATGGTGCTATACTGGACTAATGTGGGACAATGGTGCTATACTGGACTAATGTGGGACAATGGTGCTATACTGGACTAGTGTGGGACAATGGTGCTATACTGGACTAATGTGGGACAATGGTGCTATACTGGACTAGTGTGGGACAATGGTGCTATACTGGACTAGTGTGGGACAATGGTGCTATACTGGACTAATGTGGGACAATGGTGCTATACTGGACTAATGTGGGACAATGGTGCTATACTGGACTAATGTGGGACAATGGGACTATACTGGACTAATGTGGGACAATGGTGCTATACTGGACTAATGTGAGACAATGGTGCTATACTGGACTAATGTGGGACAATGGGACTATACTGGACTAATGTGGGACAATGGGACTATACTGGACTAATGTGAGACAATGGTGCTATACTGGACTAATGTGAGACAATGGTGCTATACTAGACTAGTGTGAGACAATGGTGCTATACTGGACTAATGTGAGACAATGGGGCTATACTGGACTAATGTGAGACAATGGTGCTATACTGGACTAATGTGAGACAATGGTGCTATACTGGACTAATGTGAGACAATGGAACTATAGTGGTCTAATGTGGGACAATGGTGCTATACTGGACACATCCAGAGAGAGAACAAGCAGAGTATCACCAAACAAGCCCAACCTTCCCAAACCTCTCCACCCCCCCTCCCCCAAAAAACATAAAACAAACCAAAGTGATGGATTAGATTCCATGGAATAAAGAATAGACTTCGAGCCATATGTGTTATATAATGAGACAACTGGACAATGATGATGATGATAAATGAGCAGCTTGATAGACTGGTTGACTTAGTCTTTCAGTGTAGCAACCTACTAAATAATAAGAAGAATGTGGTGAAAGTTTTTTTGGGACTAAATGGGTAGTGCAAGAGATAAGTTTATCATAACCCATAAGAAATACGAGAATCCTTACCTCAAGGAAAAGTGACGAGGCTGGGAACTGGCCACCCAATCTTCCTATGTTAGAATTATAAAGTTGTAACACTTTACATCCCAGTGAGAAGGGACAAAGTTCACAGTCGAACAGTAGGTCATGACCTTGTAAACCCAGGCCTAACAAGCTTGAGTGGACATGTATACAAAATGGGAGAGAATTGACTACCACAGCAGGCATAGGAAGCCAAGAACCGGGGAATCAGAACACTAGGACGACACAGGGTTTGCTGGGAAGAAAATATCTGACAGTCCCTGATGGCCAAAGGACTCGAATGGAACAAAGCTAAAAAGAAAACTGCTGATAAAGAAGTCTGGCAATCTCTCTTGCAAACATCTACATCCTAACGTAGAAGAGGAGCAACTAAGTTAGTACATCCCAGTGGTAATTTCTACTATGAGACTGCCTGTTATCACCATGACTGCCTTGGGCATTATTCTATCAACTTTAAATGTTGAAATAAGACTTGACATCAGAGCATTCGGGACATTCCCATAAGTGCACTATACCCATCTTCAACAACAAGCACAGGGTTCCAGTTCCAAAGGTACGAGTAACAGCCTGATTGTATGTCCATCTCACCTCTCTGTTGAGCGCTGGCCCGATCCCCTGGTCACTCCTCAGAGCCACATTCTCCTCAGATCATGATGATCTATTTGTGCCTGTCACTGTTCACTTGCTTCAAAAGGACCCTTACTAGCTTGTTATCAATTCAACGCCAAGTGGTGCAGAAATAGCCAGTCCACCTGTCTTTTCATTTCCCAAAGGCACCTGCATAACCTGGAGAAAATATCCAAAGGACAATAACTGCCACTCTGCACGGAGCATACATGTCTCCGCCCTTCTCAGCATGCTCTGTGAGTCAGTCACAACTACGACATGTATGTAAAGAGGGTTTTTAAGTCAGTGGAAGGCTGCAGTGACTGTCTCCACCTCCATTCTTTATCTCAATTGTATTATATAAATATAAAGGAACAATTAATGAAATTATGGCAAAAAATTTACAGAAAAAAAAGACCAAAACTATTTGTATCAGCCAAACTGAGAAAACTAGAAAATAAGTATACCTGAACACACCATAAAATGGCAGTTCTGTCCCAGGAGCCAGTGCACAAGTAGACAGAACAGGATGAAAAGGTAACAGCTTCAACACTCTTCTTATGGCCTGAAGTAAATACAAGAACATGCATGTTTTCTTAAACTAGTTATAAGTACTTTTATTGAAACAACATTTAAAACAAATATAAGATAGCAATATCCAAGGAGCAAGGTTTTGGTTTAGGTATAAACAACGGATCAACATCATGGCACAAGGGTTTTTAAAAAAAGTAAAGGACCCTTTTCCACGTCTTTAGGCGTATAGGGCATATAGGACTAGACCCATATTTTATAGACCAATCCGCACAAGATAGGTGATGTGGTCAGCATCACTCCAGCCACCTTTACTTCCCGGGACTGCACCTGGTACCCACTCAAGGCTGGGTCGACCTGGGAGCCATTGATCATTTTTTAGAAAAGTCTGGCTCCGCCCAGAGCGAACCTACAACCTTCCGATCCGCAGGCTAGCATATAGCGGCTCCGCCACAGTGACTCCCGGCACAAGGATAGTAACCCATAAATGATCTGTTCTACTTCTAACTCAAGTCTGAGTCTGAAGAATCTCGGGCAGAGCACAGACTCTGTAGCACAGGCAAGGATCCTGAAATACTTTGGGTAGATTTTTAACTCCAAATTTTGCCTGGGCAGTGCCATTAATCTACTCTTTTCAATTTCCAACTGCCAATGGATTTTTTTATGTGTGCAACAATACACATGGGCGTCCGATCCTACTACCCAGAAACCATGGGAAATTATTAGAAGTCCACGTGAAAATATTCCAGCCTTCAACGGGGCCTGAACCCAGGAACTCCAGCACTCGAGGTGAATGCCATGCCATGAGACCACGCAGCCCCTATCCATGGAGTAAAGTAGTAGCAAGGTAACAGAATAAATTATAAAAAGAAGTCATTTACTACTTCTTATTTAGATTCGATATACATTATTTATACAATTACTAGTCAGATGTTAGCAAAAGTGCTGGTGCTTCCTCTATCATTATCTACTTGAAGATGGCTTAATTGCTAGAATAAAAGTTTATGAAAATGCCACTACACAATCAAATTGAGATAGCAGTTCTTAAATATATCACTCCACCATCAAACAGGAATAATGATTTTTTAACATATCACTCCACCATCAAACAGGAATAATGATATTTTAACATATCACTCCACCATCAAACAGAAATAATGATTTTTTTTAACATATCACTCCACCATCAAACAGGAATAATGATTTTTTTAACATATCACTCCACCATCAAACAGAAATAATGATTTTTTTAACATATCACTCCACCATCAAACAGGGATAATGATTTTTTTAACATATCACTCCACCATCAAACAGGAATAATGATATTTTAACATATCACTCCATCATCAAACAGGAATAATGATATTTTAACATATCACTCCACCATCAAACAGGAATAATGATTTTTTTAACATATCACTCCACCATCAAACAGGAATAATGATATTTTAACATATCACTTCACCATCAGACAGGAATAATGATTTTCTAACATGTCACTCCACCATCAAACAGGAATTATTTTTTTAACATATCCCTCCACCATCAACTTATGTTTCTTAATTTATAAGCATTTCTCATACCTGGTTTCTGAGCAAGCAATTTTAAAGTTACTGAAAAACACAAAACTTCCAAGAAATTCAACACCCAATTCATAGTATATTTATAGTATATTTATAGTATATTTATAGTATATTTATAGTATATTTATAGTATATTTATACCATATGTATGAACTCTTACTTAGTAAGTTAAGCTAAAACAGAAAATTTAAAATAAAAACTACTTTTAAAAAAGCTATACTTAGAGTGCGGTAACTGGCGCAGTTTGTTGCTATAAGTTGGTGGATTTTTTATAGAGGAGCTCACAGCACCTGGTATACACTGATGATAATCTGAATGCTAATGACGATTCCTAAATTATTCATAAAACAATTTTTAAAATTTGTCTGACAATGAAACTAAAGCAAATCATTTACTGGCCTGGGCTCTCAGATCTACCTGGCCTAAAACGAGTACCAGGAAATTACCTGAAAAGTAAAGGCATCCAGTGTCACATTTACAGCATCACCCATCAAGTTAGAATTGCCCTAACAAATATACTCAATATACATCCAATGTACCTCAAGATGTGAAAATTAATCCTTTAAATGTTACTTTGATTATATGATTTATCTGCTGTGTTCAAAGTAAATTGTAAATGAATTATTTGTTTCTGATGATCTCATTAATTTAAATGCATTCACGCATACAATTTGTATCAACCTGGAAGTATGCGTAGACAACTGCCCTCATCTGTCTTCCAAATTCTAGCATTCTTGTCGAAGGAGCCACTGGCAAAGTACCGATCACATGGAGAAATCGCAACACATTTGACAGCTCCTTGGTATCAGAAAATATATAATTGTTAACAATATTTTTACTTATTTAATTACTATGAATTCATTTTAAATGACAAAGAAGAACTACTCTTCTTGAGTAAGAATACTTGTTTTTGCGAAACAAGATGGGGAAAAGGGAAGATTATGCCACATTTTATAACTTGCTTCTCTTATAAGTCACTGAAATTATCATTGTTTATTTTCTCTTTATTTCAGTGTCACAGTGCCATAAACAGTGTCATCAACCTGTGCCACAGTGCCATCTCCACAGTGTTATGCCATCTCCACAGTCATTGTCCAGTGCCATCTCCACAGTCATTATCCAATGCCATCTCCAGTTATTATCCAGTGATATCTCCAGTCATTATCCAGTGCTATCTCCACAGTCATTATCCAGTGATATTTCCAGTCATTATCCAGTACCATCTCCGCTGTCATTACCCAGTACCATCTCCACAGTCATTATCCAGTACCATCTCCACAGTCATTATCCAGTACCATCTCCACAGTCATTATCCAGTACCATCTCCACAGTCATTATCCAGTACCATCTCCACAGTCACTATCCAGTACCATCTCCACAGTCATTATCCAGTACCATCTCCACTGTCATTATCCAGTACCATCTCCACAGTCATTATCCAGTGCCATCTCCACAATCATTATCCAGTGCCATCTCCACAGTCATTATCCAGTACCATCTCCACAGTCACTATCCAGTACCATCTCCACAGTCATTATCCAGTGCTATCTCCACAATCATTATCCAGTGATATCTCCACAGTCATTATCCAGTACCATCTCCACAGTCATTATCCAGTGCCATCTCCACAATCATTATCCAGTGCCATCTCCACAGTCATTATCCAGTACCATCTCCACAGTCACTATCCAGTACCATCTCCACAGTCATTATCCAGTGCTATCTCCACAATCATTATCCAGTGATATCTCCACAGTCATTATCCAGTACCATCTCCACAGTCATTATCCAGTACCATCTACACAGTCACTATCCAGTACCATCTCCACAGTCATTATCCAGTGATATCTCCACAGTCATTATCCAGTGATATCTCCACAGTCATTATCCAGTGATATCTCCACAGTCATTATCCAGTGATATCTCCACAGTCATTATCCAGTGATATCTCCACAGTCATTATCCAGTGATATCTCCACAGTCATTATCCAGTACCATCTCCACAGTCATTATCCAGTACCATCTCCACAGTCACTATCCAGTACCATCTCCACAGTCATTATCCAGTACCATCTCCACAGTCATTATCCAGTACCATCTCCACAGTCACTATCCAGTACCATCTCCACAGTCATTATCCAGTACCATCTCCATAGTCATTATCCAGTACCATCTCCACAGTCACTATCCAGTACCATCTCCACAGTCATTATCCAGTACCATCTCCACAGTCACTATCCAGTACCATCTCCACAGTCATTATCCAGTACCATCTCCACAGTCATTATCCAGTACCATCTCCACAGTCACTATCCAGTACCATCTCCACAGTCATTATCCAGTACCATCTCCACAGTCATTATCCAGTACCATCTCCACAGTCACTACCCAGTACCATCTCCACAGTCATTATCCAGTGCTATCTCCACAATCATTATCCAGTGATATCTCCACAGTCATTATCCAGTACCATCTCCACAGTCATTATCCAGTACCATCTCCACAGTCATTATCCAGTACCATCTCCACAGTCATTATCCAGTACCATCTCCACAGTCATTATCCAGTGATATCTCCACAGTCATTATCCAGTGATATCTCCACAGTCATTATCCAGTACAATCTCCACAATCATTATCCAGTGCTATCTCCACAATCATTATCCAGTGATATCTCCACAGTCATTATCCAGTACCATCTCCACAGTCACTATCCAGTACCATCTCCACAGTCATTATCCAGTACCATCTCCACTGTCATTATCCAGTACCATCTCCACTGTCATTATCCAGTACCATCTCCACAGTCATTATCCAGTACCATCTCCACAGTCATTATCCAGTACCATCTCCACAGTCACTATCCAGTACCATCTCCACAGTCACTATCCAGTACCATCTCCACAGTCACTATCCAGTACCATCTCCACAGTCAATATCCAGTACCATCTCCACAATCATTATCCAGTGCTATCTCCACAATCATTATCCAGTGATATCTCCACAGTCATTATCCAGTACCATCTCCACAGTCATTATCCAGTACCATCTACACAGACATTATCCAGTACCATCTCCACAGTCATTATCCAGTGATATCTCCACAGTCATTATCCAGTACCATCTCCACAGTCACTATCCAGTGCTATCTCCACAGTCATTATCCAGTACCATCTCCACAGTCATTATCCAGTGCCATCTCCACAGTCATTATCCAGTACCATCTCTACAGTCATTATCCAGTGCTATCTCCAAAGTCATTATCCAGTGCCATCATCAGAGTCATGGTGGCTGTAATGAATCTCTGAAAGTTTTTATCTTTAACTTTGACTGTATTTTATGTAAGGCTGTATCCCGACCATATCTTGATTTTGTCTTTTTATCTTTAATATCCTCTCCTTTATCATCAACCATTTCATCCATTACAATCTCCACAAGAATAGCTGCTTCTTGTGATTTTATTAATAGATGGTAGGGTGACTTTTTGTTATAGAAATATTTTATCTCCCACCTACTGTTTTTATTAGAAAGTGAGAAAGATCATCAACATATTAGGAGTTATGTTCTATCTCATGATATTTAAACATACAGAATTAAAGCACATGTGAAGATTTGGATTTAGAAATTAAACATTTGGAAAATGTGTTGTCATTACTACAGATGACAGCAGTCAGATACCCTTGGCATTAGATGTTAAGAATCTTTTCTCTGTGAGATAAAAAAGATAAAATTTTACCAAGACTGTTACAAAACAATGAAAGATTAAGCATCAACAAATGTGCAGTTCTTCAGTATGTCTAGTTGCATTAGAAACTGCTTACAACTGCACTGTTTGAATTTTTTATATCTATAATTACAATCAAACACAGTTTTTATATCTATAATTTCAATCAGGCCTGATTAGTGCCTTGTGGGAGAGCGTGTACAGTTCGGATGAGCAGATGGATCACCACAGTCTGGTGAGATTGATGCAGCAAGGAGTGATGAGAGGTTCTGGCAGATGTTTGAGGCTCAGATGAAAGGCAAGACGGACGTTTAATCAGAATGCTACTGCCACCACTAGTATCGGAACTCTTCACTGGCTGCTGAAGATGGGGATGGAGCGCTTATGGGAATGCCCTAAGTGCTATGATGTCGGTTCTTGAATTAAATCAAATCAATCAAATCAATTAATTACAATCAAACACAGACTGACTAGAAGTGACACAAGAGTCATTTTAGTTCTATGAAATCTCAGTGATTGATTTTGGATTGGGGTTACTCGCTGTCTTTAAGAGTCAGCTAGAGAAACTGGAGTGCATACAGAATGAAGCTATGCGGGTGATCCTGGAATTACAAGAGACACCCCGATTGTGTGCATCCTTGCACTGCCGACTACTACAGACAGGCTAAAGGTGCTGCAGGCTAAGTTAGACTCAGAGTAGCTGTTGATAAAGAGCACCCTGTGTATGAAGCTGTGGATGCAGTTAAGCATCAGGGGCTGAAAAGGGGAAAATCATGAATTGTTCAAGCAGAAGACACAATAAGACAAGTATGCATGCTGAAGAACATTGGGCGAGGAAAGGAGTGGGTCAGAGTACCCGAGGAAAAGTCTGACCTATGTAGGGTCATGATTACATTAGGCCAGGAGTGCAGAGTGGCCAGCAGGAGCTATTGAGGTGGAAGTCCAACAGTTGACTCACGACAATTCTCGTCCTGATGATCTGATATCTACACAGATAGTTCTGTATTGAGAGGAAAGAGAAGTGCCTGGGGTTTTGTAGCAAAAGCCAATGGAAAATCTTTAGTGCAGGACAGCCTGGCATATGATACAACATCTAGCATGAGAATGGAGGTGGAGGCGTCACTGCAGCTTGCCGGTGACTAGAGAACAAGATACATACACATGCCATAGTTGTAACAGACTCTGAATGCATGCCGAAATGATGAATACAGGATTGCTTCGAGCAGAGTGGCAAGCTTCACTTGGAAGGTCACGGGTAGTGAGCATACTTTTGATCTTTTCTCCAGGTCATGCCGGCGTGGTGGGGAATGAACAGGCAGACAGACTGGCTGGATCTGTACCGCTGAGTGGTGAATTGTTGCATGACAAAGCTGATGTGGTCAGATCTCTTTGGGAGCCAAAAAAAACGAAGTCAGAAGAGAAATTAGATTATTATGGGCTGGAGAGAATGATGCACTTGGGTGTGACCAGAGGGTTCGGACGGCACACTACACCCAGAGGAAAAGCATGATGGACAAACAACCAGACTATGTCTGGCATCATTAATATTGAAACTCTTTGCTGGCTGCTGAGGATGGGGACGGAGCGCATATGGGAATGCCCCGAGTGCTGTGATGTCAATTCTTAACTCAACTCAACTCAACTGTTATCTGTTACTATGGAATATATGTCTCTCTCAGTACAAACTCTTTTTATGTTATACATTTCTAACCATCTCCTGCTCACTTCTTCTGTTACGTTAACCTTTTCTGTAAAAATTGATATCATAACTTACAGTGTGTTATTTTAACTCACAAGGATGCAAAGATTGCAACTCTGAAGTGCAAAAGCTTTGGGGAAGTAACTGTTGAAACAAAAATTGCCTAGGAATGAAGGAGCTAACTGTGCTATCAATGTACGAGTTAAGAATGAACAGATCTGGGTACCTCTGTGTCCTCCAAGACTCAGAATACACCGCTTGGTTCTGACATCAAACACACGTACTCTCTTATCATCACTTCCTGTAACCATGATGCTGAAGTCAGATGAGAAACTGACACAGTTCACCTAAAAATAATACAGAGAAACATTTTTTTTTTAAATCTGTCTCATCTAGCTCCTTGCTGTTTGGTCCTGTGCCAGGTTGTAAGTAAGTAAAGGACTGTTGCTGTGTCCACATTTTGAGGCATAATGGGCAAAAAAGGAGAAAATTATTGCAGATAGGTTAATAGATAATCATTAGAGAATTCTTTCTTTCTTTTCTTTTATCGATTTCCTGCTTTTTGCTGCTAAGTGTCTCAGGTTAATAGATGATCGGTTTTTGAGCTATGTTACGCTCGGTTGCCCGTTATGCTGTGATGTTGTGGAGTCTTGAGATATTAGTGACTCCTTCAATCTATTTTCTTCTTGGTCATCTCTGACCTCTTGTTGTTTCTACTTTCACGTTGTACGCTCCTGATTCTGGCATCATTGGATTCATTCTTATTAAACGGCTACACCATTTCAGTCTTTTTTTTTTTAAATTTAATTATAAGCGTGTTTAAATAGTTTTTGTAATTTATTTGTTTCTCGAATGATCTTTTCTAATTTTGTTCATGGCCTTTCTCAATCTCATTTTGTGTTCTTAAGTCAATGACCAGGTTTGACACTCATAGCCCAAGGTTGGCATGAAGAGTGCATTTATAATTTGTCTTTTTAACTCCACTGGGATAGCCAGGTGTTTCAAAATTCAGGTCAGTTGATACATGATATTGGTGGCTTGTTTGGATTAAATAGATGTGACAGAAAAACTGGTCCGGAAATCCCATGCTCTAACTGTGGAACACTTGTCTTAACATAACCAAGTCTTGCCAGTCCCACTCATCATCACCATGAGCTGTGTGACCCATGCTCTAACTGTGGAACACTTGTCTTAACATGAGCGGGTCTTGCCAGTCCCACTCATTATCCCCATGGGCTGTGTGTCCCATGCTCTAACTGTGGAACACTTGTCTTAACATGAGCGGGTCTTGCCAGTCACACTCATTATCCCCATGGACTGTGATTCCAATGCTTGCCTATAACCAACCTTTACTTTCCAAAACATTTCCTGGTACTTCTTCTTTTTCTTCTTCGCGTTCACCGGCTGTAAACTCCAGCAGAAAGTTCTTGTTGTTCATCCACTTCTGGACTGGAGTCCTGTTCCAGAACCTGAGTGTTGAGTGTGAGGCCGTTTGACAGATCTGACTAATTTGTATGCAGACTGTTGGTTCCTTGCCTTTAAGGCAGATGCACTCCAACTTCGAAGGAAGCTCCCAATCTGTCGACTCTTACGACATGCTTTTGGGTAGGCAATGGGTCTATTCTTGTTTTCCCTTTAACAGGGCCCCGGAACCCACACAGGGATTCCTGGTACTCATTTTTGTCTATGTTGACCCGGAAGCCCAGATCATTTTTTTTTTATCTGCCTACAAATTGAAAACTAAGATGATTTATGTTTGAAAAAATGATCCTGAAACAAATAAATATTTCCAGCTGTAGCAGACCCTTATGGAGTGTGGACAGGTTAGTCTGAAGACGTCAGTCTGACTACTGTCATGTCATTACCAGTGGCTGGATCTGCAGAGAACTGTACCATGCAAGAATAAAAAGGCAGCTGCAACAATTAAAAGACAACAGCTATAGCAAGAATGATGTCATCTTACTTATCATCATCTGTCTTTTATAACATAAGAGGCAAAGTTTGGAATTTTCAGCCAGATTTGAAAGTCTGTTCATTGTTGAGCAGAGCGATGTATAAATCATCATTACATCTAGTGTCTGAATGGGAGTTCTACAAGTATTTTGTCACCTTACATCTAGATGTAGATTTCTGAGATAGGTTCTGGTTATTACTTGTTTTACGTGTGTGTAGGTGCATGGGTATGTGTGCATGTGTTGGGTATGTGCGTATGTTGGGTATGTGTGTGTGTGTGTGTGTGATATTTTAACTGAATTGTAACACCTCTTGCAGTAATAACACAAGAAGGCATATCAGATATGTTCACAGTCAACACAGCTGTGAGACAGAGATGTGTGCTCTCCCCATTTTTATTTAACATTTTTATGGACAGAATATCTAAAGAAGCAAGTTCTGATACAGACAACATAGATCTTTATAATCACGAGGTAGTACACACATCAGAAGAAGTAATCGATTTCCCTCACATTAAACAAATTATTATTTGCTGACCAGTGCTTGTTCTACCCTGAAGAAGATAGACTGCAAGACCACACTAACAGGTTAAACTCAGCATGAAGTAAATGCAACATGAAAATCAATGCAAACAAAACCGAAACAATGCAAGTCAGTAGAACCCCTGCCCCACTACACATACAGCTGAATGGTTCTGCTCTGAATCAGGTTAGGGAGTTTAAATATCCAGGAAGTGTGATCACGGAAGATGGTAGAATTGACAGAGAAATAGAAACCAGATGTCAGAAAGCAAGTGCACGTATATACCAACTGTCACCATTATTAAGACATCCGAGCATAACTATAAGTGCAAAGAGCAGATTATAAAAAGCATATTTGTTCAAACATTAAGCTACCAGTGCCAAACACAGACACTATCTAAAGTGCATATACGCAAAATCACCACCTGCGAGATAAGATGCCTGAGAAAAGCAGCCAACTTAACCATCCGAGATCGAGTGAATAATGAAACTATCAGGCAAATTGTGGGAACGTCACATTGTACCAGAATAATCAAGGAACAGCAGATCAAGTGGTTTGGCTATATCGTTAGAATGCAGCAAAATCAAATACCATCACAAGCACTACATCTCAGAAGATCAGCTACAAGAGCAAGAGGACGGCTGCAGAAATAATGGATCGACAATATAAAAGACATTCTACGCCTTCATGGCATGACAATAGCCAGTGGCAGTTAACGTGCACTGGATCGCAAATTATTCCTCCCCACGACGCTTAATGGGAGAAGTGGTTTATGATGATGATGATGATGATGATGTAACACCTCTATGAGTGAATGAATCAGACATATATTACAATGATCTATGAGAAGGCTTCAAATAAAAAGTGTGCTAAAAATTACAACCATGCCATTGTCTTGTAACCGTTCAGTATTGTTGCTGAGGATGTCATGGTCATGTCATAATGGCAGTTTAAAGATGGCCACCCACTTCTGACATGCACCAAAGAACAGCAGCATTCTATTATCTGTTTTTTTTTATCAGTGAAAGGCTAAAAGCTACCAAAAATGCATCACAAAATGAAGGTCCACTACGGTGACGCATGCCTCTCAGTCCAGCAAGTGTATGTTTCTAATTTTTGTTTTTTTTTCGACGGATCAACATCATGGCCCACGGGTGTAACCCATAAGTGTTCCGTTCTACTTCTAACTCAAGTCTGAGTCTGAAGAGTCTCAGCACAGTGCACGAACTCTATTGAACTGGCAAGGATCCTGAAATACCTTGGGTAGATTTTTAACTCCAAAGTAGGCCTGGGCAGCGCCATGAGCTACTTTTTGTGATTTCCAAATGCGCAAGAATACATACGGGCGTCCGATCTTACTACCTAGAGACCAGGGGAAATTACTAGAAGTCCACATGAAAAAATTCCAGCCTTCACCAGGGCTTGATCTCGAGACCTCCAGCACTCGAGGCAGACACCATACCTCGAGACCACTCAGCCTCACCACTCAGTGTATGTGTGGACCAGGAAGTTTAAAAAATGTGTGATTCTTTGATAAACTGTTCATGACCGGGTCAGCACACAGAAGTCATTCCATTTTGTTACAAAGCATGGTTACTGTAATTTTTAACACACTTTTAAGGTTTTCATTTACAGCCCTATCGTATATTCTACCCATGACTGTAATTCTATAATCAGCCTACTAAGATTTATATTTACCTCATCTTTATGTCCACCAAATTCTGTCAACTGCTTCATATGTAGATCTTTTGGGGATGAATACATTATTAAGGGTTCTTAAACTAATTAGTTATGTTCTGGAAGGTGAAGGCGAGCTGGGGATCAGACTCATTTATATTATCTAAGTACCCGGTACATACATTGGTCACTATATTATTTTATACTCAACAACAAGAAGGTCTTTGTAACGAAGTGGTCAAGCCATTTGTCTCATATTCATTTTGGAAACCACATGTTTCCGTTTGTAACGTTTTGGGGAATCATCATTGGTAGTTCATGCTTTTTGTGATGCTCCTGGCAGAAAGCTGATCATTCTGGGAAGAAAGACCAATTCATTATGGCTTACAATAAAGTAACTTTAAATACTCATTAACTAACTTCCATGAATGGAAAATGAAATGTTCAAGTATTAATCAGCACTTCCAGAAATATAGAGAAGCAGAAATAAATCAACGGAATCACTAGACAACATAAAAATATAAATGACCACATCAGAATTTAACCTGATACCTCCTAATTATAGTTTTCAATGTTTATGATATGTAGTGTATCCTATAGTTTCCATTTCTGTCCTATAATTCTAAGATTGTCAATCAATACTTGTTAATAAATTCTTTCATGCCATGAAACAATGGTCTCAATAAAATTTTCCTTACAACTGACATTATTTTGTTGTGCCATATAACAATGGTCTCAATAAAAGGTTCCTTACAATTGGCATTATTTTGTTGTGCCATATAATAATGGTCTCAATAAAAGGTTCGTTACAACTGGCATTATTTTGTTGTGCCATATAACAATCTTCTTCTCTTCTTCACTTCCTCTTTTACCGCTGTGGGTGTCGAGGGAGATATAAGGTTCTGTTTCTAGCTCTTCTGGTTGCCTCGACCATAGGCACATCGTGCTGTTGTAGAGTTTCTCTGATGTTATCCTTCCATCTTGTTCTTGGTCTACCCCGTGCTCTGCGTCCTTCTTCTCTTTCCATGTATGCTTTGTATGGTATGGTGTCACAAGACATTCTCTCTAAGTGGGCAAACCATTTCACTTGCTGTCTTTGTATGTAATCCAGAATTGGTTCTGTGCCGACTTGTTCTCTTATGATCTCATTCCTGATCTTATCTCTTATGGTCACTCCTACAGCCCTTCTCAGACATCTCATTTCCGTGGTTACTAATTTTCTTTTATGGTTTATTGTGAGTGACCATGTCTGGCACTGGTAGCACAGAGTTGGAATAAATATGCTTTGAATAAGATGTCTCTTTGTGCTGATTGAGGAGCTAGCTGTCCCAATACTTGGTTTGCTTTACTGCATCTAATGTTAATTTCTTTATCCAATTTCCCATCTTCTGTAAATGTAGTTCCCAGATATTTAAACTCAAATGCCTGTTTAATGCCTTTGTTTTCTATTGCTATGTTTAGATCTGTCTTATTTTTTCCTATTGACATTACTTCTGTCTTTTCAGTCAGATAACAATGGTCTCAATAAAAGATTCCTTACAACTGGCATTATTTTGTTGTGCCATAAAATAATGGTCTCAATAAAAGGTTCCTTACAACTGGCATTATTTTGTTGTGCCATATAATAATGGTCTCAATAAAAAGATTCCTTACAACTGGCATTATTTTGTTGTGCCATATAATAATGGTCTCAATAAAAGGTTCCTTACAATGAAGATTTCTTTCCACTACATTCAACTTTGTATTTCAATCGAATTATCTTTACTCCAGGAGTGTGTTGGAAACTGAACAACGAGACATGGTGACTATTTCTGCACAAGTGGGTTGTGATCTGATACAAGGTGAGCAGAATAAGACTAAAGGAAATGCCTTTTGGAAGCATGTGAACAATGCTGAAAAGCCTAGCGTAAAGTAAAAGCTCACCCTGGCCAAGAAAGATTAGACTAGGGATTGTGGTAGACAAAAAGGCTGAAATGCTCCGAGTAACAAAGAATATGAATCTAGACAAAAGACTGTTTCAGATAATCAAAGCAATGTTTCCCCAATGTGAATTTGAACAAAGAAGACACAAACAATTTATTGCCTGGCATATTTCGCTGTATCTCGTCAGGTGCATACATACTACAGTAACAAGTGATAAAAATGAAGCAAATAGCTGAATCATAGAAACTGAAACACAAATTCGAGTACATTCTACACTGTCTGTTTAACCTTAGGTTACCTTGGTGAAACAGTCAGACTTTTTTTTTAAATTACCTTGGCTCCCATATCGAAACAGCCTTGAGTGGGTAACAGGTACAGTCCTGAGGAGTAGCGGCTGTCGTAATGCTGAACACATCACCCACTCAGTGCCGTTTGGTCTATAAAGTACAGGTCTAGTCCTATGTAACCAAAACGACTGACTGGTGTGGAAAAGGGTCATTCACTTTACTTGCTATATACAGTAAACATTCTTTTTCACAAATCAGCAAAACGTGGCCATTGTGTTACCATGGACGCTAAAATTCGTAAAAGTAATACATCGTTTCTTAACTTATTAAACGATTAGAATTAACAACGACTGCAAAATATCCCTAATACACAAATCAGGGTTGCTATATTTGCATTTGTTATGCCATATTCCATAAAATTGGCATATTTGAAATTGAACTGGCATAAGATAATGAACTGGTATATTTTGGCATATTTGGGTTTTTCTTGGCAATGTAGACCTACAGTTAGCATCTTCATTTCAGTTTGACTTTGTTGTGATGTCCTGGTACGGACTAACGGAGATTCGCGCCATTTCCTATTGTATTTGTTGTCTTTCTAAACGAATTGCGACTTCGATAAACCAAGTCCCTCTATAATTTATGTTAACCTACTAGAATAAATGCGGGATATAAAACCGAAACCCATCACTGATACCAAGTGATTCATACTGTTCAGAAACTACTCGATGACAGAAAATAGAGAGGATATAGACCTAGTTCTATCTACCAATGGCTACGTCATCCTAAAAAAAATGAAAGCATCTTATGACATCGCAAATATAATAGTAACTGGAAGACAACATACCCACTGTTCAAAAGATCTTCAGACGGAATAGAGGCAGCATATTGTAAACTGTGTCAGTGCACTGTTGCAACAAGACTTAGTAGTATATCAAATCATGAAAAATCCGAAAAACACAGGATGATAACTGTCAAAAAACCAGTCACAGCTTATTACAACAATGACTCCTATCCTAGGCAAAGTAATGATAAAGTTAAAGGCAGCAGAGTTACAACTTGCTGTAGGCATGATCTGCCATTGTTCAATACGCACAATTTATCATCTAAGTAAAATCATAAGAAAACATGGTCAAGGAGTACATTGGAGCACATACAGTTGCATTTAACTACATGTTCATGCCTAATAAAAAAATATTATATCGCATGCACTTAATGCAGATGTCTTGAAAGAATCTGATTCATGATGATGAACTGGTCGCCCACATCAGAAGGAGACAATCTACACTCTTCAGTCATGTCATAAGAAGAAAACTAGAGTGCATCGTGACAGTGAGTAAGTTAGTGGAGAGGTAGAGGGAGATTGAAGGAGAAGATTTTGGGCAGTTACAAATTATGGCATGGAACATCATCTGTGCCATAATTGATTGAAAGTACATGAGACAGAGGGTTGTGGGTAGACGTGACTTCCTATGCTACACAGAATTCCAGAGAAATTTGACTAAAAATATCAACAAAATGGGGAAGCAGAAAAACCTGCACAAAACAACACAAATAACGTAACGTTTCGGCTGGGCAGCCTTTGTCAAACTACACAAAAATGCGACATAGCATGGACTATAGGAAGAAGTATTTACCAACTTTACATGCAAATATAAGAAAACTTACAAACAAGGAAAAACATTTAACAGGAAATGGTTGTATTAGGGAGAAGGATGGAAAAATTATTGTTGAAAAGAAAGATATAATAAAAAGATGGACTGAATACACAGAAGACCCTGTTTTGAGACAACAGAGGTGACAAACCGCCAATCCATAATATTCAAGAGGGGCCAAACATATTATAGTCTGAAGTAGAGAAAGCCATTAAACAGATGAAGCAGGGAAAAGCTGCATGTCCAGACAACATAACTGCAGAAATGTTAAAATCATTATCTACTTTTGGAATTGATACTATCACAGAAATATGCAATGACATTCCCAGGGACATGAAAACATCTGTTTTTATCACACTACCCAAGAAATCAAAAGCTGTTGATTGTGAAGATTACAGAACTATTAGCCTAATGAGTCACGTAACTAAGTTACTCTTGAAGATAATACAAGCAAGAATTCAAAATAAAATAGAGAAAGAGGTTTCTGAAGAGCAATTTGGATTCCGTAAAAACAGTGGTACTCGAGAGGCCATACTTTGTCTAAGGATGCTGACTGAAAAATATATAGAAGTTCAGAAAAATATTTATGCATGTTTTATAGATTACAAAAAAGCTTTCGACAGAGTGCAACATGAACAACTAATTGCTGCTCTTCAAAACATAGGACTAGATGGAAAGGATATCAGACTTATTAGAAACTTATACTGGGAGCAAGAAGCAACAGTAAGATATGTCATCCGCTCACCCCAGATAGAGATCAAGAGAGGAGTAAGACAAGGATGTGTGCTGTCGCCTAGCCTTTTCAACTTATGTACAGAAACCATTTTTAAAGAAATTGTAGAATTACCAGGACTGAACATCAATGGTAGAATAATAAACAATTTGAGATATGCTGACGACACAGTGTTGCTAGCAGAGAGTGAGCAGGAGTTGCAAGACCTAGTGGAGCAAGTAAACAGAAGGAGGGCAGAATTTGGATTAGATATTAATTTGAAAAAGACAAAAACCATGATATCTAGCAAAGAAAATAATCAGCTAACAATGAATATCACAGTGAACGGGGTGAAATTGAAACAGGTTAAAAATTTCCTATATCTTGGACAAGTAATAACATGTGACGGCAGAAGCGAAACAGAAGTCAAGAAAAGAATAGGGATGGCCAAAAACATTTTCAACAACATGCAAAAGTTACTGACATCAAGAGAAATAAGCAATACATTAAAAATGAGAATTGTCAAATGTTATGTATTCTCAACCTTACTGTATGGCACAGAGACATGGACAATGAACAAACGACTGGAAAATCGTATCAATTCTTTGGAGATGTTGATATACAGAAGATTGGGTCGTATTTCATGGAAACAAAAGCTATCAAATGCAGAGGTACTGAGGAAATTAGGAATGAAAAGAGAGCTGCTAGGTGAAATAAAAAAGAGACAAGTGAAATATTTTGGTCACATTAAAAGACATTACAGTATTGTAAAGATCATCATAGAGGGAAAGGTTCAAGGTAGGCGAGCAAGAACAGACAGCGTTACAAGTGGGAGGACAACATCAAGAGATGGACGAACAGCAGTATGAGTGAGTGTACATCAAGGGCAAGAGACAGGGCTTGTTGGAGATCCATTGCAGCCAACCTTCATTGTGGAGATGGCACCTGATTGATTGATATACCAACTAGCGTTTCTAGGACATCCGCTAACTTTTTATATATATTTAGAACATTAAGAGGTGTAGCAGCAGGCCAAAGCTACTACAACCTCCCCTCGATAAATTGTTTGCAAACCGACGTGTGACTGACTGACTGACTTTCTACCCCACTAGGACATCACACAAGCGATAAACACGATGACACGAAGTGCCACCATGTGGATGAGGTTCGCCGTGGAGAGGTCCCAGAAACCGCGTTCAGACAATTAGCCATATTTATGGCCTGCCTATATTGCGGCCCCTGGCAAAAGCCAGGGTGGGGCTTCAAATAACAAAAAATTTCGTCCTAAAAAGGACGAAACGTTTGTTATGGTGTGGTGTTAACATTTTTAACCGTTTGGTTAGACAAAATCTGCTTATTTGTAGCGATAATTATGCTGAATCTTTTGTACAATGCATTATGGAAAGATGTCAAGTATTTCTGCTGTTTTGATTCATTTGTTTCAACAAACCCCTATCCTGTTACTTATGTTTACGTTCGACTGATTACTAAAAAAGCATCTGACATTTAAATTGAAGAGCAGGCTGACAACTCCATAGACTAAAGCATTCACAGTTTAGCAGGCTATTTCCCTTAGTAATAATGCAGGATGACCTTATTGGTAATTTTCGGAACAAGAAATATGCCATCATTATAGATGAGTTGCAAAGATTTCATCCCATCTGAGAACATGCTTAAAGATTTTACATCTGAAAAGGTTTACGCTGTGTCTGCCACTTGTTCCAGTGAGAATGACAGTGAAGAATTCAATCTAGAGCTTTTGATGTGAAGCCAGTACAATGTTACACTTTATCTGGCATTTTCTGGCATATTTTGGGCAATGGTTTGGCATAAAATTAAGTTTTTTATCTGGCAACCCTGCCTACTATAATCAGTGTTGCCACTTTGGATCTTTTATATCCAAATCTAGATCTTTTTCATTGCATTTAGATACTGTTTTTGACGTTTAGATCGTAAATATTTTTCTAGAAACGTTTCATATGGAGTTAGATATTTTAGAGATTTTTTTTCTTTCATTGTTAATTTAATAATTACTATGTAAAATATTTACTACAATATGATGACAAAATTAAAAACTGGGGATATGACCAAAGCTTGTTGTAAGTACTGCAAGTGTGAAATTAAAGCGAAAATACAAAACTCAAAGAGTCATGCAGAGACTAAAAAAGCATAAAACTGTAGTTTCATTTAAAGATATTACACCGCTGACATCTGTTTTCAGAACTATACTGATAAATGAATCATCACAAGTTGAAGTATCAGTCGCAATGTTTTTAATTTGTCACTGCACAATTTCAAACTGTGACCATTTGATCGATTTGTAAAAAATCTTGGACTAGTTCAATTTGAAAAGTGTGATGTAGAAAGTATAGTTTAGGAACTGAAGGACCTTTTAATCAGCAAACAGTTAGGCTTAAAGAATTTGGCTGTAATTGGTACTGATAATGCCTCAGCGATTGAAGTGAGACAATTTAAAGATGCCTCATCAAATAGTCCATTCTGTAAGCTCTTTAGAGTGCCATGTCTGCCATGATACTACCCCACTCAAATGCTGACGTAGAAAGAAATTTGACCTCCTAAATGCTATCGTGTCATTAAAATTCGGCCTGATGAGACTAGAAAAATAAGCCTACTGTTCCACTTATAAAAAAAATTTGAACAGCTAAAGCATACCAGGGTAATTTTGAATATGAAGCTTCAACTTCATTATCCAAGCCAAGTTTGTCCTGTGGATCTTGTGAGGCAGACATCAGTGAAGGTGAGGACATGATTATGTAGGGTAAGTCATAACAAAAGCTATGTAATTTTTGACTTTTTCAATTTGGATGTTTTTTCTAGATCTTTTCCACGCAGATTTAGATCTTTTTAGATATTTTTTGACACCGTTTTGGATATTTTTTGTCAAAGAAAAGTGGCAACACTGACTATAATACACAAATACTCAACATGGCTTCGGAAGCGGCAATAAACGCACTGGTAGAAAGACTAGCCAATATTAGTATTGACAATAAAGTACAAGCTTTAGAAGAATTGAAAACTGCACTAGGAGCGTTACGTCCATCAGAGCTTCGGAATATTTTGCCAAATATTTCAGTTGCCAACGTTTTTAACTGTTTAAATACACAAAACAAGTACGTACCCTGCACAGTTTTCTACTTTCGCTTTCAATTGGCCATCAAATACGCAAGTCATCAAACCTGCGTTTATGTTTAATAATAGCACGTATTTTTTCTAGTCAAGTCTAGTTTAACAGGTTATAATAAACTAAGTTAGAGATTTGAATTTCGTTAGCATACATCCAATTCTAATAGTGTTTTAACCCGTTTATTTTAAATTAGAATTTAATAGTTTTGTTTAAGTTACTTCCCCACCGTGACAGCCTTCTGGCCTTCTGCGCAAAACTGGGCTCTCTTCCGAATACCGGTCCCAAATTATTCACCGTTAAAAAATCCTATTCAGGGCCTCAAGAGGTCATTTTTTTACCATTAACAGGGCGGTTGGCACGTTGTGTTGTGGTTTACAGCTAGGCTTCGAAATATGCGCCTTTCGCTTGTTCTTGTGGTTAACAGCTAGGCTGCGATAGCGGCGGCGAGATGCTCAATGATAATAATGTCACGGGTAGGTAAACTTCATTCTTTTCGTTCGCCCTTGAAAGAATGGTTCTCACGTTGTGTTGTGGTTTACAGCTAGGCTGCGATATCTGCGCCCTTTGCCCCAAAGCATCCGATTTCAGCAGTCCTAATTAGTCGCCTTTTACAACTTTTATGTGGCAGTGGATCTATTTTTTCTTTCCCCTAAAATATTTGGCCCTGGACCCCCGCAAGGGCAGTAATGGGTAATGGAAACAATGGATCAAAAATCATTCACGTCGCTTAAATGGATGGAACTCTACTCCTCCCCAAGACGCTTAAACAATGGATCTAAATCTATTCTTTTCCACGTCGCTTCAATGGATCGAAAACGATTCCTCCCCACGGCGCTTAACTTAACGTCTAAACATTGATATCCAGCGAGCAATAACGGCACAAGTGGAAACTGATCATGATGGCCTAAACGGTTTTACTACATAACCTCCTGAGCGATGTTTTTCGGCAGTGAATAATTTGGGACCAGTATTCGGAAGAGTGCCTATATATATATATATATATATATATATATATATATATATATATATATATATATATATATATATATATATATATATATATATATATATATATATATATATATATATATATATATATATATATATATATATATATATATATAGGCACTCTTCCGAACCATTCTTTCAAGGGCGAACAAAAAGAACGAAGTTTACCTACCCGTGACATTATTATTTAGCATCTCGCCGCCGCTATCGCAGCCTAGCTGTTAACCACAAGAACAAGCGAAAGGCGCATATTTCGCAGCCTAGCCGAACGCCCTGTTAAGGGTAAAAAAATGACCTCTTGAGGCCCTGAATAGGATTTTTTAACGGTGAATAATTTGGGACCGGTATTCGGAAGAGTGCCCAAAACTGATCGCATTTTACTAGATCAGATCAGTTAGCAGGCAGTGAAACTTGTCGTAAATATGAATTATATCCTACAGTAACAAAAACTATTGCTTCGCTGGAGTTATAAATGAGCTAACTGGGATGAATTTTGTTTTGCTTACAGACAAGAAAATTATAAAAACATGACATAGCAACATAAAGACATTAGTGGAAATTCTAAACAAAAGCAGGCTATTCTCCCGATAATGGCCACATATTATGGCGGCCAAAAACAGGGCCTCAGTCACACGTAAACTGCAGACTTCCGGCGACTTAAATTGCGGACTTTCGGCAACTACCGCCACCGCCGAGAGTATCTCCCGCGCTGCTAGCGGAGCGGGGCTAAACTAGATGGCTATGACTCACGAGCAAAGCTGCAGGAGATGCGGAAGCTGCTGCCCGCTAGTCCCAGCCATTTAGTTTAGCCCCGCTCCATGCCGCGCAGTAGATACTCTCGGCGGTGGCGGTAGTCGCCGAAAGTCCGCAATTTACATGTGACTGAGGCCCTGTCAGTTTGTGTTTTTGGCCGCCATAATATGTGGCCATTATTCGGAGGATAGCCCAAAAGCAATACTGCAGGCAGCATTTGAGTGATCCAAGAAATGCAAGGAAAATTTACTGATCTTACTGGACTTCTGCTTTCTATCCCACAGTGCAACAAAGGCCCTCAACCAACTCTTGCTGGTCGCTCTATCCTTCACTATTGCCTGCTGCTCACCCCTTGTACTCCCCATCTTGTTAACTTCACTCTATATTATCCTTCTCCGTGTATTTTTGGGTCTGCCTTTATTTCTATGACCCTGTGGGTTCCAGTGCAAAGACATGTTTTATTGTTCGCATGTTTTCTCAGTGTGATTGGCCCAGTCGTCCCCAAAGGGTTAATAACTTCTGCTGGAATACTGTCTGGACCTTAGCTTTTACTTCTTTCAAAAGACTGACAGCTTTCCTAATTTCCTTTTTAGATAGTATCTCACAGTTGACATCCAGTATCATTTCTAAAGGCTTGATATCTGGCGGACTTATGGGGCTGGTCAGTTTAGATCTGGATATAGACTAAAGAACTACGAATTCTGGAGGAAAAGGCCGAAGATGCCAGGAAGACAGCAGAGAAAGAAACAAACAACTGAAACAATCATGTCACTGATAGCCGTCTGTGAGAAATATGAGAACATTAAATCAAACAACTAGAAATTCCTGGTGAGAGATGACAGAAAACTTGAATTTAGACAAAGATGGAAACAAATTGTGGAGGCTAGTAAAAAGCCATAATAATCATAAAAGCTTCCATTTCCACGCCTTGATGAGTGTTGTACGTGTGGTGCTAGCTCCATATTGAGTGTTGTACGTGTGGTGCTAGCTCCATATTGAGTGTTGTACGTGTGGTGCTAGCTCCATATTGAGTGTTGTACGTGTGGTGCTAGCTCCATATTGAGTGTTGTACGTGTGGTGCTAGCTCCATATTGAGTGTTGTACGTGTGGTGCTAGCTCCATATTTGTTATTTTAAATTTGTCTTCTTCCTGGATCGCCGGCTGTAAGCACCAACTGAAAGTCCTTGTTGTTAATCCATTTGGACTGTGGCCTTATGCCAGGGCCTGAGTTTTGCATATGCATCCATTTTACTGGCTTTTTTGTGTGTAAAGTTGGTTGTTCCTTGCCGCTCGGGCAGATGCACTCGACTTCAGAGGAAGTCCCCTATTAGTCAGCTTCTACAACATATTTGTTGGAAAGACAGTGGGTCTGTTCTTGCTTTCCCTATACTGGAACCCACACAGGTATATTTTAAATTAACTTATACATCAATCTGTGAGTAATATAGTCATCATGTCTGCTTTTACTTCCTTCCCATGATATTTCCAGGAACCTTTGTAAGGTTAGGTCGATTTTAATAATTTGTCTTCAGTGAGAACTCAGTATCCTTTATCCTGCACTACCCTAAAAGTATTGTGGGCACAAAAGACAACACATTCAGTTCAGTAGATTTATGTTTTTAACTCACTAGAATTCAAGTTTATGCTTCATTGTGTTTGGAAGCAGATTCTGTCAGTTGCATTATCACAACCAACATCACTGTACAGAGTCAATAGCATGCCCTTCATAAGACACAGCAAAATATGCCAGGAAATAAATTATAAAATATGTTTCACATTTAACTTTTAAATGTGAAAAAGAATAATGTATGTTGAATAAGTGGAACTTGTTTGTTTCTTTGTGAAGATCTCAGCAGACGGTCTGCTGTGAAGTGTTGGATCGCATGATGTCAACTCTGAGTGCTTCGGCTGCACTAGAGAACTTCCATGCTCACTTCCTCACTTGGATAGCTGTCCCAGATGACTCACTGAAGGCCCTATGCTTGCATCAGGTTTGTTGTTGACTGTCTCCACATGCACCAGGCAAGATGTGCACTGATTTATATGTTAACATCGGGACTATTCTTTCATCATTGAGGCATCAGGTTTGTTGTTAATTGTGTCCATGTGCACCAGGCAAGATGTGCACTGTGATTTATATGTTAACATGGAGACTCTTCTCTCATCATTGAGGCATCAGGTTTTTTGTTGTGTCCACGTGCACCAGGCAAGATGTGCACTGTGATTTATATGTTAACATGGAGACTCTTCTCTCATCATTGAGGCATTAGGTTTGTTGTTAATTGTGTCCTCGTGCACCAGGCAAGATGTGCACTGTGACTTATATGTTAACATAGGGACTCTTCTCTCATCATTGGGCATCAGGTTTGTTGTTAATTGTGTCCTCGTGCACCAGGCAAGATGTGCACTGTGACTTATATGTTAACATAGGGACTCTTCTCTCATCATTGGGCATCAGGTTTGTTGTTAATTGTGTCCACGTGCACCATGTAGAATGGGCACTAATTTATATGTTAACATGGGAACTCTTTTCTCAACATTGGAGCATCAAGTTTGTTGTTGACTGTGTCCACATGCACCAGGCGGGATGTGCACTGTGATTTACATGTTAACATGGGAACCCTTCTCTCATCATTGGAGCATCAGGTTTGTTGTTGACTGTGTCCACATGCACCAGGCAGGATGTGCACTGTGATTTATATGTTAACATGGGAACCCTTCTCTCATCATTGGAGCATCAGGTTTGTTGTTGACTGTGTCCACATGCACCAGGCAGGAAGGGCACTGTGATTTGTGTGGTGCCAGACCTTTATTGGTTTAGACCAAGTGGCACTCGATGGGCGGTGAGATCAGCATCACACTGGCTACCTTTGCTTCCTAGGATGTTTCCTGCTACCTGTTTTAGGCTTGATGGACCTGGGAGCCAAAATTATTAAAATATTGTTCCAAAGAGAATTCAAATCAAAGATGATCCCTGGGCTGACGTAAACATCTAGCCACTCCACTAACCCATCTCCTGTTTTATATGTGTATACAAACTTGATAAATCCCTAGATGTGGGGGAAGGAAGGTGATTTTCATTTGTTTTTGTCATTTTGTGAAGCCCTCTACTTTTTGTTCAGTTTTATATCTGCAAGAAATGATGTGGATGTGGCTTTTATAGAGGAGGAGGATGCCAACAAGTGAAATCTGATCATTGGAAGTAAAAGGCTGAATGTAGGGTGTTTGTTCTTGGAGGAGAGAGAAAGAAAATAAGCAGAAGGAAGGGAGATGAGAGAAAATTGTGTTTTCTGACCTCTGCATAAGCAAATGGTATTTTTTTTTTAAAGTCCGATTTTGAATTCTTTTTCTTTAACGGACACACCCGTAGATTCTTTGTTTAAAATTGTACCGGCTTGAGGGCAATACACATTTGTGTCTCGTACCTCCCTTTCAATAAGAGGTGATAGACACTTTCCTGACTTGACTTGTGCATGTGCTTGACCGTCACCTTTATGTGAACTTCTCATTCCGTTTGGCTTAACCGTGATTATTTTTAGATTTCTGTGTCAAATTGTGGTTACTTCTGGAGATGTTATTTGTAACTGGGGTACTTATTTATCATGTTCTGACCTCCCCCTCCTCCATGAATTGTTTCAGCTGTCAAGAATTAGCAGAGAAGTGCCAAATGAATTAAGCCAACATGAAGACCTAGTTCTAGCTGTTGCTGGCCTTTTGGCATCTGACAACCTGGATGTGGGATTGGCAGCCGCAGCTGTTCTCACACAACTGGGTATGTGTTATCTGTCTGCTGTTCTCAACACAGCTGGGTCTATGTTGTCTGTCTGCTGTTCTCATACAGCTAGGTATGTGTTGTATGTCTGCTGTTCTCATGCAGCTAGGTATGTGTTGTATGTCTGCTGTTCTCATACAGCTAGGTATGTGTTGTATGTCTGCTGTTCTCATACAGCTAGGTATGTGTTGTATGTCTGCTGTTCTCATACAGCTAGGTATGTGTTGTATGTCTGCTGTTCTCATACAGCTAGGTATGTGTTGTATGTCTGCTGTTCTCAACACAGCTGGGTATATGTTGTCTGTCTGCTGTTCTCATACAGCTAGGTATGTGTTGTATGTCTGTTGTTCTCAACACAGCTGGGTATATGTTGTCTGTCTGCTGTTCTCAACACAGCTAGGTATATGTTGTCTGTCTGCTGTTCTCATACAGCTAGGTATGTGTTGTATGTCTGCTGTTCTCAAAACAGCTGGGTATATGTTGTCTGTCTGCTGTTCTCAACACAGCTGGGTATATGTTGTCTGTCTGCTGTTCTCATACAGCTAGGTATGTGTTGTATGTCTGCTGTTCTCATACAGCTAGGTATGTGTTGTATGTCTGCTGTTCTCATACAGCTAGGTATGTGTTGTATGTCTGCTGTTCTCAAAACAGCTGGGTATGTGTTGTATGTCTGCTGTTCTCAACACAGCTGGGTATGTGTTGTCTGTCTGCTGTTCTCATCACAGCTGGGTATATGTTGTCTGTCTGCTGTTCTCATACAGCTAGGTATGTGTTGTATGTCTGCTGTTCTTACACAACTGGGTATGTGTTGTATGACTGCTGTTCTCATACAGCTAGGTATGTGTTGTATGTCTGCTGTTCTCAACACAGCTGGGTATATGTTGTCTGTCTGCTGTTCTCATACAGCTAGGTATGTGTTGTATGTCTGCTGTTCTCACACAACTGGGTGTGTGTTGTATGTCTGCTGTTCTCAAACAGCTAGGTATGTGTTGTATGTCTGCTGTTCTCACACAACTGGGTATATGTTGTCTGTCTGCTGTTCTCATACAGCTAGGTATGTGTTGTATGTCTGCTATTCTCACACAACTGGGTATGTGTTGTATGTCTGCTGTTCTCATACAGCTAGGTATGTGTTGTATGTCTGCTGTTCTCATACAGCTAGGTATGTGTTGTATGTCTGCTGTTCTCACACAACTGGGTGTGTGTTGTCTGTCTGCTGTTCTCATACAGCTAGGTATGTGTTGTCTGTCTGCTGTTCTCACTCACACAACTGGGTATATGTTGTCTGTCTGCTGTTCTCATACAGCTAGGTATGTGTTGTATGTCTGCTATTCTCACACAACTGGGTATGTGTTGTCTGTCTGCTGTTCTCATACAGCTAGGTATGTGTTGTATGTCTGCTGTTCTCATACAGCTAGGTATATGTTGTCTGTCTGCTGTTCTCACACAGCTAGGTATGTGTTGTATGTCTGCTGTTCTCATACAGCTAGGTATGTGTTGTATGTCTGCTATTCTCACACAACTGGGTATATGTTGTCTGTCTGCTGTTCTCATACAGCTAGGTATGTGTTGTATGTCTGCTATTCTCACACAACTGGGTATATGTTGTCTGTCTGCTGTTCTCATACAGCTAGGTATGTGTTGTCTGTCTGCTGATTTAGTCTACAGTTTAAACAGTAATCCTGCCGGCGTGATGCTGACCACATCACCCATCTTGTGTCAATTGGTCTATAAAAATATAGGTTTAGCCCTATATGCCCTATACAACTAAAGGCATGGAAAAGGGTCCTTTACTTTACTTAAACAGTAATCCCATTGCAGATGCTGTCTGGTGTTTAACTATACTGTGATAATGTGAATAATTAGGTGAATAATTATTTCCCTTTTCACACTCACTATTTCTGGAAAATTGAAGAAAAAATACTGTGGGAAGACACATTTTTCAAAAAACCTGTTCCTGTAGTCTTGATGCCATCATCTGCAAAAGGTGTAAAAGGGCATATAGTGGGGAAACCGATAGTAAGCTAGCAAATCGCTTCCGTGAACATCTTGCCAACATTTGTAATAAGGCTATCAAACCTGCCTCCCTCCATTTCAACAGTTCTGACCACCAAGGCGAAAATGATATCTTAGTCGCTGCTATTATATCTTGCTCTGGTAATCACATGAGCCGCTATTCATTAGAAAATCGTTTCATCCATAGTTTTGGTCTAATTTGTCCTGGTGGGATCAACTTTCAACACATCTTTATTTAATTTTTTTACTTGTTCATTTATTTAATATATTCATATTTATTCCCCTCTTTTCACATATGCCTTTTTTACTTATTTCGTTTCGTATCACAGCCCTTCATATTCATATTTTTCCCTTGTTACTTACTTCTTGGTTTTATGTTGACCTTGGTTTTTTATTAGCTCATTTTTCTTGCCCGTTTAGTTTTTTAGTCACAGTTTTTGCCGTATTCAGTACTCCGTTGGTAAAGACTTTGATCAAAATGTTTGGTTGTGTTTGTGTGCATCTTTTCCATTCCATCCATGAGCTTTCTAGTCACATTTTCTGGGTTTTTTAGCACTTATTATAGTCTTAGCCTTTTAGCATTGGTCATTATGTAGTCTGTAGTCAGCCTGTAGTCTCATGTATTGTCAATGTCATGTATGGAGGGGCGGCTGGCAGAATGGTTAGAACACTGGGCTTCAGCCGGGAGACCCAGGTTTGAATCCTCAGTAAGGTTGGGGATTTTTTTCCTGTCGGAGACAAAATATAAAATCCTAACCTGTACAGTTAGTTCATCGCGACAGTGCTAGCAATGTGGCCCTAAATCCTCAGTCTCAAAGACCCTCTCTCCCTACTTTTTCCCGCCTATGCCACAAAACTGGACTTTACAGGCAGTAATGGCAGCAGGTGGTAGTACTGCCAATAATATCTGATACAGGGGTTCTGCCGTGCCATGATGCCAGGCTGTCTTCACCTTTCTTGCTTCTCTTCCCCACAGACTTTCCATTTGTCGCTGCACACCTAGTTTTCTCTTTCTCAGTACGAGTCCACAGACTATGTATTGCCTTCTCCTGATGTGAGTGACCAGTAGTAATATTTGTGTTTATTTCTTTCAAGAGAGCTCTACTCTCTGTGTCCTATTGTTATTTTAAAATGTATAAGTGAACTAAGCAGCCCCCCAGCCTCTCCCCATAGGAATAAACTCACAGGGAGCAAGTACAGCAGGGATCTACCAGTCGTCAGTAGAAATTATCCTCGTCAACGAGCATTTCGGCCCACGATTCCTAGACGCTTTCGGAGGTGGGCCCACCTGAGTTCATGAAGCTCAGGGCTGGTTCCCTGCTGCACGAAATTACCGGATGGTGTTTTTCTTTCGGATAGAGACAAGACGACTTGGTGGTTTGCAGAAGGTACTGTGAAATAAGAAGTCGTTGCGGCAGCCTAATTAAAACAGTCAGCGTGCCTGGACGACCGAGCGACAAGCTTATGATTGATTTACCAGACACATGTTGGACTTTATTAGCAAGTAGCAGAGGATCACTGGCAGACAATTCGGACACGATGGACTTTCACAGGGTGAGAAACCCTTTTCCACTAGACACCCGGACCAGCTCACCGAGGCCCGTCCCCTACGTTGTTGCGTTGCGTCCAAAGCCAGCTAGAGGCCCTTTCGGCTACCTCTCCCAGTTTTTGAGTGTTCGTTTCCGTTCATTACCGCGCAATCCTAGTTCTTTAACCACATTGTAGAGCGAAGTGGAAACGAGGCCTCTCGCTCCCACTTCGACGGCAAATACCCGTACCGTGTACGCCTCGTTTCTCCTCAGACCGGCTGCTAAATCACTGTATTTCTCGAGCTTATATAGGTGATTTTAATCCATACGCGACTCATACGGGACAGTGAGCTCTATCAGGATGAGCTGCCGTTTCTCCGCAGAGTGGAGGACTATGTCAGGTCGCAGACCGGTCTTCCGGATTAACTCGGGGTACCGTTCATGGCCTGGCAGATCAACCGCCAGTAACCAGTTTCCCCATAGATAAGTAGTGATAAAAAAATCTCCTGGCGTAAGCCACCAGGTTCTATCACCTCTACTTCTTTATGGGGAGGGGCTATCACCTCTACTTCTTTATGGGGAGGGGCTATCACTTCTACTACTTTATGGGGAGGGGCTATCACTTCTACTTCTTTATGGGGAGGGGCTATCACCTCTGCTTCTTTGTGGGGAGGGGCCATCACCTCTTCTTCTTAATGGGGAGGGGCTATCACCTCTACTTCTTTATGGGGAGGGGCTATCACTTCTACTTCTTTATGGGGAGGGGCTATCACCTCTGCTTCTTTGTGGGGAGGGGCCATCACCTCTATTTCTTTGTGGGGAGGGGCTATCACCTCTATTTCTTTGTGGGGAGGGGCTATCACCTCTTCTCCTTAATGCTGAGGGGCTATCACCTCTGCTTCTTTGTGGGTAGGGGCCATCACCTCTATTTCTTTGTGGGGAGGGGCTATCACCTCTACTTTTTTATGGGGAGAGACCATCACCTTTACTTCTTTATAGGGAGGGGCTGGGGTTCTTAGTTTTCTTACACATTTTTTATAATAATAAGACACAGACTAAAACTGACTTTTAAAACTATTATTTTTTTAAAGAGAGAATGAATAATTAAACCATGATAAACGGATGAGGATTTGATTTGATGTTGTGGTTATGTGTGATTTCATCTGATACTGTATGCTCAAAAATGTTATTCAAGGAAATATAGTATCAGTACAATAGGCCCTATTGCAAGTGTTGACCACCTCTGTAAGTTTGACCATTTTGCTACTGTCCCTTGGGTGGTCAACTTATAGAGATCCTTGTGTACAGTATATTTACACACATGTACCCACTGTTACTAATAGCTTGTCTAATCTTCTCAGGGCGAGATCCCAGCGGATTGATCACTCTGTTTGCCGAGTCAGTGGTCAGAAAAATTGTCGTAGCCATGGAGAAGAACGATGTCACAAGATTTCGAGTTTACCAGGTAAGTACATCTCAGGGGTGAGGTAGCTATTAGTACTAAAGAAGGTGATTTTTTTTTTTTTTTTTAATCAATCACCGGCTGTGAATTCCAGTGGAAGGTCCCGGTTAATCGTCCGCTTGGACTTTTGGCTTTCACCTGGACCTGATTTTTGCGTGTGCAACCGTTTTTCATTTCCCTGCCTCATAGGCAGCTGTACTCCGACTTCGAAGGAAGGCGTCAGGCCTATTTCTAGGTTGACTGTGGCCATTGTTTTGTGTGGGTCGAGACGTTGCCTGATTTGTGTGGTGTCCACTTTGTCTCCTCCGCAGGTATTGCCCTCGGAGTACCCCTTTGGGGCAGCCCCCTGTGGAACAGTTAGCCCTCAAGGGAAGGCAGGGGCAGATCATGGGCATTCCCCGCCATCCAAGGAGGCTTCCATGCATGCAGAGCCGGCACATGGCGCTCTGGTTCTGGGCTCACCCAAGGAATCGTCACGTCCTGCACATGCCTGCTTAACCTCACAACCGTATCAGGCCTCCCGCTCGACAGGGGTTGCGCCCTCTGGAAGTCAGCGGGGAGCAGCCCGTGGGTTTTGGACTTTTGTGACCACACAGATAGGTACATTCTTTTTTTTTCTTCGCACGTTAGATTTCTTTGACGAGCCGTTAGCCCGACAGAATTTTACATCCTGCATCAGGCATATCGTTATCAGTTTTGTCCCAACACTCGGGCGAGTGGGGTCTTTGGGTGTGGACATTCGGTCTTTTTCAGTTCAATACAAATTTTGATGGTTAGATTTTGATCCGTATGATCTAGTTTTGTCGGACAATTAGGATGGTTGCTGTTGTGGTGTACCTCAGCGCGGTGTCGACGACACTGAGGGTTAATCGAGGATGTACATGAGTGGCCAGCCTATGGATGGTTGCTGTTGTGGTGTACCTCAGCGCGGTGACGACGACACTGGGGGTTAACCGAGGATGTACAAGGATGGCCAGCCTATGGATGGTTGCTGTTGTGGTGTACCTCAGCGCGGTGACGACGACACTGAGGGTTAACAGAGGATGTGCAGTGAACAATGTTCTCTTTACTCTGCAGTCTTTTAACCAAGGGTTGTAATTTTGGCTGTACGTTTGGCAAACCTACTCATGTTCCTAATGAGTTTTGATAACATTTTTCACCCAAGCGTTTGGGGGCGGGCTGATGAGAGCCACAAGGACACATCACCTCTGGGGACCGCCGAACTCCGAGATCCCCTGACAGCTCTGTTAATGCTCATTTGAGACATTATCCGTGGCGCACGACGAGGACGTGCTGTAGGGGTCTTGTGTGAGGTTCCGTACAACCAGGATAGTTAAGGACTGGCGCCCGAGTGACGTACGGAGTATCTCCTTATACACATCATGTTGGACTTAACTTCCCCTCACGCCTGTGACATAAATCACCGCGCCACTAAAGAAGGTGATGAAACACGTGCTGAAATGCATTCAAATATCAGTACAGAAGTCAAGGGGTAGATAGCACATTCTGCCTGTACTGTGCTAATAGTGAAAAAAAAAAGGACAGCTGTCTAAATTACAAAAGAATAAACTCATATGTGAATTTTAATTAATAGATAAAATAAAAAACCATTTAAACATTTTGTGAGTAGGAAATCTAGTCAGCTGTTTCTTTTTTGCCTACAATCAAAGTAGCTCTGGTTAAATAGTTAAGGGAATCAAACAGTAAGGATGGATAGCTAGATGGGTGGGTAGGTATGAGATTAAACGGAATCAAACAGTAAGGGTGGATAGATAGATGGTTAGGTAAGTATAGGATTAAACAGAATCAAACGGTAAGGGTGGATAGCTAGATGGGTGGGTAGGTATGAGATTGAACGGAATCAAACAGTAAGGGTGGATAGCTAGATGGGTGGGTAGGTATGAGATAAAACGGAATCAAACAGTAAGGGTGGATAGCTAGATGGGTGGGTAGGTATGAGATTAAACAGAATCAAACAGTAAGGGTGGATAGATAGATGGGTGGGTAGGTATGAGATTGAACGGAATCAAACAGTAAGGGTGGATAGCTAGATGGGTAGATAGGTATGAGATTAAACAGAATCAAACAGTAAGGGTGGATAGATAGATGGGTGGGTAGGTATGAGATTGAACGGAATCAAACAGTAAGGGTGGATAGATAGATGTGTAGGTAGGTATGAGATTGAACGGAATCAAACAGTAAGGGTGGATAGATAGATGTGTAGGTAGGTATGAGATTGAACGGAATCAAACAGTAAGGGTGGATAGATGGGTGGGTAGGTATCAGATTGAACGGAATCAAACAGTAATGGTGGATAGATAGATGGGTGGGTAGGTAGGAGATTAAACAGAATCAAACAGTAAGGGTGGATAGATAGATGGGTGGGTAGGTATGAGAATGAACAGAATCAAACAGTAAGGATAGATGGATGGGTGGGTAGGTATGAGATTGAACGGAATCAAACAGTAAGGATGGATACTTAGATGGGTGGGTAGGTAGGTATGAGATTGAACGGAATCAAACAGTAAGGGTGGATAGATAGATGGGTAGGTAGGTATGAGATTGAACGGAATCAAACAGTAAAGATGGATAGATAGATGGGTAGGTAGATATGAGATTGAATGGAATCAAACAGTAAGGATGGATAGATAGATGGGTAGGTAGGTATGAGATTGAACAGAATCAAACAGTAAAGGAGGGATAGATAGATGGGTATGTAGGTATGAGATTGAACGGAATCAAACAGTAAGGGTGGATAGATAGATGGGTAGGTAGGTATGAGATTGAATGGAATAAAGCAGTAAGGATGGATAGATAGATGGGTAGGTAGGTATGAGATTGAACGGAATCAAACAGTAAGGGTGGATAGATAGATGGGTAGGTAGGTATGAGATTGAACGGAATCAAACAGTAAGGATGGAAAGATAGATGGGTAGGTAGGTATGAGATTGAACGGAATCAAACAGTAAGGATGGATAGATAGATGGGTGGGTAGGTATGAGATTGAACGGAATCAAACAGTAAAGGTGGATAGATAGATGGGTAGGTAGGTATGAGAATGAACGGAATCAAACAGTAAGGGTGGATAGCTAGATGGGTAGGTAGGTATGAGATTGAACGGAATCAAACAGTAAGACGTGGATAGATAGATGGGTAGGTAGATATGAGATTGATATGGCTGCTTGTCCACCCGTGCTTAGAGATTTTGGGATCAATCTCAGATTGTGTGACTGTTCAGTGTGTAGTGCCATGTTCTGATACAGGACAAGATCACCAAGATAGGGATGTTTGTCAGAATGTGTCATCCAGCACTCTCACAGTAATGACAGGCAACTCCTTATCTCTTCTAGAAGATGTCAAAACAGTATAGCTACTTCTTCTTTTTCTAATACCTTAACTTTCAAAAAAACAGGGCAGTTAATGCATTTTGTTGTGGTTTACAGCTGTGCTGTGATATCTGCATCTTTCTACCCTTCCAGCAAAGTCCTAGCTGCACCTTCCAGCAAAGCCCCAATTACCTGCCTTTTAGGACATGCTTGTCATGGGGTACTATGGGTCTGTTGTGTTGGTTACATAAGTAGGACCCCTGGAACCCACACAGGGAGTAAGTACTTATAAAACCACTTTTCTGTTGGTATTGTATGCATCCACTGTACCCTCTGCCCGTCTAAAAGTAACATAAAAAAGAGAAGTGTATGCTAGATTAAGCTGTAACTGTTAATTAGTTTTGTGTGTGTTTGCAGTATCAGCTCTGTGGCTAAGTCAATGCAAACGCTTCGTAATGCCGGGATGCCAGGTTCGATCCCAGCTGCGGACCATGTGCCTTGCGTTGGTTTCGACAGTGGTATCAAGAAAGCAGACCGTCCAGAAAGCAGTAGCAAATTACTGGACGCAAATTCGCCTAGAAAAGCCACACAATAGCCAGGGGCTGTTGGGGTTGGTTCTGCAAAGTCTTGTAAAGGATACGCAACTAACCTTGTGTTTGCAATTGTAATTCTTACACAGTTATCTTAACAGTTATCTTCCCTCATTTCTAAGGTCGCCATAGATCTGAGTGCAATATCACCCCAAGCACTAGAGGCCACTGTTCAATCAGGTCTTCTCAAACAACTAGTCAACGAAACACAAGCTGATGACATCCTTGTTCAACTGAATGCCATTGAAATGGTGTCTGACCTTGCTTTGTCACCCCATGGCCTGGCATTTCTAGACCAGGAAGGTGTTGTCGGCAGACTTGAAGAGATGATGACACACCTCAGTGATAATCCTTTGTCTGGACTGCTTCTGCCAGGTCTGTGTACAGTAGTATGTTCATTATTGACAAAACTAATCTTCTGGGCTATGAACATACTTTCTGTTGTTTTACTGCTAGCCATCCTGTTCTGTGTACTTTTCATTTAGCAGCCACTGTGAGCAAAATTACTGTTGTCCTGTTTCCATGTCTTCAAGCATATCGTATTTTGGCTGCATTTTTTGGGGCCAATTGACACTTTTCTGGTACTCATTTTCGACTGGGTCAAACTGAAGGCTGTACTAATAATATTTAATAATAATTTGATAAAGTGAAAACTACTCACCACAAGCGTGTGTATAGAGGAGAGTGGTAGAGGTGCCTTGTCAACACCCCACCTTTTCTCAAGTCTTTTAAACTTCTATATGTAAAGCATGTTTGAGCAAATGAAAGAATTTTCTGTATTAATAGCAGAATGTGAGCTGGCATTACAAGACCAAGTGGAGGAAGTCAATAGGCACAGAGCAGAATGTGATTTGATATTTAAAAAAATTTAAATAACCAACATAAACAAAATATAAAACTGATAATTAGCATGAAAAAACAAAAGCTAACAGTGAACGTCACTGCAGATTTTGGAATGTTAGATCAAGTAACAAGTTTCTCCTGTCTTGAATGTTAGATGTCATGATAGCAGAGTTTAAATATTTAAAAAAAAATTGAATTGACATCATAGCACTTGGGACACTCCCATAAGCACTTCGTCCCCATCTTCAGCAGCAGGTGAAGAGTTCCAGTTTCGATGGCACTAGTAACTGTCTGATTGTTTATGCACCTCGCCCTTACCCTGAGTGCTAACCGGCGACCAGATCCCCTGGTAACTCCTCGTAGCGCTGTTCTACTCAGACCATAATGATCTATCTGTGCCTCCGCACTGTTCACTCACTCCCAAAGGGCCCTCACATCTAGCTTGTCATACATCAATTCAACACCAAGTGGTGCAGAACTGGCCAGTCTATCTGCCTGCTCATTTCCCAACACAAGGGCATCACCTGGAAAAAAATATCTAAAGTATGCTAACTACCTTGAAATATAAATCAAATGTGAATTGCTAAAATACTTTCAGACCTTGTGGGAGGCAAATAACACAGCTTCCCGTCACCAACCATGCCTTTGATAAAACATGTACAAAGTAAAGGACTTCCTTTCACATTACTGCCTCATGTATATGGCGATGAAAGTATATTTTGTATAGACTAATCAGCATTTAATGGGTGATGTCAAAATTGCACCAGCCACCTTTGCTTCCAAAGACATTTCCTGCTAACCATTTTATACTGGGTCATTTAGCCAGGGTCTGCTTTGCAGAATTCCTGACCAAGCTGAGCCCGCAAACTAGGGTCTAACTACAGTGTTACTGCTGCTCTCAGCTTGCCTTCAGATCCTCACAGAAAAACCACAGAAGCACACAACTATATGTTTAATTTCTGTGTTTGTCCTAACTACAAAAGCATGCAACTACATGTTTCATTTCTGTGTTTGTCCTAGCCACAGAAGCACAACTGCATGTTTTATTTCTGTGTTTGTCCTAACCACAGAAGCACAACTATATGTTTTATTTCTGTGTTTGTCCTAGCCACAGAAGCACAACTGCATGTTTTATTTCTGTGTTTGTCCTAACCACAGAGGCACAACTATATGTTTTATTTCTGTGTTTGTCTTAACTACAAAAGCACGCAACTACATGTTTTATTTCTGTGTTTTTCCTAGCCACAGAAGCACAACTGCATGTTTTATTTCTGTGTTTGTCCTAACCACAGAAGCACAACTATATGTTTTATTTCTGTGTTTGTCCTAGCCACAGAAGCACAACTGCATGTTTTATTTCTGTGTTTGTCCTAACCACAGAGGCACAACTATATGTTTTATTTCTGTGTTTGTCTTAACTACAAAAGCACGCAACTACATGTTTTATTTCTGTGTTTGTCCTAACCACAGAAGCACAACTACATGTTTTACTTCTGTGTTTGTCTCAACAACAGAAGCACACAGTTGCATGTTTTATTTGTTTGTTTGTCCTAACCAAAGAAACACACGACTACTTGTTTTATTTTTTTGTCCTAACCACAGAAGCACACAGCCACATGTTTTATTTTTTTTTTGTCCTCACAGGTCTTGTTAAATTCTTTGGAGGCCTTGCCAAAAACCACCCCAAAGAAGTGTTGTCAAGATTTGACCATTTTGTCAGGCTAGTCTTGAACCATGTCACTGAAGGAGACCAGAACCTGAGAACTGTGTCTGTGGAAACTGTTGGCTTTATTGCATCCACACCCGAGGGGAAGCTGGCTTTGGAAAAGATAGGTCAGTGTGGCATTGAGTTCTGTCAGTAACATTGTGTTTTTTGTTTAAGTAGCATTGTATCACTGTCAGCGAGAGTTGAGTTGATTCAGGAACCGACATCGCAGCACTCGGAGCGTGCCCATCTTCAGCAGCCAGCACTGAGTTCCAGTACCACTGGTGCCAGTAGCTGTCTGTTTAGATATCCTTCTTACCGTTCCTCTGAGTGTCAAGTATCAGTCAGATCCCCTTGTCACACCCTGCTGCATCACGCTCACCAGACTGTGATGATCAATTTTTTGTTTCAAATTGTACACGTGCTCCCATAAGGCCTTGACTATGACTGTCTTATCATGTATCAGCATTCCACCAAGTTGTGCAGAGCCAGCCAGTCTGTCTGCCTGTTCACTTCCCATTACACTGGCCTGCTCCGGAGAAAAGTTCCAAACAATGCTCCTCACCAGTGATCTACGAAGCGAAGCATGCCACACTGCACAAAGCATGCCTGTCCTCACTTTCCTCAGAATGCTTTCTGAGTCAGTTGCAGTTAGGATGAGTGTGTGCTTTGTTTTCTCTAGCCAGCGGAAAGCTGCAGTGACCGTTTTTACCTCTACTGTCAAGCTCGATGTTGTGGTATCATATGCTAGGCTCTCCTGCACCAAACATCAACCATTAGCTGTTGCGAATAACCCACAAGCATTTTTGCTTCTTGACACTGAACCATCTGCATAAATAATCGCATCACCAAAGCAAGCATTACCTTGAATTAATTGCTGAATTTCCACCTCCATGGCACCTGCTAGCCACTCCCGGCTCAATGTTGTTATGACTGCACAAGTCTGCTTGGAGGCATAATTCTGCTGGCACTCTGACTCACTCCTTTCCTTGCCTAATGTTCTCCAGCGTGCAAACCTGTCTGATCTTGTCCTCCGCCTAAGCCATCTATGACTTCCCTCTTATCTGCTGCAGACCCTTAACTGCATCCAGCACTTTGGGTGACCTATGTCTGCAACTGCACTGAGGTATGTATGGCATACACCCCACTGGGTTGTCTCTTGTACAGCCCAGAGTGACCAGCATAGCTGCGTTTTATGTGTTTTCTGGTTTAACCAATTGACTCTGAGACAGTGAGCAGTCCGAGTCCATAATCAGTCACTGAGAGGACCAACTGCTGATACAGTATGAAAATCATTCTCCATGTCCACTGCAGCAATAGTCTTAAGTGCATTGAGTCCCTTTTGGCATCTTGTCACAACCGTCTCCACATGGTCCTTGAAGGAAGTCTCCTGTCAAATGTGATTCCCAGATACCTCAGTTTGCTCTCTCTGTTGATGTTTCTACCATCTGTCATGAGACTTGAGATATCAGCTCTAACATTCCTGTTGTCTAGAGAACACCACAAATCAGCTGCTTTTTCTGGGTGGACGATAGCACGCATGTCTCTACACCAGTCAATCACTTTTTCTGGGTGGACAACAGCCCTCATGTCTTGACACCAGTCAATCTCTTTTTCTGTGTGGACTACAGCACTCATGTCTTGACACCAGTCAATCACTTTTTCTGGGTGGACAACAGCACTCATGTCTCTACACCAGTCAATCACTATTTCTGGGTGGACAACAGCACTCATGTCTTAACACCAGTCAATCACTTTTTCTGGGTGGACAACAGCACACATGTCTCTACACCAGTCAATCACTTTTTCTGGGTGGACAACAGCACTCATGTCTTGACACCAGTCTCTTTTTCTGGGTGGACAACAGCACTCATGTCTTGACACCAGTCAATCACTTTTTCTGGGTGGACAACAGCACACATGTCTTGACACCAGTCAATTACTTTTTCTGGGTGGACAATAGCACTCATGTCTTGACACCAGTCAATCACTTTTTCTGTGTGGACAACAGCACTCATGTCTTGACACCAGTCAATCACTTTTTCTGGGTGGACAACAGCACTCATGTCTTGACACCAGTCAATCACTTTTTCTGGGTGGACAACAGCACTCATGTTTCTACACCAGTCAATCACTTTTTCTGGGTGGACAACAGCACTCATGTTTCTACACCGTTCAATCACTTTTTCTGGGTGGACAAACGCACTCATGTCTCTACACCAGTCAGTCACTTTTTCTTGGTGGTCAACAGCACTCATGTCTCTACACCAGTCAATCACTTTTTTTGGGTGGACAACAGCACTCATGTCTCGACACCAGTCAATCACTTTTTCTGGGTGGACAACAGCACTCATGTCTTGACACCAGTCAATCTCTTTTTTCTGGGTTGACAACAGCACTCATGTCTTGACACCAGTCAATCTCTTTTTTTCTGGGTGGACAACAGCACTCAAGTCTTGACACCAGTCAATCTCTTTTTCTGGGTGGACAACAGCACTCATGTCTTGACACCAGTCAATCACTTTTTCTGGGTGGACAACAGCACTCATGTCTCTACACCAGTCAGTCACTTTTTCTGGGTAGACAACAGCACTCATGTCTCTACACCAGTCAATCACTTTTTCTGGGTGGACAACAGCACTCGTGTCTTGACACCAGTGAATCACTTTTTCTGGGTGGACAACAGCACTCGTGTCTTGACACCAGTGAATCACTTTTTCTGTGTGGACAACAGCACTCATGTCTTGACACCAGTCAATCACTTTTTCTGGGTGGACAACAGCACTCATGTCTTGACACCAGTCAGTCACTTTTTCTGGGTGGACAACAGCACTCATGTCTTGACACCAGTCAATCACTTTTTCTGGGTGGACAACAGCACTCATGTCTTGACACCAGTCAGTAACTTTTTCTGCAAGAGCTGTTTGCGTAGTGATTGCATAAGTAGTTGTTTCTGCTTAGAAGCCTTATCTGACAACAAAAAGCTGCATGGTTTCACTTCAGGGTCTCTTGTTGTTTGAATGTTTCTTGATCTCACCTCAAATTTAATGTCTAAATAGTTATTTAAAACATCTTTCTGTTGACTTACCTCAGTACTTCTTGACCACGCCTTAGTCTTGATTCATCTCAATAATTGTAACTACACCTTAATGTTGACTTATTTCAGTTTTTGTTGACCACACCTTAGTGTTGATGTATCATAGTCTTTGTTGACCACACCTGAGTGTTAATGTATCATAGTATTTGTTGACCACACCTTAGTGTTGATGTATCATAGTCTTTGTTGACCACACCTTAGTGTTGATGTATCATAGTATACCTTAATGTTGTCATAGTCATTCTTGGTCTTACCTCAGTTTTACGTCTACATTTTTGCTGACCTTATATTAGTATTATCTTGTTGTCACACTGTTTCTTGACTACACCTCAGTGTTGTCTTGTTTTATTACTTTTTGGTCTTGCCTCGATTTTGTTGTGTCAGAATGTTTCTCACTCACACTTTGTTTATTGATCTCACCTCAGTGTTGTCTCACTGTTTCTTGATCTCACCTCAGTGTTGTCTCACTGTTTCTTTATCTCACCTCAGTGTTGTCTCACTGTTTCTTGATCTCACCTCAGTGTTGTCTCGCTGTTTCTTGATCTCACCTCAGTGTTGTCTCACTGTTTCTTGGTCTAACCTCAGTGTTGTCGCACTGTTTCTTGATCTCACCTCAGTGTTGTCTCACTGTTTATTGATCTCACCTCAGTGTTGTCTCACTGTTTCTTGATCTCACCTCAGTGTTGTCTCACTGTTTCTTGATCTCACCTCAGTGTTGTCTCACTGTTTCTTGATCTCACCTCAGTGTTGTCTCACTGTTTATTGATTTCACCTCAGTGTTGTCTCACTGTTTCTTGATCTCACTTCAGTGTTGTCTCACTGTTTCTTGATCTCACTTCAGTGTTGTCTCACTGTTTCTTGATCTCATTTCAGTGTTGTCTCACTGTTTCTTGATCTCACTTCAGTGTTGTCTCACTGTTTCTTGATCTCATTTCAGTGTTGTCTCACTGTTTCTTGATCTCACTTTAGTGTTGTCTCACTGTTTCTTGATCTCACTTTAGTGTTGTCTCACTGTTTCTTGATCTCATTTCAGTGTTTTCTCACTGTTTCTTGATCTCACCTCAGTGTTGTCTCACTGTTTATTGATTTTACCTCAGTGTTGTCTCACTGTTTCTTGATCTCACCTCAGTGTTGTCTCACTGTTTCTTGATCTCACCTCAGTGTTGTCTCACTGTTTCTTGATCTCACTTCAGTGTTGTCTCACTGTTTCTTGATCTCATTTCAGTGTTGTCTCACTGTTTCTTGATCTCATTTCAGTGTTGTCTCACTGTTTCTTGATCTCACTTCAGTGTTGTCTCACTGTTTCTTGATCTCATTTCAGTGTTGTCTCACTGTTTCTTGATCTCACTTCAGTGTTGTCTCACTGTTTCTTGATCTCATTTCAGTGTTGTCTCACTGTTTCTTGATCTCATTTCAGTGTTGTCTCACTGTTTCTTGATCTCATTTCAGTGTTGTCTCACTGTTTCTTGATCTCATTTCAGTGTTGTCTCACTGTTTCTTGATCTCATTTCAGTGTTGTCTCACTGTTTCTTGATCTCATTTCAGTGTTGTCTCACTGTTTCTTGATCTCATTTCAGTGTTGTCTCACTGTTTCTTGATCTCACTTCAGTGTTGTCTCACTGTTTCTTGATCTCATTTCAGTGTTGTCTCACTGTTTCTTGATCTCATTTCAGTGTTGTCTCACTGTTTCTTGATCTCATTTCAGTGTTGTCTCACTGTTTCTTGATCTCATTTCAGTGTTGTCTCACTGTTTCTTGATCTCATTTCAGTGTTGTCTCACTGTTTCTTGATCTCATTTCAGTGTTGTCTCACTGTTTCTTGATCTCATTTCAGTGTTGTCTCACTGTTTCTTGATCTCATTTCAGTGTTGTCTCACTGTTTCTTGATCTCATTTCAGTGGTGACTTCTCTAGGTCTCCTCTAAGCTCTTTACTGTTGTGAGCAAAAGTTTTCTCATTATATATCTGCCTATTAGTTTATAACCAAAATTAGAGATAAAATGCTACTTCTCTATCTGAGAATCACCTCACTGTTACCTGGTCTTACCTCAGTGCTGTCATGTCTCAGTCTGAGAATCACCTCACTGTTACCTGGTCTTACCTCAGTGCTGTCATGTCTCAGTCTGAGAATCACTTCACTGTTGCCTGGTCTTACCTCGGTGCTGTCATGTCTCCATCTGGTAATCACCTCACTGTTGCCTGGTCTTACCTTAGTGCTGTCATGTCTCAGTCTGAGAATCACCTCACTGTTACCTGGTCTTACCTCAGTGCTGTCATGTCTCTATTTGGTAATCCCCTCACTGTTACCTGGTCTTACCTCAGTGCTGTCATGTCTCCATCTGGTAATCCCCTCACTGTAACCTGGTCTTACCTCAGTGCTGTCATGTCTCAGTCTGAGAATCACCTCACTGTTACCTGGTCTTACCTCAGTGCTGTCATGTCTCAGTCTGAGAATCACCTCACTGTTACCTGGTCTTACCTCAGTGCTGTCATGTCTCAGTCTGAGAATCCCCTCACTGTTGCCTGGTCTTACCTCAGTGCTGTCATATCTCATTCTGAGAATCCCCTCACTGTTACCTGGTCTTACCTCAGTGCTGTCATGTCTCAGTCTGAGAATCACCTTATTGTTGCCTGCTCTTACCCCAGTGCTGTCATGTCTTTCATGTTTTTCCCTCCAGGCAACCCTGTGACAGAGTGTATACAAAACATTGGGAGCCTTATACAGACAGGAGCCTCAGATCTGAAGTCAAAAGCTCTCCAAGCGATGTCTCATATTGTACACTTAGAGGTGTGTATGTTGTGTCAAGTTGCTAAAGTGGATAGTAGTCCTAATATTCTCTTTAAACTTTGTGATTGCTTAGTAAATATCTTTTCTCATATAATTTGTTTAAAACAGCAGGGGTACACTACAGCCAACCTTCACTGAATTCCTAAAACACTGTTTGTAAGACTGCAAAGTGATTTACCAGTCACTGCCGACATCATTAAATCACATACTGTTGATCATCTCCTGTACAAATGTGTCCATGGTGTGAGGTACTATAAATTACATACTGTTGATCATCTCCTGTACAATTGTGTCCATGGTGTGAGGTGCCATAAATTACATACTGTTGCATAGATCATCTCCTGTACAAATGTGTCCATGGTGTGAGGTACCATAAATTACATACTGTTGCATAGATCATCTCCTGTACAAATGTGTCCGTGGTGTGAGGTACCATAAATTACATACTGTTGCATAGATCATCTCCTGTACAAATGTGTCCATGGTGTGAGGTACCATAAATCACATACTGTTGATCATCTCCTGTACAAATGTGTCCATGGTGTGAGGTACCATAAATTACATACTGTTGCATAGATCATCTCCTGTACAATTGTGTCCATGGTGTGAGGTGCCATAAATCACATACTGTTGCATAGATCATCTCCTGTTCAAATGTGTCCATGGTGTGAGGTACCATAAATCACATACTGTTGCATAGATCATCTCCTGTACAAATGTGTCCATGGTGTGAGGTACCATAAATTACTTACTGTTGCATAGATCATCTCCTGTACAAATGTGTCCATGGTGTGAGGTACCATAAATTACATACTGTTGATCATCTCCTGTACAATTGTGTCCATGGTGTGAGGTGCCATAAATTACATACTGTTGCATAGATCATCTCCTGTACAAATGTGTCCATGGTGTGAGGTACCATAAATTACATACTGTTGCATAGATCATCTCCTGTACAAATGTGTCCGTGGTGTGAGGTACCATAAATTACATACTGTTGATCATCTCCTGTACAATTGTGTCCATGGTGTGAGGTGCCATAAATTACATACTGTTGCATAGATCATCTCCTGTACAAATGTGTCCATGGTGTGAGGTACCATAAATTACATACTGTTGCATAGATCATCTCCTGTACAAATGTGTCCGTGGTGTGAGGTACCATAAATTACATACTGTTGCATAGATCATCTCCTGTACAAATGTGTCCATGGTGTGAGATACCATAAATCACATACTGTTGATCATCTCCTGTACAAATGTGTCCATGGTGTGAGGTACCATAAATTACATACTGTTGCATAGATCATCTCCTGTACAATTGTGTCCATGGTGTGAGGTGCCATAAATCACATACTGTTGCATAGATCATCTCCTGTTCAAATGTGTCCATGGTGTGAGGTACCATAAATCACAAACTGTTGCATAGATCATCTCCTGTACAAATGTGTCCATGGTGTGAGGTACCATAAATTACTTACTGTTGCATAGATCATCTCCTGTACAAATGTGTCCATGGTGTGAGGTACCATAAATCACTTACTGTTGCATAGATCATCTCCTGTACAATTGTGTCCATGGTGTGAGGTACCATAAATCACATACTGTTGCATAGGTCATCTCCTGCACAAATGTGTCCATGGTGTGAGGTACCATAAATTACATACTGTTGCATAGATCATCTCCTGTACAAATGTGTCCATGGTGTGAGGTACCATAAATTACTTACTGTTGCATAGATCATCTCCTGTACAATTGTGTCCATGGTGTGAGGTACCATAAATCACATACTGTTGCATAGATCATCTCCTGTACAATTGTGTCCATGGTGTGAGGTACCATAAATCACATACTGTTGCATAGATCATCTCCTGCACAATTGTGTCCATGGTGTGAGGTACCATAAATTACATACTGTTGCATAGGTCATCTCCTGCACAAATGTGTCCATGGTGTGAGGTACCATAAATCACATACTGTTGCATAGATCATCTCCTGTACAAATGTGTCCATGGTGTGAGGTACCATAAATTACATACTGTTGCATAGATCATCTCCTGTACAAATGTGTCCATGGTGTGAGGTACCATAAATCACATACTGTTGCATAGATCATCTCCTGTACAATTGTGTCCATGGTGTGAGGTACCATAAATCACATACTGTTGCATAGATCATCTCCTGTACAAATATGTCCATGGTGTGAGGTACCATAAATTACATACTGTTGCATAGATCATCTCCTGTACAAATGTGTCCATGGTGTGAGGTACCATAAATCACATACTGTTGCATAGATCATCTCCTGTACAATTGTGTCCATGGTGTGAGGTACCATAAATCACATACTGTTGCATAGATCATCTCCTGTACAAATGTGTCCATGGTGTGAGGTACCATAAATTACATACTGTTGCATAGATCATCTCCTGTACAAATGTGTCCATGGTGTGAGGTACCATAAATCACATACTGTTGCATAGATCATCTCCTGTACAAATGTGTCCATGGTGTGAGCTACCATAAATCACTTACTGCTGCATAGATCATCTCCTGTACAAATGTGTCCATGGTGTGAACTGCATGAATCTCACTAGACTGTGGTGATCCATCTGCTCCTCCGAATTGCACACACTCTCCCACAAAGCACTAACCACGTCTGCCTTATCATGTATCAGTATTCCCCCATGTTGTGCAGAGCTGTTGTTTTTATGTTCTGGCTTAACATTTTTGTTGCTTTTTTGTTCTGGCTAAACATTCTGTTTACGTCTTTATGTTCTAGCTTAACATTCTGTTGTTTAATATTTAATTCAGTTTTTAACAAGACCAAAATTGATTCATAAAATTGTATCTCAAAATACTCCAAACGACCTTTTCCAGTTGATGAAATACAATTCTATGAACAGCAAGAGGCTAAATTTATTACATTTGCCGAAACCTAGAATAGATTTATATAAAACAAGTTTAGCATATTCTGCTGCTTATTTATAGAACCATCTTTCACTTGATCTAAAAAAAAAATACAAAGAGTTTCTATCCATTTAACCGCAAACTTTTTCATTTCATGCTTACAAGTGATTATATGCCACCTTAAATGTAATTATTAGCCCACATTTCATTATAAAAGTATAATTAAATAAGGTGTTTATGATATGTGTGTATATGTGACCTGTTAATGTGTGGTGTGTAGGTTTATTTGTGTATGTATGATTGTTTGCATAGGTAATTATGTAAGATTTTGTGTTTGAATGTGTCTGTCTGTGTGTGTCTCTTTGTGTATATGTGTGTGTATAAGTCTTAAGTATGTGTGTTTGAGTATGTCTGTGTGTGGTTGCCTGTGTCTTTGTGTGCCTGCTGGTGTTTCTGTGTGCTTGTGCCTGCGTGAGTGTCTGCATGTGTGTATGTCTGAGTCTGTGTGTTTATGTCTGTGTGTGTCTCTATGTCTGTGTGTCAGTGCATGTGCGTCTGCATGTGTTTCTGCATGTGTGTGTGTCGGTGTATGTGTTTGTCTCTCTATGTGTCTGGGTGTTTTTATATGTGTCTGTGCATCTGTGTGTCTGTGCATATTTATCTGTGTGTGTTTGTGTCTGCCTGTGTGCCTGAATGTGTGTATGTCTGTTTGTGTCTGTGTATGCGTGTCTGCATATGTATGTTTGCCTGAGTGTATGCATGAATGTCTGTGTGTGTCTATAGTGCAATTTGTAAGCAAGAAGCTTGTCATACTCAGCATATAGAGATTATCGAAAGTCATAGATAAATCCGCTGTGCCCATTGCAGATATCAAGTGGCAAGATGAAAATATCCGTGATACCTAGTGAAGGGCTTCAGCTCTCTGTTGTATGAACACCATGATACCCAGTTAAGGGCTTCAGCTCTCTGTTGTATGAACACTATGATACCCAGTTAAGGGCTTCAGCTCTCTGTTGTATGAACACCACGATACCCACCCAGTTAAGGGCTTCAGCTCTCTGTTGTTCGAACACCATGATACCCACCCAGTTAAGGGCTTTAGCTCTCTGTTGTATGAACACCACGATACCCACCCAGTTAAGGGCTTTAGCTCTCTGTTGTACGAACACCATGATACCCACTTAAGGGCTTCTGCTCTCTGTTGTATGAACACCACGATACCCAGTTAAGGGCTTCAGCTCTCTGTTGTATGAACACCATGATACCCACCCAGTAAAGGGCTTCAGCTCTCTGTTGTATGAACACCATGATACCCACCCAGTGAAGGGCTTCAGCTCTCTGTTGTATGAACACCATGATACCCACTAAGTTAAGGGCTTCAGCTCTGTTGTACCAACACCATGATACCCAGTTAAGGGCTTCAGCTCTCTATTGTATGAACACCATGATACCCAGTAAAGGGCTTCAGCTCTCTGTTGTATAAACACCATGATATCCACCTAGTTAAGGGCTTCAGCTCTTTGTTGTATGAAAAGTTTATCCATCATGCCGATAAGAACGTTTTAAGTTCCTAAAAGAGAATCAGTTTGAAATTCCCAGATAACTCAAATCTTCTTGTAATGATTTCTTCCATAGCCGGGTGACCAAACAGATGAACTGCTGAGTCTGACTGAGAGATGGTTCTGCACATCCATGACTGATCCTTTCAAAACAGTTTGGTCCATCGCCCAACAGCCATTCACCGATATCAGAATTCCAGCTTTCCATTTGCTCCAGAGTCTTGCATTAACACCCTGGGGTCAAAAACTGATGAATAATGCTCCTGGGTTTAAGGAATATGTCCTTGATCGAGCCACAGAAAACAGCAAGGAAGGGAAAGATGAAAAATTTGAACTTGTGAAAATGTTAGCTCATTCACCCACAGCCATTGAAATTCTAGGAAGACCGTACCATGTAAAGTTGATGGAATATTACAACCAGGGCCGTTTCTTTGTGTTAGCTCAGTCAGAGGTGGCAATGGAGGGGGATGGTTAGCTGTAAGACAGTTGGAATAGCTTTTATCACAACAGACAGTGGACAGTTAGAGGTGGCAGTGGAGGGGGATGGTTGGCTATGAGACAGTTGGAAAAGCTTTTATCACAACAGACAGTGGACAGTTAGAGGTGGCAGTGGAGGGGGATGGTTAGCTGTAAGACAGTTGGAATAGCTTTGATCACAACAGACAGTGGACAGTCAGAGGTGGCAGTGGAGGGGGATGGTTGGCTATGAGACAGTTGGAAAAGCTTTTATCACAACAGACAGTGGACAGTTAGAGGTGGCAGTGGAGGGGGATGGTTAGCTGTAAGACAGTTGGAATAGCTTTGATCACAACAGACAGTGGACAGTCAGAGGTGGCAGTGGAGGGGGATGGTTGGCTATGAGACAGTTGGAAAAGCTTTGATCACAACAGACAGTGGACAGTCAGAGGTGGCAGTGGAGGGGGATGGTTAGCTGTAAGACAGTTGGAATAGCTTTGATCACAACAGACAGTGGACAGTCAGAGGTGGCAGTGGAGGGGGATGGTTGGCTATGAGACAGTTGGAAAAGCTTTGATCACAACAGACAGTGGACAGTCAGAGGTGGCAGTGGAGGGGGATGGTTGGCTATGAGACAGTTGGAAAAGCTTTTATCACAACAGACAGTGGACAGTTAGAGGTGGCAGTGGAGGGGGATGGTTAGCTGTAAGACAGTTGGAATAGCTTTGATCACAACAGACAGTGGACAGTCAGAGGTGGCAGTGGAGGGGGATGGTTGGCTATGAGACAGTTGGAAAAGCTTTTATCACAACAGACAGTGGACAGTTAGAGGTGGCAGTGGAGGGGGATGGTTGGCTATGAGACAGTTGGAAAAGCTTTTATCACAACAGACAGTGGACAGTTAGAGGTGGCAGTGGAGGGGGATGGTTAGCTGTAAGACAGTTGGAATAGCTTTGATCACAACAGACAGTGGACATTTCTGAGAATTTATTTCACAGACAGTGGAAAGCACATGATAGTTTACTTCACAAGACTGAAATGTTATAACAGTTTCCCTTACAGAAGACAATTACAAGTTATAATAATTTACTGCAAACATTGAGTACTCAAGGTTAAATTAGGGGATGGGGGTAAAACTGTTGTATGTTTCATTCATAATGGACAGTGGAAAGTCCTAATCATATAACCGTCCAAATAAATGACTTACAACAGATGCTGGAGAAACTAACATTTCACTTCACAACATCTGGTTAAGTTCTGTTTTATCCTACGTTTAATGTACTGCAAACATCCATGAATATTAAAAGAGTGTATTTTCTGCAATGTGTGTTTTTTTATCATAAGTATTTCATGGTTTATTCCCTATATAGAGTATAGCACAATCTGTTTAAGACTGGAAACACTTTGGTTCATTCCCTCTATAGAGTATAACACAATCTGTTTAAGACTGGAAACACTTTGGTTCATTCCCTCTATAGAGTATAACACAATCTGTTTAAGACTGGAAACACTTTGGTTCATTCCCTCTATAGAGTATAACACAATCTGTTTAAGACTGGAAACACTTTGGTTCATTCCCTCTATAGAGTATAACACAATCTGTTTAAGACTGGAAACACTTTGGCTCATTCCCTCTATAGAGTATAACACAATCTGTTAAGACTGGAAACACTTTGGTTCATTCCCTCTATAGAGTATAACACAATCTGTTAAGACTGGAAACACTTTGGTTCATTCCCTCTATAGAGTATAACACAATCTGTTAAGACTGGAAACACTTTGGTTCATTCCCTCTATAGAGTTTAACACAATCTGAAAACTGGAAACACTTTGGTTCATTCCCTCTATAGAGTATAACACAATCTGTTTAAGACTGGAAACACTTTGGTTCATTCCCTCTATAGAGTATAACACAATCTGTTAAGACTGGAAACACTTTGGTTCATTCCCTCTATAGAGTTTAACACAATCTGAAAACTGGAAACACTTTGGTTCATTCCCTCTATAGAGTATAACACAATCTGTTTAAGACTGGAAACACTTTGGTTCATTCCCTCTATAGAGTATAACACAATCTGTTAAGACTGGAAACACTTTGGTAAATGAGAGTGGAGCGAGAGAATATTTTGGAGGTTCTGCCATCTTCCTTTACTTTCCTTCAGTGACACACCCTGACAGTTCTAGTAGTTCCTTTTCCTGCAGAATCATCTTCCTCCAGGGGCACACACCCTAGGAGTGCATTATCTTTTTAGTTTCTGGAATACACAACCAACACACATGTAGTGATTGTCACTGACTCACAGAGCATGCTGAGAAAGGTGGAGACAGGTGTGCAGAGTGGCAAGCATCACTTCAGAGGTCCTGGGTAGTTAGTATCATTTGGATATTCTCTCCAGGTCATGCCAGTGTGTTGGGAAATGAGCAGGCAGATAGACTGGCCGGTTCTGCATCACTTGGTGGTGATTTGATGTATGACATATAGATATTGTGAAGGCCCTCTGAGAGGGAGTGAAACAGTGAGGAAGGGAAAATAGTTAATTACGGTCTGAAGATAATGGCACTGCGAGGAGTTACCAGGGGATCTGGCAAATGCTCAACACTCAAGGGAGGGGCGGGACAGATATACAGTTACTGGTGCCATCGGAATTGAAACTCTTCATTTGCTGCTCAAGATGGGGACAGAGTGCTTACAGGGGTGTCCTGAATGCTTCTATGTTGATTCTTATTTCAACATTTAACATTTTTCAAAGTCATGGTTCATTTCCTGAACTGCATTGTCTGATTCACAAGTGCAGTTGTTACAGAGATCACTTAGGATCTTTGCTGGAGCTAAAGAGTTGATGCTTTGTGTGGCACTCTCTTCAGGCAGCAAACCACTCTGTGAAGAAAGACAGAGCCTATGGAATAACACCCGGTGCAGTAAAGCTGATCTTCTTGACTTTACGCTTAAAGTTAAAACATATGAAATAAAAATTATATCACAAATATACATACATACATATAGGAGGAACACGGTGAAAGAAAATGAACAACAAGGAAGTCTCAAGCAAAATGTGATGGTGTTTATTAAACAGATTAGATACAAACACAGACATTTTGGGAACAGTTTGAAAGAGAAAGAACCAACAAGACAGCACCAGTCAAACTAAGATGTTGACAAGACATAATATTCAGGGGATGAGTTAGGTGCCAGAAAACAAGAATGATATAACCTCATGACATGTATGCTGGTATAGTCTTCATCTTCTGCGTTTGTCCTTACAAGGGTGACTGGCATGTTGAAGTTTACAGCTAGGCTATGATATCTGTGCCTTTTAGCCCAACTCATCTGATTTCAACAAACCATTCATTACTCATCTGGCTCTAGGCAGATTTAAAAAGAAAATTTGACCTTAGTTCCCAGGTCAACTGAGCCTAAAGTGAGTACTGTGAAACATTCTAGGAAGTAAAGGTGGCTTCCAGGGCTCCACTGGGGGGGGGGGGGGGGGGCCAACATACATACGTCAAGCATGTTGCAAAATTAAACTGATTAAAGGCTTTTCCTACAAAGATGGAGTGATCTGCCTGAAATGCAAGGAACCAACAATCTGCATACAAGTAAGCCACTCTGCAAAAATGTATGTTCATGCAAAACTATATTCTGGAACAATACCAAAGTCTAGTAGTGGATGGGCAACCAAAACTCTTCGTCAGAGATTACAGCTTATGAACGCAGAGAGGAAGCAAAGGTGGCCAGCGAGATGCCGATCAGGTCAGCCATCCAGTACAGAATTGTCTTTACTAATTGTGAGTCTCCCACCATATGCCTCATGTCTCACTGGCACAACAAGGATTCTCCTGACTTATTCTCAGCACTAGAACAGTCACATCCATACTATATCATCACAAAACAGGCATTGATATTTGCTGACGTATAAATATTGGCAAACCTTACATATGTGTATAGCAGAAACAAGAGACATTTATGTGTATATAAAAATTGTATTCCTACACAGATAAAGAGACGTGCACACCGACATTAGTGTTTTACATAATCATGAAACAACTAACATTTCTGTGGTATCTATTAAAACATGATCATTATTGTTAATGAAACATTTAATGTATAAAGGCACCACACAATTTCAGGAAATCCACTTGCTCTTAAAGACAGAAACAAGGAAAAGTTGCCCACAAATTAATCATGCAAGCTAACTGACCTATGAACCTAAAGAAAGGTTGCATGAAGCTTAGAGTTGTTGAAATAATCCCACAATGCTTAGATGCAACGATGCTGTCACTGAAAATCCCAAGCAAGCCTGAGAGGGAATCCCTACATATACTATTATTGTTTGCTTCAAACATACACTACTTTTTTGTGTTTTTGTTGTTGTTAATAGAGTGGCTTACTGGTCCATAAGCGTAATCTTACTTCAAGCTTGCTGGGTGTGAATTGTTTCTCTTTCTATTGTCTTTGCTGTCTGGTGTTGGTAATCATGTCTGTCCCCAGTCTTCCGTTTGTGTACTCTGAATCATTTCTGATACACAGATGTTCATCCATAGAAAAATGCTAAACTGTCCACATTCGAATGACTTCAAATTAGAAAAGGCAAGTGCAACAAAAAAGGAGACCCACACAGAATGAAGTAAATGGTTCCACTAAATTCTTTAATAGTAAACAAACAAACAACAAAAGAAATACTTTTTTAAAGAGTGAATAATCACTATTACAAATGAGTAATCCACATGTGTCGATGAAATAACATTAACAACACTAAGTTCAGGGTAATATGTAACCACCTGTGTTGTTTGTAAAGGAAATATACCGGGAAAAGATTTAAGTAAGTTCAGTGTAACATGTAACCACCTGTGTCGTTTGTAAAGGAAATATACAGGGAAAAGATTTAAGTAAGTTCAGAGTAACATGTAACCACCTGTGTCATTTGTAAAGGAAATTTACTGGGAAAAGATTTAAGTAAGGTTAGTGTAACATGTAATCACCTGTGTCGTTTGTAAAGGAAATTTCCTGGGAAAAGATTT